CTGCTATGACCTGAGTGTTACACTTGTCTCGCCCGCTTCCTAAGCCCTGATGTTCCGCGCTATCGGCATCATCAACTTCCATTTTCGTCCTCACCTCATCGACTTCCATCGCTGTAACACCTGATTCAGCGGTACTCTGTTGACATCCAGTGGGACACCATACATCACGTGCAAGTTGAGTACTCTGTTGGAACCCTGCTAAAGAGGTTCTTTCAGCCCCACGAAACAGCGCCAAATTGCTGATCTGTCTTACCTTGCGCAGCGTTAGTTTCCCTTCATCTTTGTCATGGTAGGTGCAATAGAGGTGAAGTGAAACCGCCAGCTTTAGGAAAGCGTCTCCAAGCATCTCGAGCCTTTCTAGATTGAAGGCGTCTCCGCTGTGGGTGGTGGTCAAAGCTTTAAGAACAAATGCGGAGTTGGGATGAACAGCAGCTCTTCGGTTTCCACTGAAAAGTGATTTTAAATCTGAAAACAACTCTGGAAAGTCATCAACATCGTCATCACTGTCATCACTATAATCCTTACGACCCACGTTCTTCTTCGATGAGAAGCTGTCCTTATCAGTACGGAGTAAACTCTTTCCATCGTTAGCATTACCAGAACCAATTGAAGGGAGGCTAGATTCATCTGTGTTGTCACGCACTCCATCGACCATTTCCTTGACATCATCAACAAGTAGGAGCGCGTTTACACGGTGTAAAATTGAGGGCAGCATCAGAGACACACTGAGAAGGGAAGCAGAAATAGGAAATACGTTGCATAATTCCGGGAAAAGTTCAATAACGTCGCGCTTACTCTTGGCTGCCACCTTTCTGTCCACCAGGAAATTCACCCTTCCAGAAATGTCTTTTACTTCAATGAGAGGCTGTTTCATGGTCCGGAAGGATTTTCCGTACTTTCCCCAGAAGTAGCCTTCAAACGTTTTGGCTTTGGATTTGTCTGGGAAGGGTGACATAGGACTCCGATCATGGCTCACGTTTAAAACCGCAAACTTTTGTCGAGACTCCATGTAATTTTTTGAGACCACCATGTCAACGTCAATCTTGCAGGTTTCACCGGTTAGAGGTCTCAGTGAAGTTTGCCTTGTTAAAGCATGGCGCATAGAATCATAGTCCACGTCATACCCATTAGGTTTCATAAGAACAACAAAATAACCATCTGAACTGCCGTCGGACCCTGTAGGTTTAAATTTAACGGACTCACGAAGAGCTTGACTGAACAAGAAACAATGGAAGTTTTGAACAATTTTCAAGCCTTGTCGTGTCATCCTTGTGCGCAGTGGTGCCTTGTGGCATTTTATCGTTACTGTAACTTCTCCATAGTCGGGATAAAGTTTGAATGACCTCACCTGTGGATTTAAGTAAACGACGTTAATTAATCGACTATAATTAAATCAACAATCAGTCAGACAATAAAAATCAATCAATCAATTTTTTTTAGCCTGCGTAGCAAGCGTTTTCCGTTTGGTTTCGGAGCAAAGAAAGACCGAGGAACGGGATTTTCGGTTTTGGCTATGCAAGAAATGAAACGAGAGCCATCTTTCGTGCGCTGTTTGACTCTTGTTCCTCATTCTTTGCTCCGAAACCGCACGGAAACGCTTACTACGCAGGCAAGTTCTTCTTGTTTAACCCGTATATTTAGGATCTGTAACAATGTCTGAACTAACATATAATATTGAATTCAGTTTTACCCAGTATTTCATTGCCAGGTTGAAACTGTGAATTTCTGTTGACTAGTAGGCTGTGACTGTCTGTATCAACTTATAAACCATTTTCATGACACTCCTTTCGTGGTAGTATTTACTTATAGTTTTGTTTTTTCGATTCATGCAATTTTCTTGTACACTTTTTGACTATCTTGAGACATTAAAGATCAAAGTTTTACTATGAAAACAAAAGCATAGCAGCTTAAAATCGACGCTTACATCTGAGGAGAACATTTTACTCCACAGTAACAGTGACTGAACTAAAACTAACCGCTGGAATAGGAACATTCGTCAATAAACCAAACAGGCGGCAGACACCATCTGTAAAGTATCGCTGGGTCACATCAAGGCCCTGTTGGCTGGTAAGTTTGGTGATAGTTATAGTCGTAAGGTACTGAGGCTGACTCCTCTGTGGCAAGCTACCTCTGAATACCCGAGGAACCTAGTTAAGCAAAAAGAAAAGAAAGAATTACAGTCAAATATCGCGGAAGTCAGTCATGCCATGGTGCTTAACAACTAACTATTAGAATGCAACCGCTACCAAACACAGAGCGCAAGTTCAGCCTAAGGTTTGTTAGTCTAATGAGTATTGTTACGAGTTACCGAGGTTGTAGCGAGAGAAGGGTGGAGGCAAAACACTTCAACTCTTGCCTGAAGCGCATCGCTCATCACGCGCTTTACACTCTGTGTGCCTGGAGATATAGACCCATAATTCTTTGCATTACTGAGTTATCCTCCGATTGTCCTTACCTTTCTTTGATACACCGCTTTCGTTTCTTTGTTCCTGCTTTTACTCTCTTCTTCCCAGCGGACCCTTCCTCCTCTTCTTCTGAATCACTTTCATCATCCGATAAACTGCGGACTGGCAACAGATTATCGTCAAGTTCGCCAATCTTGTGAAGTTCTACGCAGGCATAGAAAGCGGCAGCCATTTTAGCGAGGTTTCTTCGTGGCATAGGAATACCCTGTTGGAATAAAGAGAAAAGTTGTCAAGTGTTGTTTTTGTTTAACTCAAGGAGGGATGAACTGACCGTGTAGTGTCCAGCGGAACTCAATGACGATCGTTGTTAAACATTAAACGCTTTTGTGGTGCATGAGTTTAGCAGAGATGCTTCAGTGAAACAGCCACTTTTGCTATTCTTTTGGTGAGGTTAGAAGCCTAAAGCTAAAAATAATGTGGACTATTAAAGGTAACAAGTCTTCAGTCCATTACAGTCAGAGTCAGGGCAGTAATCATTATTCTTTCTTGCACTCACATATATAGTTCTTCGCAGCTGGCAGTTATTTGGCAGTTCCAATTTACACAAATAAACATTTCTTCCAACTTCCTCAAACTTGTAAATTGGGCTGAGATGTGTGAATCTGTCCCCTGGCAGCTTGGAACAGTATCTAAAGTATAGTAACAGAAACAGTGAAGTGTTAGAAAAGGTGCTTCCTGCCATTCCCTATATTTAAAAACAGCGCGTTCGTTTAAGACCCTAAACAAAGGCGGCGGAGCAGATGGGGGGAGGGGGATCATCGTAACCAACCTCACCAACTCATACCCCTACTCACAATTTCCTAAAATAATTCCCCGCGAAATGACGTCTGCGGAAAGAGCGTAGAAATTTCATACTGATGACGTGTGACTACCCAGATCTGGGTAGTACTTTTGATTGGTCGTGCCGCGAGAGAAATTTGCTTCAACCAATCATAATCGCCCCCAGATCTGGGCAGTGACACCTCATCAGTATGGAATTTCAACGCATGTCCCTCATGCGTCATTTCGCGGGGAAACCAGTCGTAGCGTCGCTAAATGTTCGCTGTTTTCTCAGAATATTATAGCCAGATTAGCGGGAAAACGCACGTGGCCAGTCGAGAGCTGGAAAAATGCAATTACCTGGTAAGAAGAGAAACACTGCTGCTCATAGTGACTCTCGCTCCTTCACCATTCTCAGGTTTGTATGGAGGTAAGAAAGTGTCCGCGTCTGCTACCTCGTCACACTCTTCATTCGTAGGCTCTTCACGGCCATGGCATTTCTCTGATAGAATATCTTCAATGTCACGCATCCTCTGACGATTAAAAGCAACACCGTGTTATCTGAAGGGAAGCTGAATATTAGGACCTGTACCAAGTTAGTCAGAATAGTCTGAACTGGCTGTTTTGAATGGTTCATTTGCAAAAAGAATTTCACCATTTGGCAGAAATGTCAGGCCATTTCGGTATATTCCTAAATAGGTTTTAATTAAGCTCTCCAAAGGAACCATTTCATTTTGAAAATGTCTGGTCTGGACAAACATCCCTTCAAAAACTGAACTGCGCTATTTAAGCGCAACTCGACGACAGAGTCAGGAGGAATTTCAGTTTGTCACCACAGAAATTGTTTATTCCATCCTAAATTTTTCTGATAGGAGCAACTTTTTATTTTTTTAATTTTTTCAAATCAAGACGCTTCAGCTTTTCGACTTTCACGAATTTAGGTGGCAATATAATAATAGAAAATTTCAGGAATTTTTTTATTTGGATTCCAAAATATAATCGACCACATCTTAAAATTTGTTTTTGAAGGAAAAGATGAATCTGAATGAATCTGATCGCAGCGTGTGAAAACATGGGAGCAAATTTGCGCACTTTCCTGGAGTTGAATCGTTTGGGACGGCACCCAAGTTTAAGGGAAAGAACACGCCCTCAGCTTCTCTATTAAACGTCCCAGATAAAAAAATTATGACATAGTCGTGCAGAGAAAGCAAATATGAAAACTAAAAGTGCGACGCACATGTATTTCTGTTGTTTTGCTAAAACCAGTTGTTCTTTGACAACTTCGTTGCCGACGTCCTTAAAAAGACGCCGCTGGATCCACAACCTATCTAAATACTGCTAAACCGCTACTTAAGACGATCTTCATAATAGAAAACTTAAGCAACAACGAAGGCAACGGCTACGAAAGCGTCTCTTTCAATGTGAATTCGCGCTACTTCACACTTTATCGCGTTTATTCCAACTTGTTCAATTCGTCAAATGTTCGGGCAAATTTTTCTGAAGTTGAATTATCAAAGTTCAGGAAAAGAAAAAAGGAAGTCGTTGTCTTGTGTTCATGTCCCAGACAAAACGCGAACTAAGGCACTTTCACGTTGTAGTCGTACAGCGACGGCAAAGAAATGTACAAAAAAAGGCACTTGTAAAGTTGTTGTTTCGTAAACCGATTGCTTTTTTGCCGTTGTCTTTGCCGTCGCCGTCCTCGTTGCTTCAGCTTCCTATTTCATAATAGTAAAGTCACAATTACTGAGAAAGCTTACATGAGTAGTGGAAAAAGGGAAAGGATAACATGGACCCCTCCCCCCTCCCCGAGAGTTCCCCATCAACTGGAACATTAGGGAGTTTACACAACGACGATGATGACGATGGGGAAAACGTCTCTTTTTCCACGCCATTTTTTTTGTCAAATGTTGGTGAATTTTCTCCTTGACTTGAATTTTGAAGGACGGCTCTAGTTTTAAAAATTATTTGTAAAAGGAATTAGAAAATCGTTGTCTTGAGTCAACGTCCTAAAAAAACGTGAATTTAGGCAATTTTCGTCGTGGTCGTGCAATGACGGCAAAGAAATGTTCAAAAAAGTGTGCTGCACGTGCAAAATTGTTTTGCTGCTTTTTTGCGGTTCCTGTTGCAGTGGTCGTCATGGTCGTCGTTGCTTAAACTCCTTATTTATGCAAAAACTATTTGATCAACAAAATCTACCTCCAATTCGCCTTGCTTTTCCTCGTACTCTTCTTCATCCACAAGGATGATATAGTTGGAATCCTTGGCACGCGCTCGGCCTTTTGACTGCACATAGGAGCGAAACGTCGTCGGAAAATCAAACCGGCACACCAAGTTGCACCTTGGAATGTCTAATCCTTCTTCAACAACACAAGTTGCAATCAAAAGGTTGAATTTATGAAGCCTGAACTGTCGCAGTACCTCTTCTTGCTTTTTGAAGTTCATCTCTGTTTCATTGGAGTAATTAACTTTCCCTCCCGTGCCGTGTCCAATCACAAAGTTGCTTTTGATAAAAGAGAGCTCAGGATATAGCTTTGCAGCAATGTTAATCTGCTTACTGAGGACCAGTGCTGTGTATCGCCTTTCTACAAAGACTATGCCACAAAGCTCGTTCTCTATAAATCAATAACATGATGATGATGATGATGATGATGATTATTATTATTATGCTAATGTACATCTTGATGCCAAGGAGCTTTTTCACAGTCAGTCAGCATATCAACAAGTTCTGTTTTCACAAAGGGACCTTCAGTCACAGAAAAGCCAAAATTTGGTGTTCATTATAGCAAGACCACAATTTAAGAGCTTTGAGACGCAGCTGAAATTCAGGCTACTTGACCATGTGCATTATGCAACTATTGTACAATTCCTACCAAATAAAACCATTTTGAAGCAACCTTTAAGATCACAGAGGGAGAACAAAATGAGCCCAACATTTTCTTTCTTTTTGGGGGGGGGGGGTCAGGCTTGGTGAGGGTCCACGTACAACAGCATTGATTGCATCATTTGGTTTTCCCTACTTCCCATATATTTTTTTTACTGCAAATAAGGGTTACATATCAACTGGCATATTATTTCCTCAAAAATGGTGGAACCAAATTTTGAGGAAGATGATGGTCATTTTTGTGACAGCTGTTTTACCAAGCATTTTGTTACAAGTACGAGAATTAACTTTGAAATATCTTACCACTGTTTTGTGAATTCCCAAATTCTCTTAAAACAGACAGCAGCAGCTGTAGTTTAGGCATGATGTAGAACTCTTCAGTGCTTCCAGCATCTTCACTGCCAGCAGATGTGTAATTGTGATACACACTTTGTAGTAGTCGCAGCTGTGTTGCACTAAACTCACAAAGCATTCTTCCTTCCTTGCTGTCTTGAAATATGCACGCTCTCTCTATAAAGGTTAAAGGATAATAATATTATTTTAATTATTATTTTTCAAGATTTAATTACTTTAACTCGTTTTAGCTCAAACAGAGTCTTCTAATTAGACTTGGGTTAGGCTGAAAGATGGTTTGAGCTGAGTACAACAGTATACAGCCTCACAAATTCTTCCAGAAGTTTAAAGTACAAGGAGGGCTTGGGGTGGCAACCTCAGCAAATTTATAGTCTCCATGAGTAGTTTCATTTTTATTGATTTTATTTACAAAATACTGTACAAGTAATAGACATTGCACCATACCCAGATCCTTGATTAAGTGACCAGCAACTTTGTTGGCTGCCCAGGGACCCAATTCTGATAAGGTCTCTTGACACTCTCTGAATGTATACTTTGCATACCAGTGAGCATTCCCTGAAGGACCCTCACGCCGCACCTTACAGTCTAAAAGAAACCCCATTCCTGGACTCAAAACATCTTGAAGTATTTGAATTAACATCTTTGTGTTGTCATCAATGTCGGCATTTGAAAATTTCAAGACCAGTTCATTTGGTTTTGCAGCAAACTTCTCAACTTCTTCATCCTGGCTTGTCTCACATGTTGACCTTAGTGTGCATTCCAGCTCTCGCATTTCTGATTCAATGTTCCATGGTTTCACCTTTTTATTTACTACAGATGCTGTTAGACCCATGATCTTTGGATGGTCAGTTTTCTTGCAGTCAACAAAGCACTCCATGATCTGCTTGTATGCATGATTCTTTGTGGCATGATGGCATTCATCAAAGATCAGAAGATTTACTTGTGATAATTTTATGTAACTGTGGAGTAAAAGATTGAGAAAAATCTCTGCAGTCATCACCAAAATATTGTTGTCATTGAATTCTTTTTCCCATACTTTTTTGTCCCAGAAGTCGACTCCCATCTCACCAACATAATGCCGGACATTCAGGTCTGTGTTTTTGTCAATCACCTTGGCTTGCTGGCTGGCTAAAGGAACTGAGAAAAATAAAAAGATATTAGCTAAGGTAACTTGAACCCACTTTTTACAGCTTCTCTCCTAGTTACACATTGTTGGCTATCATTCAACATCCATCTTTCGACATCCTAGGCAAACAAGATGGATTGAAATTCCCTAATTACAGGCCACTAGTATGATACTCTGAACTTGTATCGGTTGTGATTAGCTCATTTCAAACAGCAAGTTGAAACAGGGTCTGGAAGGGGGTGTCTGGATCTCGAAACATGGGGTAAATTTCCAGACATTCACGAATCATGTCATTTGGTAACGAACTGATCAAGGCCATCAATTATTCTTAGCTTGGTGGTTGCTGGACTACTACAGGCATAAATGGCCTTGTATAGGAAGGAAACAAAAAGAATGGTGACCAACAAACTGGCGATTCTCTGATTTTCTCTGTATTTCATGAGTTTGCCCGATTCACGCTCTGTTTACCGGTCAATTCACAGATCATGCGAACCCCTTCCAGACCAGGGGCCCGTTTCTCGAAAGTCCCGGTAACTTTTCGGACCCGAAATCAAATATTCAAATCGAAATATAAAGAATAAGAGCGCTGGTCCTGGCTAGCAGACTACTCCATTTTGTTTCACTAACCAGGGACCGCGCAGAGGGAGGGGCTGGGGGGGCTTTAGCCCCCCCACTTTTTTGCAAGAATAAAAATAAATTAAACAAAAAATAATTTAACAGAAGTAACGGAGTGAAAAATAGCAAAAGATCGTTAAGTCGAAAGTGACCAGAGTTACTGGCAAAGACAAACACGCAGATAAATAAACAGAATGAAGCATTAGTCGTTACAATTGTAAAACATTTTTTCGCTTCTAACCTAGCAGAGGTAAACGTCTTTCAAATGGCTTCTTTTTCCAGCGAACCTCTCAGGAAAACGCGTTGTTTCGTAATTGGTCAATTTCGATCCAAAGTAATAACTGGGTTTAGTTTATAAGGTGATTCTAAAACAAATTGTTTATTAGTATCAACCTTGATTTTTGGAAGATCATGAAGTTATTGTTTCTCTTGTTATTGTGCGTCCTGATTTTAGCTCGATCAGCGCGAAGTCCGTCTTTTGATGTCGTTGAGCATTCCAATTGCAAGTTTTGTTGAACGCGGTCTGTTTGTAAAAACATTTTGTCATCGAAAGTACTTAAACCGCAGAATTGTGTATAGCTCTGGTCATCAAGGAACATACAATCCGGCGGTTATTAGGAACAAAGAAGTGCACATGGTACACGGCAACATAAATACGAACGACGAGACTTCACATACCACTAGTAATGCAAAGAAGAGATCTCTTAAAATTTCTCATTACTTTTCCAAACAAAATGGAAAACCTTCTTTATCTGGTGAGTAAACTCTGCATAATTTTTGCTACTTTTTTCTGAATCTGTTCTATAATTGAATTTTCATTCACTAAATGATTTTCAGTTACCGTTTTGTTTTGCCGTGTAAATATTTTGAATGAATAATTAAACAATTATTGAATTCGGCTTTCGTATGATATGAAGATATAGAGATCTCAGAGGGTGTTATGCCCCGGGCTCAAGCCTTCGGCTTTGGCGGATAACCCCCTCGATCTGCATAACTCTTCATATCATACTCAGCCTCGTGCAATAATTGCTCAGTAATTATACAGCCTTGAGTTCAAGGCAGCTCAAGCAAAATCGTTGGATTTCTGGCTTATTTATAGTAATTAAAGGTTGATATCAGTAGTATAACATAACAATCTATGATATTTCAATTTAGTGATGGTGAATTTTCAGACCCGATAGCAACATCACTGAAGACGTGGAAAAAAAATCAATAGTTTTATCGTTATTCGCATTCTCCGTCACTTTAGAGAAATTGAATAGAAATCCACAAGCATGCCACCCCCCGGCCCCACAAAAAAATTTTCCTTCACGCATTCTTCTTTAGCCCCCCCACTCGAAAACTTGCTGTGCGGTCCCTGCTAACTGATACTTTTATCATGCTAGATGTAAAACTATTGATACCTCGATCTTTAATGTAAACGGAGACAGCTTACGGGGCCCGTTAATCATCGGGACTTTCCAGAAACGGGCCCCAGGACTGAAAAGTTGCCCTCTGGATGGCCTGCATCCCCAAATAGACATTGTTTAAAATCATGGTTGTAGAAAGCTTCAGAGGAAAGAGCTGCCCGTTAAGTTATATCAGCAAAACTGCTCTGAATGCTCACACTACAAAATGTCATGATCATATAATAATAAAATAACAAGGAAATTAGAAACTTAAAGAACAGAAGCGTTAAGCTAAGAGAGTATTTAAGTTCCGCAGTTGGGGCTACGCGTTTTCTGTCAATTTAGAGATATTCTGATGCGATATAATAAAGTCATCTTATCTTGTCTTGCAAGTGCAAAAAAAATCTCCATCCACTGCAATTTCAGATCGTGTATATTGTGAGACGAAATTGCACTCATCGGACGGCGGCAGACATTTTGGTGTGAACGAAAAGTTCATTGACTCCCTACCCCTAAAAACCTTACAAACCCCTACTCCACCCCTAGCATTTATACCGAAACGTAAACAATCTGAAGCTTAATTTCTAACCTGTATTTACAAGGAAGAAAGTTCTTTTTCCACCGTTTTTGTAGGTTTCTCTGATCTGGTGTGAGAGTTCCTTTATTAGCATTACACTGATGAATGTTTTTCCAGTTCCCGTTCCGAGACAAACGATTGTGTTTCTTTCCAGAGATCTTTCCAGTAACTCTACTTGGTAAGGGCGAGCGGTGATTTTTCGATCTTCCGGTTGGGTTTCTGTTTCGGTTTCGGAGGCTGAGGAATCCTCGGCGCTGTCCTCGATTTCCATGATCACCAATTTCTTTCAACAAGAGACATTTAGGGTCACGTCTTTGACAAATTCACTTTGAACTTAGTACGGCGATCAGCTGTTCGAGGGCTACAAGTAATAGTGACAAAAGTTCTCTTCTGACTGGCCACCAGTTTATCGACTTTCCCTTTCCGAACAAAAATATCTACACTTTTTGTTGACTGGAAGACAGGGATAAAATCTTCAGTTCCCGCGTAACTTGCTGATGAAAATCGCTTCGCTAAGCAATTTTTAGGCGATTAAAATGACATCAGATTTTTCCGGGAATTTCCGCTCAACCTGAAAGTTCTTTCTGTTTCCGAGAAACGGATGCTTGAATAATCACTTAACAATAGGTCGTATGATAATATAAGCATTCTTTTTGTAAACAAATCATTCCCTGTGCAAATAGACCACTTGTATTTTGACAAGTCTTGTCTGGGCACGTGGTGTTTCCTTTTTAGGCAAAGAGAAACACTGTTGCGTGACGACCCGGAAAAGAATAGCCGTCCCTCGATTAATCGCCTCCCTCGAATAATAGTCTCCGCCTTCCACCACCATAGGTAACCCACTATCGACACCCATAGCGGTAAACTTGGAGGATGAGTCTTTGAAGAGCAGTCTGATCTAGAAAAACTGATCTGTGACGAGGCCGAGGATCCGACAATGAATATTAATCAAAGAACCAAATTTGGAACACTTAGAAAGCCCATGTTCAGTTTCTTTGATGCGATTATTTTTTGATTATGGGGAAATAGAACAAAATATTTAGGGCACTACTTCCAGTGAATAATATATGAAATAATCGCCTCCCTCGAATAATCACCTTCCCTTGCGCTCGAACAACGGCAGAACTTTTAAACTCGCTGGAATTAGGCCTTGGCAGATTGTACTAGCCAGGAGTATTCGGCTCCTGAACACAAATAAATTTACAACAACAGCTTATTTGAAAAACATCATAATTTGGTGTCGTTATTGAGCGCCTATATGTACAGAATCTACGTCATTTTATGAGCATAATTTCGGAAAACAGGAGCATAATTTGGGAATTCTGGCATAATTTTGGCATAATTTGGCAAAATTTCGAGCACTGGTGGCATTATGCCACTTTTAGGAGCACAATCCACCAAGGCCTAGCTGGAATCGCCCCCGGTCGCCCTGAAACGGCCAAAAATGTTAAGAAAACACCATAAATTTAGACAAGGAGACAAGGTAAGAAAATTCTTATTAATTTTTATTACTATTTTGACCCCAAACTAAATAGTAACGATCGCTTAAATCTCCATACAAACTCTTGTAATATTTCTGTTACGCAACAGCTCACTCGTGAGCTTGGGGTACCTGTAAACTGACATCATAGAATTATATGTTGCTGGAAAACAATTCTTGTTACCACACATATAGATTTATTATTAAAAGCCAACTTTGACACTCTTTTTTTATAAAAGGCTCGCGGCCCCTACCTTTTACACTAAGTGTTCCACACCCCGCCGGGCGGGGGGTGCGTTTCTCGCCGATGCACTTTAAGCGCGTGATACAGGGAAGGAATGGGAACTAGCTTACCCGTGAAAGACGGGACAAGAAGGGACAGACAATCGACAGACAACAAAAGCATTTTTTACGGTACTTGGCGAATATTTGAAGCTCAAGATGGGTTAAAATGGAACAGTATTTTTGCATTTGTTGCTATGGGAGATTATTTAAGAAAGGGGAGGTAAGGAATTATACTCATGTTAAAGAAAACATTGTGTTTTAAGTGGCGAAAATTCTAAATTTTTAATGAGACAACCGAGCGCCCAGCTACGGTCTGCCTTTCGGGTCTGCCATGAAGCCAGTGACTGCGATTTCTTTCACAAAAGTCTTACTCTTTCATTCTTGTCGTACACTGTTGCTTGATCTGATCACGAACTGAGAATCACTTAAATTTCGCTTTGTTCTTTCCTTCACGTCTTTCATCATTTACTTAATTTTATTTGGTTAAGCTTTATGCTATTAAAATGACATTTTGACTTTCTTTCTTTTGAAACGGCATAAAAGCTTACTATATTTTAACAATAAATGTTAAGTGTTAAGCTAGATTTATAACCACATCATCAAACTAGATTTAGATTGGATCGTTAAATTTCATTTTCCTAGTTTTCTTGAGAGATATGGGCTTTAAAATTCCTTTTGTTATAAGCAATTTACGCGACCTGGTTTCGTAAAGTTACGCTCAAAGATCTGTAGCAAATATTGGTCAATAATCCTGTGTAGTCGAATGTCTTACTTGTTCAGTATGTACCAAAGTGTAATAACGTGCGAACTCACTTGAAGTTGACCACTGCACATGGCTGTCAAAACACCATGTGGTCACTGTCACTTGTAACTACGAGACAAGGCGGCCATGTTGCGGGTCAATCCTCGAAAAATTTACATGAAAATAGAGTTTATTTCCCAGAGGAGGGAAATGCTTTTACTCTTGGCCACCAACATGGCTGCCGTGACATCATGTGCAAGACTGCTCTCATGTGGACGATCATATCCCTCCTTTGGGTTTAAACTATTAATTTAATCAAGTTTAACCTCATATCACAAGGATATAATTGAATCACGACTTTTACTTCAATTTGTGATTGATTAGCATAATAGATCAAATTGTGACAATTTGGCACAGTCAATTCCAAGTGTGCCCTTCCCCCCCCCCCGACATATGTCAGGAATTTGTCTTTTTTTTCAAGTTAACCCTTCACCCCCTCCCTCCCCCCCCTCCCCGCACAGACATTTCTAAATAGGCATACATTTTAGTGAAATATTGAAAAAGGAATGATGTTAAATGCTTCTGGAAGAATTGACAAATGCCCCACCCCTGGGCAGAGGTTTTCTGACAAATTCCCCACTGTAGGGACCGACAAGGTGGCAAGTGGCTGACAAAATGCCCAGGGGAGAATGGGCATGCTTGGAATTGAATGAACCATTAGGGAGGCTATTAGAGATGGAGGCTTATAAAAAGTGGGTCTTCAAAATGGGTGGGTGGGTGGGTTGTATAACATGCATTTCAGTTTATTTTATTTTGTCAGAATGAATAATAAAACAATAAAATTTGCATGTCTTGGAGGCTGTTCAATACTGAGGCCAAAGGATGATGACCTCCTGGATCTGTATAATTCTTCTCATCATACTCAGCCTCATACAATAATTACTTGATATGATTGTAGTAACTTGAGTTATTGGTTTATTAGGAAAAACAGATGCTGGTCTCATCAGGAGCATTTGCTGCCCAGATGGTGGAATCCCTTGAGGCCAGTTTGACTGATTCCAGTGGTTCAAATAAGAAGAGACATAAACGTATACCATCAGCAGATATTAAAATCATTTGGGCAAATAATCGACGTATGTATAACATGCATTGCAGTTAATTTTTCTATTTTACCTAATTTTTGTTTTTCCTTTGTTTCAAATTTATTAGCGTACAATGCTAAATCCAAAAACAAGGGTAAAACAACTGATAACCGCATGAAATACAAAATAACATGGATAAGGATAAAATGGCACTTCTACTTATGATCTAGTTGTTTATATATTTATTTAGTCACTCACAAAACCTTATACAACATGAGCAAAAGTTGTTAATTAAATTATAAAATTAATGTGCCAAGGAAGCCTAACAAAGCTTGAATCTTATAGTAATAGGTTTCCTTCAACTACCTAATGAACTAAATTCATGGCTGAGTGCAGAGTGAGCAAGATCAGAAAATTAAGCGAGAGATCAGCTATCAGTGAGATAATTCTTTAATTTTTTTTTTTTATCATGAGCTTGGGAAAAAAAAATTTAAGCTCTTTAAAGCTTGCATTTGAACGATTATTGTTCACTGCAATGCAGTTCTTTGTATGGTTTGGCAAGGAGTTCCAAAGGGTTGAAGCCGCAACTGCAAATGATCGCCCACCATTAGTTTTCAAGTTAAATGCTTGTTTTGCAAGAAGATTCTGACTACAGAAACATAGATCCCAATGGTTGATTTTTTTTAGAAGATCCATGATGAGCATGGTTCAATGTAAACCTTGAGGTGCTTGAAAGATATGAAAAAAACTGGATATGTTGTTCAAATGGCATCGAGTGAACATTCTATGAAGAGTGGTGTAACATGTTCGGTTTTGAAAATGAAGAAATGATCGCCGCAGTGAACGCAATTTATGCAATTGCATGAAGAAGCCTGAAAAAAATTCAGGAATTCAATGGGGTTTGAACGCGTGACCTCGCGATACCGGTGCGATGCTCTACCAACTGAGCTATGAAGTCACTACCAATGGAAAAGCACCCTATTCCAATGGTTCTGTTGGTGAATATGCATCTCATTAAGGAGACTTAGATTATTTTCTCATGTGGTCTAGCTGGGTACAGGGCAATTCCAATGGTCCATTGGTACCAATGGTACGATTGGTACCAATGGAAAAACACCCTATTCCAATGGTTCTATTAGTGAATATGCATCTTATTAAGGAGACTTAGATTATTTTCTCATGTGGTCTAGCTGGGTACAGGGCAATTCCAATGGTCCATTGGTACCAATGGTATGATTGGTACCAATGGAAAAGCACCCTATTCCAATGGTTCTGTTGGTGAATATGCATCTCATTAAGGAGACTTAGATTATTTTCTCATGTGGTCTAGCTGGGTACAGGGCAATTCCAATGGTCCATTGGTACCAATGGTACGATTGGTACCAATAGAAAAGCACCCTATTCCAGTGGTTCTATTGGTGAATATGCATCCATTAAAAAATAAAAATCTCCGTCGATTCATATGTTTATGAGTGATAAGGAGACATTCAAACTTCTGCTGTTTTTCCACGGCAACAGGTGCAATCCTGAAATCATCAGTAGATGGATTCTTCTAGCTCAGTCCTGGGCCTCATCGGAAGCTACAGCCGAGAAAAGAGCACGGCAAATACAATTTGTCAACGACAACGTTGACGTTAAATACATCAATGGTTTTACTACGACCTTGATTATAGCAAACTGGTGTACCTCAATGGGTTACCACGACAAACCCCATGTCAACAGTCAAAAGTGACTTCAGTCACTTGAATATAAAACGGCTCTCTTAGGAGCCACCAAATACAATACAAAGTCATAACCAACAGCACGATATAACCACCCTTTGCGGAAAGACTTCATTGAAAACTTGTTTTGGTTTAAACGCTTCCATGTAGATAATGAAATTGCGCTAAGAAATTTCAGAAGTTAATTTCACAGTGAGTTGAGTACAGTTGTTAAAACCTGTTGCCTCAAAGTAGACTACGAGTAGTCCGCTCGCGTTTCGCTCGCTCCACTATCCCTGAGGAAAAATGGGGGACTACTCGTAGTCTACCTCAAAGCCACTTTGCTAGTTTCGCGCCTTTCCGTGTTGTTTCGGGTTCTTTTAACGAGTAAGAATTACCAAAAAATAGTGCTTGCGTACAGGAAAGAAGACATTCATATGTCATGTTGTTGTTTGCTCGTGAATCACTATAAACAGAACGAACACGACAGTGACGCGTTACCTTTCAATTTTAATGTTCGTACGATGTTTGTTATACTCGCAGCACCTTGAGATATTATTAGCGCTAGATATATAGGTCGCCCTCGCTTTGTAACTATTAGTGCGTTTCTACTTTGTGTGAAAGCGAACTTGTTTTGCGTGGTTAGCCTATAGAACGAGGAATATTCATAAGAATTATGGCGCATTTTTAATTGGTGTAACAGCGAACTTGTTTTGCGTGGTTGGCTTATAGAACGAGGAATATTCATAATAATTATTAGCGCGTTTTTACTTAGTGTAAAAGGCAACTTGTTTTGTGTGGTTGGCTTATAGAACGAGGAATATTCATAATAATTATCAGTGCGTTTTTACTTGGTGTAAAAGCGAACTTGTTTTGCATGGTTGCATGGCTTATAGAACGAGGAATATTCATAAGAATTATAGCGCACTTTTACTTGGTGTAAAAGCGAACTTGTCTTAACTTGTGTTATGTGGCTGGCTTATAGAACGAGGAATATTCATAAGAATTATAGCGCGCTTTTACTTGGTGTAAAAACGAACTTGTTTTGCGTGGTTGGCTTATAGAACGAGGAATATTCATAATAATTATTAGCGCGTTTGTACTTGGTGTAAAAGCGAACTTGTTTTGCATGGTTGGCTTATAGAACGAGGAATATTCATAAGAATCATAGCGCGCTTTTACTTGGTGTAAAAGCGAACTTGTTTTACGTGATTGGGATATAGAACGAGGAATATTCATGAGAATTATAGCGCGCTTTTACTTGATGTAAAAGCGAACTTGTTTTGCGTGGTTTTCTTATAGAACGAGGAACGCTCATAATAATTATTAGCGCGTTTTCACTTGGTGTAAAGTGAACTTGTTTTGCACCAATAGAACCATTGGAATGGCATCATTTTCCATTGGTACCAATCGCACCATTGGTACCAATGGACCATTGGAATTGCCCTGTACCCAGCCAGGTCACATGGGAAAATAATCTAAGTCCCCTTAATGAGATGCATATTCACCAATAGAACCATTGGAATAGGGTGCTTTTCCATTGATACCAATCGTATCATTGGTACCAATGGACCATTGGAATTGCCCTGTACCCAACCAGGTCACATGGGAAAATAATCTAAGTCCACTTAATTAGATGCATATGCACCAACAGAAGCATTGGAATAGGGTGCTTTTCTATTGGTACCAATCGTACCATTAACACCAATGGACCATTGGAATTGCCCTGTACCCAACCAGGTCACATGGGAAAATAATCTAAGTCCCCTTAATTAGATGCATATGCACCAACAGAACCATTGGAATAGGGTGCTTTTCTATTGGTACCAATCGTACCATTAACACCAATGGACCATTGGAATTGCCCTGTACCCAACCAGGTCACATGGGAAAATAATCTAAGTCCCCTTAATTAGATGCATATGCACCAACAGAACCATTGGAATAGGGTGCTTTTCTATTGGTACCAATCGTACCATTGGTACCAATGGACCATCAGTTTGACGAATCGTATCCGTTTGTGTATATTGGACATGTGTGTATTTCCTCATCACGTAGTTCAGTTATGTGGAATTCATGTACCAGTTCCCATCAATTCAAAATTGCATATGTTTCTTTCCTTTTAGAAACAAATGCAGTCTTTAGCAAACTTGGTGCAGAGGATATTGTCAGCCGCTATGATAAACTGTTGCATGAGTGGAAGTTGATGAAGGATGCTGAACTGGACTTCAAGAGGGTTATGGGTTTGGATCATGATCGGCCTCTTGTCAGGTGTTTGGATTCCATTCCTCCTGGTAAAAAACAATTATTCATTCTTTTCTGTACTATATAGCTAATCAGGATATATGGTAACATGTAAAAAATATTGGTAAATAATGCAAAATTTGCTGGAGGTCACCTCATGCAACAAAAAGGTTTGTTATGGAGCAAATAATACACTTAATTTCTTCAGAGTATATTTCACTCACAAACTGAATTCTTCCTGTGTTTAGGTGCACTTCAAAATATAGTTGACAGGCTCTGCATAGTGATTCAAAAGTACAATTAAATGATGAAATAACAGGCCATTTCCGAGTCCCCCCGGGCCTCTGTATCAAAATGAGGTTAAGTGCTCAGCCTTTGAAATGGAAATGACTATTCATTCTTATTCAAGTAAAACTCGTTTTCACATGAAAGGTTGTGCACTTGGCATCATGTTGAAAGTGAGAGGTTTTGGGTCTCGGAAGTGGCCTTTTGCATACATGTTTGTTAAAATGTTGTCCAAATTATGCATTTTAACTTATGATGAGATTTCTGGTGATTAATCAATTAGATGTGATTTGAAGTCAATTTAGATCAATTTAGGTTTCTGTGAAACTGCCCACCTACCCCTCCCCTAAGCGGACAGTAACACTTACTTCTCACTTACGGCAAAATGTTTGCCCGCCTAGCCTTAAATACCTGGGGAGAACACTGCCCAAAAGAGGGCAGAATGTATGCTGCTTGATTGCCCATCTATGTGCCAGAAGGTCTTAATGTGAAGCAGGGTGCTTTAAGTGATTTTGGGACAATTTTTTTTTTTTTTTTTAACAATTTAAGTATTGGAACACCTACAGTTAGTACTCTGGTCTGATGTGTTCCTTTTAGGGGTGGAGTGGTCTGGACCCCCTTGATCTGCCACTGTTTGTCTTAAATTGCCTTGCTTGCTTGCCAGCAGGATAAGCTCAGTTAGTGGAGCACTTGACTGCAGAGTAGGCATTTGTAGGTTCAATTCCCTTGGCCAAACTGATACTCAGTGTCTTAAAAAATTGAGAAATGAAGGTACTGGCTTTGCCCTGCAAACAGCCAGACCTTTGTGTGGCTTGGATAAACATTTGAATTGGCGGTCCTGTCTCTAGTAGTATGATTTGATCTTGAATGCCATTTATATTAGAACCAGTTTTTCTTTGGCCTCTTTGAAGCCTAGTAAAGCTTTTTTAGTATGGCTAAAGAACCTTTCAATAACGATTTCAGTTTCTTTTCTTTTCTCCAAAATCCCTGGATCTGAAAAGCTACATGTGTGTAGTTGTCTGTGAATTTGATAATTTTCTGGTTGCCTGCTATGTTTTGATGACAGGCTCTAAAGCCAATCAAAATCTTTCATTTACATGATGTAGTGATCTACGAGTAATAGCCAATCAAATCATTTTCCACACATTCCAGGAAAAATCACATGGCCTTCATACACGATTAGCAACGGTAAATCACAGATGCCGCATCTCTGATTTCTCCTGAAAGGAGGGGATGGGGGGTCTGTACACAGGCTATCTAGTAGGAGCTGAATACATCGACACTCAAATTAAGGGGTTTTTTTTAGACATGAGGATTGGCTTCAGCTATGGAAATGTGGAAGGTGAATATGAATTTCACCTTGATGTCCATCCCCTGGTGTCAGTTGACAGTCTTAAAGAACCAGTAGCAGATACACTCAAGACAGCCATCTTCCTCTTTCGTGAAATATCAGATAGAATGCATTTTGTGAAGGTGGAGGGAGCCTTGATTCAGAAAGATCTGGAGAAGTTGATTGGTCATTTTAAAGATGACAAGGAGACTAGTGTGAACATAATGGGTGTGCGGCACAGCGTAGAGCTATTGAATGTCCAACAAGTAGAGCAGGCTCTTCTCATTGTAAAGGACATCATTACTTTTACGACAATGCGCATCAATGCTTTAATGGATTACATTGTACAGCAGGGGGACAAAGTAGATATGCAGGTGTCTAAGAATGATCCAGACAATCCTAAAGTCATTATATTTTCAAAGAAATTAGGAAATTCTAAAAGGCGAAAGTCTCAAAGTTAAATTTGCACCTGACATGAAGTTGAATTTGTGAATATTTTACAGGTCAAATTTGATTTCAGGTTAAAATTTTGTAATCTAGGTTGATTCTCCATTTTCTTTGTCTTCTGGGGTTAGGAGAAAAAGGGAATCAAGAATCAACTTAGGTTAAGTCAAGTAAATCTGAGATCAAATTTCATCTGTAACATATGTGATAATTTTTTCATTAATTTTACCCATTTCTGTTTTGTTGTAAAGAAAAAAGATAGAACATGATTTATAGATGATAGTGATGCTAGATTTATAAAAAGTTAATGTAGTGCAATGGAGGGCCTTGACAAGAAGGTCCTTTGTCCCTGGTCTGAATTTCAAAATTTTTTGTGTGCTTATTTTGTATAGTTGCCAGATGTTGAAGGAAAATGTTTCTCTCAAAATGTTGTTCGCAATTCTCTGTTGTGTGTTTGTAAACACTATTTTTCAGCCATGAATCATAGAGAAGTTTACTCTGGAAGGGCTGATTGATATTATTTTTTATTTCATTTATTTTTCTCCTTTTGCTACGAAGGGAGGTTGAATGATTGATGATAAAGGTTGAAGTGCTATGAGGCAAAAACAGGGAAGTTGTTTTTTGCAACTCTCTCCTTTAGCTGAATGTTTTATAAATTATGAAAATATGTGTGCAACAACATTTACCCCATTTTAGTAACAAAATGGCCGGCCCATTTTAATTGCTCTGGTTCTGGGGTGTTGAAAGCAACATATTGTTATTATTGTTATAATATCACAGTATTAAATAGGACTGATATAATGATCATTGTTGCCTCAAGGACTAATTAGACCTTATGCTCTAATCACAAAAAATTAGAATTAATTTTTTCATATATTCCATACAGCTGGAAAAAGACATAGTTAATAAGTTTTTTTGCTAAATAAAAAAAAGCTAATATATTGACATTACCTAGCTAAATGAAATTGTGCTAGGAAAATGAAGTAATAGGTTTATCAGATGAGATTATTTTGCTTCTTAGGAGGGTAGTAAAAGTGTTTTTTAATTGTACTATAGGCGTCTAGTATTGTAGCCTCCCACGCAGACATTCCTAGGGGTTTGTCACACATTCATGCTCCACCAACAGTTAGTGGGGCAGGAATGTGTGACGAACCCTTAAGAATGTCTGGTCAGGAGGCTAGTAGTATTGTTAAGTAGCCTGCATGGTAGGTGTTGAAATACTAGCCCATCACAAACATTTAGATAATCGAGATTGGTGCAAGATGGAGAGTGCTTTGAAAAAAAGCAGAAGAAAGGAATCTTTGCTGTCATTTCCTGCCCGCTTTTCATTGCACCGTCCCCACCATCTGAATGCAGGAACAGGCTAGCATTTTAAGAGGTACTGTAGAGGAGGAAAGGAAAAAGAGAATTAAGGGGGACTGGAAAGAGTGGAGGCTCTCTCTCCCTTTTCCCTTTCATTTTTTCTTCCCCTTCCCCTCCCCCTACCTTTCTTTGCACCTGCCATGGAAGCTGATTATTCTAAAGCAGAGGTAAGGTATTGATTAAGCTTTGTATTTTAGAAGGTTTGAATAAAAACCAGCTATTTCATAACAAAGTAATGTCTGAAGATTTTTTGTTTTTCAACATGATAGTCTAGGCTTATCCTTAAAGACACACACCGTCCATTGGTGGTGCCGTAGAAGTTTAGAAGGAGGGCCAAAATACCTGATCTTCTGTAGCCTGTTTCAGACCACCCTTTGCAGCATGATATGCATTGTGTCTTGTTTTCCTTAAACAATCTCTTTGAACAAAAGATGAAACAGAGAATCAACTGTGGAGTGAATATTAAAGTGCTACAAATTACCCATGCATAATCCCCACTGAACATTATCAAGCAAGATTTTTTGATCAGAGGGAGTGAGTCGCAGTGATTTGGGTATCCCCATGTTTTGGGTATCCAACCCCGTTCCAAAATCGCAAGTGATTATACGGTGGGCCATATCCGGATACTCCAGACATGACAGAGCCAACTGCTCCAACGACCAATTTACTTTGCATTGTCAGAAATTAAAGGAAGACGAAGACAATTTGAAGATCTTGTTATTCTTTACAAACCGAAGGTCAAGATAGCCGTTTTGAACTGTTTATGGGACATTTAAAAGTGGAGGTGGCGGGGGAGTTTTGTTTTTAGGTCTTTTGTTCCTCGTTCTACCCTTCATCCACCAACACTGGGGAGAGTCGGGAGAGGACATTTTTGTAGCACACAGACCGGGAAAAATGAAAAAAGAACATGCAATATATTAAAATGACGGGGTATAGCCAAATTTCTTAGTGATCAAATCGGTTAGTGATCTTGTTATCCTGGAAGGGTAACCGGGGTTCCCCCAAAACCGTAAATATAAATATGAGAAGGGTGGGGATAGTGGGGGTACAAAATCACTTTGACCGGGATTGATCGAGAACTGGGAACGAAATGTTCGATTGCGACACTCTTGCGACACACGTGCGAAAACAACATGGCGGAAAGCTCAAGTGAAAAGATGGCGAGCGAAACAGCAGACGAAGAGCCGTTTAAAACTGTTCCAGTAAAAAGAAAACGAAAGAGAGGGAAAGTTGAAGATATGGACACTTCTGAGGCATCAAGGCGACCTAGTTTCCCGCCGGCAAAAGCCGAGAAATTGATGGTATAGCATCAGCATGTAAAAAGTTTTTGTTGCTCGTGCATGCTCGATCAACAGCAACAACTAATGCACTTGCTTGGATAGATTTTTGGGATTCATTTTGTTACTTTGCATTATAGGATGGTAAAAAAGAGGCTAGAAAAATACCGGTTCCACCACACCGATATACACCTCTGAAAGAAAACTGGATGAAAATCTTTACACCCATCGTGGAACACTTGAAGCTACAAATTCGTTTTAATTTGAGTGCAAGAAAAGTCGAAATTCGGGTAAGGTATTCCATTACCAATACCATTTAATCTTTTAATTGATTTATAAATAGTAAGTAATCCCTATAATGAGTCAGTGGTCTGTACAAATCTTAAAACAATGAACAAACACTGCCCAAAACTGAAGTGGACTAGAAAAAAGCCTTGCCATCACCTTACTGGCAAACCCACACATTACGCACTTATCGTTGGCTTTCCCCGGGGTTCAACTCCTGCAGATTTGTTTTTACCATCAAACAAAACTACGTCTGGATTGAATGGACATGGTAAAGATCTATTAAAACAAACCAGGAAACAAAATAAACAAAAAAAAAAGGAAATCTAGTGAAGACTGCACCTGGAGTAGTTACTGAAGTCATCAAAAACTAAATGCTTGGTGTTAAGCTAAAGCCGGTCTCATGGGTGTTGCATGCCAAATGGCATCGTCATGTTCAGAGTATTCACTTCAAGATTATTGCTTACTATTGATTGTTATCGATTTTGTTAATCAATAATAATCGATAAATTAGTTTTCTGTGACTTCAATTTCTATCGACTTTCGACATCAATCAGTATTAATCGGCGGGTTACATCGATTATTATTGATGATATTGATTGATTTCCTATATTGATTTTAATCGATTAACTACATATGGTGTATATAATTTAAATATTTCATTGTAAGGCGCATTTGAAAACCTGGTTGAATTTGCACGGTACAAATGAATATATAATAATAATTATTATTACTATTATAATTATCATTACTAATTCTTTCTTAATGCGACTCGTTGAAATCATAAGAACACTGATTTTGTTCTTTACTATGCTCTATATTAATTTATGAGGTTGCTGCAGCGACAAAGAGTTATTTTCTGACACTTTCACAGTGGTTATATTTCTTTCCTTATTATGAACCGTGCTTAAGCTATTAAAAAAATCAACACAAAGAGCATTTTTTTCCAGTTAGTGTTTTGTTCTTTTAGTATTTTATCAATTAAAAGAACTGCGCAGCTGACTGACTCAATAATGCTGTTCAGACAACATTGTGTTAATGTTGAACTTCTACTGAATAATGACTTAAGTCTTTTCCGATGATAGTAATAATTACATCGGAACAATCATTAAAAAAAATCATTATTGATTTCTATCAGAAATCTATATAAGTAACAACTTTTTTTTATCAATTTCTGTCAATTGATATTGGAAATCAATATTCATCAATGCCATACTAGGGAGCAGCAATCTGCGAACCTTCACTCTAAGACTTGTTTATTGTCCTACACATAGGCCTTTATAAATAATTATTGTACTAGTAAAAGTAGAATATTATGCCAGTAGCAGTGCCCAATTTTTCTCAAAGTTATGCTTGTTTTTGAAAATTATGCTAATTTTGGCAAAATAATGCAGAAATTATGCTTATACTTTTTACTTTAAGTTGGTAAAAACACCTCGATAACTATGCAAGAGACAAGTGAATCTCATTTACTCTGTTTACATCTAGAATCTTTTTACATGACCACATAATTCATTATAAATTACCTTGCTATTACTGTCTTGCAAGGTATATGTAGTTATAGATGAATGTAAAAAGGTAAGCAACAAAATTGTCTAAACACTATATAACTCAAACAATTAAAAACCAGCATGTGATCACCATTGTTGGTAACTGGACTAGTTATACAGATGGGTTGAGTTCTAAAGAAAGAATCCTGGCTCACTTCCTGTGGGACCCAGGTCCCATGAATGTGACAATAAGCAGACAAAAATATCATTTGTTACTTAAAATGCCTGTAACAATGATCTCGGACCTAAAAAAATTGGTCGCCTGATCAATGACAATTTTCTGTTGCAAATGTAGATCCTTCTAACCTGTGAACAGGCCTTTGGTAGGGAGAGGGAAAAGCGAAAAGGCCTGTAGACAAACATTTGGGACTGCCGTTCCACGGCACCCGCTGTGCATCAGATCCTGATGCAAGCTCCTATTGGCGAGAACGCTGACTGTTGACAGGTCCAATTGACATCGGCTTTTCGATCGGCACGTAGTGCGCGATTTGTTCTCAAAGTGGCAATAACAAAACACGCCAAAGACTATTAAGCTTGTTCAAAACAAATTCCAAGGGAGGAACTATGCGCTCCAGTCAAGAGATTCACACTATCTTTACAAAAACACTAAGATGGAATTTACTGAGTCACAATGCAATTCTCCATAGTTGATGTAGCTTCGGTTTAATCTGCACTTGAATCTTATAACTTTGGATCTGTAAATTACTATCCGTGATAATTTTTAAACATTCCGCAAAGAAATCTAATGAGCTGGGCCCAGTGTGATACGACATTTCAGAACTGAAAACATTACATTCACGGACTAAATAAAATTTCTTAGTTATTCAGATCCAGAAGGCACTTTGGAGAAAAGTAAGACCCTTTTTCAGCCGCAATAAAAAGGTTTACGTTTCAAAAAAGGTCAAAGAAAACGCTCTTGCATTCAGAGGGCAAATCCTGCCGACCAGAGACAAAAACCACAGTAAATCGATATGTGTGCCATGACCTCTCAGTGTGAAACAAGTGGCTAAAATCACATTTGCTCAGTGAAAATGTAGAACTTACCAGAGCATAATCTACCCAGCAGAAGAAAAAACTATGAGAACAAGCTGCATTTTGGCATGAGGCTAATGTCGTGTAGGCCACCACCCCCTTTTATTGCTATAAATACAGGATAAATACCCGAAGGTGTAGTTCTTGTCGGCGATCGAAGTGCTGCTGATCTCTTTGTACTTGTCTTTGGAGCTTTACGTTCTGGAGAAGTCATGATAGTATCTGTACCTTTCGCATTCCAAGTTCGCTCATTGCAGGGGCTTGTTAAATTAGAAACTGAACTAGCAAGACGAACGGACCGTCGCGCACAAGTTAAGCAGCTTAAATCGGAAAAGCTTTCTCCTTGCTCAAGGGGAAATCTTGAGGATTCAAATGCTTGAGCTAGTACAACGCTGTCTTGGCCACTGTCAACCAGCAACGTCTTATTTCTTGAAACGCCAAAGACCGGCACCACATTAATTCTCTTACCGGAGATCAACGACTTTTCGCAAAATCGACAATTAGGCTCGAGGTCCAATCAAACAAGGTTCATTTCCCGTTAATTTTCCCAGGAGTTACTCACGCGCGAAATTGATTGACAGATAACGATCTTAATGACAGATGTTCGGCAGGATAATTACAAGAGGGCAGAATAGCGGCCTCAAGTGTTTGTCTACAGGCTCTCTCTCCCCCCTTTCCCTTCCCTTTCCTCACTATTTTTTTCCCCAAACAGAGAGCCTGTTCACAGGCTAAGATCCTTCTGATCTCTTTGTATGCTTTAATGAATTACAAAGAAAGATAGCTCTACTTTATCCTTTAATGTGGCAGTAAAACTTTCTTAACCAGGGCCCTGACTCTTTCGAAATTCTCAGAAATTGTTTCATATCTGATCGGCTGATGAACTGCCCCAGGGGGTTACTCTAGATTTCAGGTGATAGGGATGATTGAAGGTTTTTTTGGGTTTAAAGTTTTTGATTCCGAGAGTTTTTTGGGTAGCAAAATTTGTCAAGTATTTTGTTAGGTGGCCCATATGGCCGCATGGCCATGTATCTCAGCCAGGCAGTTCTTCGATTAAAGTACAACCAAACTAGGTTTCCTTTCTGGAGATTTTTAAGGCTCAGAAATTTGGCATGGGATTTTTTTTTGGGGGGGGGGGGGGTTTTTTTGGTCCAAGGATTTTTTGGGGTTTTGATTTTGGGCCCAATTATTTTGGTAATCCCTGTCACTTGAAGTTCAGAGTACCTCCCTGGGGAACTGCCAAAGCCAGACACCTTTATTGTAGTTGTAAACTGTATTGCTTAGTGAAGTTTAGGTGGCCCTGGGCGAGATGAGTTCATGACAACCAGCACTGCTTCTGTAATCTCTGTTTCTGAATTCTTTTTTTTTTGTTTTGTTTTTGTTTTTCAGACTTCCAAAGACACTACAGATATTGGTGCCATTCAAAAAGCAGCAGATTTCGTTCAAGCATTTCTTCTTGGATTTGAGGTAGAGGTAAGTGCGTTGGGTGGTTATTTACATCATGTTTATGATAGGTGCATGTGTCACAATACTCTGTTTTGATTAAGACTGGCTGGCCAGACTAAACATTTTGAAAATGAACTATTAGTATTTTCTCTAAATTGTAACTAAAACCGATTGCTGCTGTGCACACTATTTAAACTGATCTGGCCAGATAGTCCTGGTCAAAAAAATTCTCCTTACAACTTACTGGTCTGGCCAGTCCCAGTCAGTTCTGGCAATGGTAAGCACCCTTAGTTCCTGGTTGAATCTGAAAGGTGGTCATAATTTACTTAACTCTTCCAATATTGATTACCAGTGGTTTTAATGATGACTTCTGCCATGCTAATTGTGAGAGTCTCATTTCAAGACTGATGCTTAGCTGGTCTTCAAGACAGTTAGCTCGGGTCCTGTTGAGACTCACTGACAGCAATAATGCATTCTGAAAACCACATTCTTGTTAAAAGGGCTGTGAAAGTAATGCTTCAATAAGCTGTAGAGATAATTGAATTTTTACCAATCGTTTCTTTAGGATGCCTTGGTTCTGGTCAGACTGGATGATTTGTTTCTGGAAACTTTTGAAATTGCTGATGGTAAGATACATCCTTTTTATTTTAAGAACCAAAGCAGAACTGATTTTTACCGTGTTCATACAGGTCATGGAAAAGCTGGAAGGTTATGAAATTTAGGAATTTCATTTTCCAGGCCTGGAAAGTCATGGAATTTATTAATTGTCAGACCTGAAAATTCATGAAACGGGAAAATCAAAGTTATGTTTGGTAGATAGTAAAGCAAGGACAGTGTAAGATAGAAACAAGTCATGAAGCAGCGTGAGTGGTACAGATTTTGGTGAACACCAGAATTTTTTAAAGTGACAGTTTAACATAAAGTCGTGGAAGACTTGAAAAGGCTCTTTCCCATGCTTGCTACTATATTGTAAATTCTTATTCTTCCCCTAGTGACCAAGTAAAGCACAGCAAAAAGCAATCTGTGCAGTCTTTATAAAAAAAACCCTGATCTGGGTCAAGGGAAAACCACGAAAGTTCAACCAGTCATTTTAAAAGTTTTAAAACTACTGTTTGTGAATTGTAAATAATTATTCCGGCAGTTTCTAAATAATTTATTTTATCCCTTTAAACATCATATTTCTTTTGTATTTTTTCGACCGAATGTTCATTTTTTTCTCGAGAGCGTTTTAACGAGTTGCGACTCCTGTGCTCCTCTTTTAATATCAACCATGTCTTCTATGTCTACGTCTTAGTGCTGGGTTTTACTCTGTTCAAAAATTCAAGATGATTTAACAAGTATTTTTTTTGTTTGTTTTCGACAGTTAAGCCACTGAAAGGGGATCACCTCTCACGAGCCATAGGGCGCATTGCTGGAAAGGGAGGCAAGACAAAATTTACCATTGAAAATGTATCAAAGACCAGAATCATTCTTGCTGACTCGTGAGTTTTAACCATGAAAGTTTTTCCTTACCATTTATTTTAGCATTTATAAGCTTTTTTATTTCTTTTGTAATTGCTGCGGAGCGACCGAAGGGAGCGAGCAGCAACATAATCAGGATTTAAAGGAAATATATAAGGGGCGACGAATTCTCGAATTCATCACTTTTTACCACAATACATTGCATTTAACGACACTTTTTACCACAATGCATTGCATTTAACCAGAATGCGTTGCGCCACGAACAACTCAAATAAAAACACGGGGAAGTTCGGTGGGTGAGAGAGTGCATCGTTCGCTGCTCAGACTTAGAGTTTTCTTTGTGGCAAATTTTCTACAGCACGGTTAGAGGTCTTACCAAATTTTAAGACACGCAGGAGTCTTTCAGATGAGTACGATGGTTAACTTGGGGATTGGATTTCAATTCAAGAGCCTTTTTGACTCGTCCAGGTGTTAAACCTGACGAGAAGATGAGCATTTGCTATTATGCTTCGACTCCGCAACACGGGGGATATACAAATTCCAGCTTGCTAGAAGGTGATGTGAAAGTGAGAAAATGTCATGCAATGCTATTCTTAAGAAACTGTATGAGCCGAAAATGGATGTGATTTTGACCATTCGCTTCAAAATAAGAGCGGAAATCGAGATAACAAAACATACGTTTTGTGTCCTATTTTGCAGACGAGGACGTGTATCGGCGTTTTGAAAAGCATAATTATGTTCTTTCATTCATTTATTGCCATGGAATATGCGTTTACATTGTTTTTTCACTGTCAATAGCTCGGTTAATGCGGCTGGCGATCATCTTGCCGGCGGAAGTTTTATGGAAAAGGAGTAAAATGAAAGACTTTTCCTAATGACTACGTAGGCAGTCTCTGTGGTGTAGTGGTTAGGTGTAGTCGCGTTGAGTCGAAGGTGCCGGGTTCGAACCCTACTCAAATATCTATTCCATCCTTCTTTTTTTCCCCGTTTTTTGTGTTGTTGTTTTCTATAAATATATAGCTAAATAACTGTTACTTAATAAAGTGCAACAAACAGCAAGAAAAGTATTGTGTTTCCAGAGAAAATATCGTGCACCGTATATTAAATATATGGATAAACGATCTGATTTCTATTATTTCCTACAATTTACTGTGGGAAAACCAGAGTTGATAACCACTTGATCATTTTCTAAACAACGTTCCCACGAGTTCTTTCTATAGACTGATAGTAATTATTCTAGTACTTTCCAACATGTAATGTCATGTCAAAGTCATTTTTGATTCTTTTAAGTCTCACTGCCTAACTAATGCCAGTATCAACAGAATGTGCCGCAGCATTACTATCTTTTAGATACCCTAGTTGCAATACCGTAAAGCTCCGAAAGATACCACCCTCTTTACTTTCGGATTTAGCACCCCTCTGCTGTCGCCCCTTTTGGAGGCTCGCTACTTTCGGATGGCTAAAATGTGTACTCCACATGGGCACTTCAAAAGATAAAATCGCAAAAAATGTGAAAGGAATACTTTTTGAAAAAAGGTACCGTATATCCTGTACTTTAAGAGTTATGAATAGGAATGTCAAATAATCATTATTAATAAACCTCGGATCAGTGTGGCATTTGTCCCGGATATCTATCATATCCTTTATTTTTTTCCAAGACGGGAAATTAGTTTTGAGGTCTCTACTTTCGGAGGTTCGCTACTCTCGAGGGTTCGATTCTTTCATAACTTTACGGTAATCTCATGGTTTGCTTATCTCAATTTTACAGAAAAATCCATATCTTGGGATCCTTTCAGAACATCAAAATTGCCAGAACAGCAATTTGTAGCCTCATTTTAGGTATGTTGATGTGTAAATATTGCTTTGTAAGTATTTAGTGTTCATCTTTTCACCCTGGGGAATACTCCGACAGAATGCGCCCATTTTATTATACTTCAAAGAAGGACTTCAGTAAGAAGGACAAATCGCTGCACTGGAGTACAATATTCTGGTTGGCCTGTGCTCATAGTGTGAATTGTTATGTTTGTGTTACAGGAAGCCCACCGTCGAAAGTTTATGGAAATATGAGAGCTGTGGCGAGTAGAACAGCAGAGAGATTTTGAAGACGATATACGTACAAAGATTCCAGGAAACAATAACTATGTCGTATCTGCACACTGGCAGTCGATGATCTGCGTTCACAATGAGCGATTGTGCCAATGATGTCAATATCGTCTGGGTGACTTAAAAGTGAACTGAAACGCCAAGCGGCGGTGACATTTATAATCTTGAAGAAAGAAAACTTACGCATGATAAGTGGAATGTATAAAACTCTGACACTTTAAACCATATTCGTTCTCAGATTTGGATCACGGAAGACTGTACATATAGAATAAGGAAAAACAGAGCAAAAATTAATGAATGAAAAGGTTTGTTTCTGAAGAAACTATGGTGTTGGATCGGTGAGGAAGTGAAGTTTAGTTTTATAGTTTGGCCACGAAAAGGCCATTGAGAGGGCGAATCAGGTCGTTACTTGCTCCCAGGCCTCCCAGGCCTTTGTGCCTTGCTCCCACCAATAGAGACCCCTAAAAAGAGGACGACTACAAGCAGGAGATTTTCTCAATACTATGTAGTGCGCACGCGTGAACCAGCGCCATTTTGGCGGGAAAATGTGATAGCCGTCGCCATACGTCGTCGTCACAACCTCGTTCCCAGGATTCTCTCTCTTACTTCGAGAAAGAACTCTGGTATCGAGGTATGTCCAAAAATGCACGCACTGGCGAAAATGGCAAAAATTTGGCGAATGGCTTATTTGGCAAAAATGACGGAAATGGCGAAATCCAAGTTCTTTGAATCGCCAGCTGTCTGGCGATTTTCGCCATTGCATACATTTCTGGACATAAGTACTGGTTTCGGCTGGTCATGTGACTACCTGTGACAAGGATCAGAGGTACTGCTAATGTATTATCTTTTTTGAAGTTCTATTAACGCCAGCTGTGCAGCGTAAAGCGTGCCATAACAACTCGTTCATAAATTTGGTTTTTATTCACTTTATACAAATTCTCCCGGATATGACAAATGTTTTATACATTTACAAAATTGTAAGAAATTGGCTTTTGGCTAGTAAAATAAATTTCTAACATACAAATGAGTTGCAGGTGAGCGCAGCCGGCCCTGCTTTCTCCTGATGATTGTAAACCGTTGTACCTGTTACTGAAAGGCAGGGCCATCCTGAACATGTGAAGGGAATGCTTTTTCCACGAACGTTATCCAGGAGCGAGGAGCACTGACAGAGAGGCTGTTACTGCATTCGAAACACGATCTTAACTCATGCAGGAACCGACTTTTTTCGCGTTCGACAATCCTGGCCACAACATGCGAGCAAAGGTTACTTTCTCGCGGTGCTTGTTCTGGCATGTGAAAGGTGCTTAGTGCGAAAACTGTGGTCCCTGCTCGCAGGCTAACAAAAGAAGAAACGCTGACTACACTTTATAAAGAAATCGTTCACGCCAGCGTGAACCCATAGAATAGAAAATGCGCGTATTTTTCGATGTTTTAATTTTTTTGAAAAAAAAAAATGTATCAAACTATTCGCTTTTGGCAAATTCTGTAAATAATAATAATATATATTTAGATCTACTTGTATCATGTCCTACACAGCTGGGAAAAATACAGAAAAATTGAAAAATATCTCAGCTTGTAACAGTTCTTATATTGCAATAATTTCGTCGCTCATTTAATTAAACGTATCTCCAATAAATCTATTCACGACACCGACCGAAACGAAACGTGTCGAAGAGAGTATATCTACCCAAAAAATTACTTCGGCTGGACTTTGTTCCAGCCTCGGTTCGGTGTTTTTCTTCGTCATAACGGGGTTAACTGCAGGAAACCACCCGTTTTACACCTGTTAAAGCTTGCGCCGCAAACCGCACCTCAAATAAGCTATGACGATAGGAATTTCCGCTAAGACGGAGCTGAAACAACCTCAGCTATAAAACTGAATAGCTGTGTAATCCCCTGGATTCATAAGAATGCAATAAGGAATTTATCGCTTTTACCACAAAGGGCTAACGCAGCTTTGTCGAACGCATCAGTGAACTGGTTAAGTAAAACAAGTCCTCAATCGTGGGTCGCAGCCTTGGGTCTGGCATTAAACATGACAAAATCAAATTCACAGCATCAGGACTATAATAGTCGGCTTCGGCAAGTCGCGGAGGAGCAACACCATTCACAATGTTGTTCAAGACTTTGAAAATATTTTCACCGGGGCCAAGGTGAAAAGCTGGTCCTAAGTAAACTAATTCGTAAGCAACGCATCCAAGCGACCAAGAGTCTTGTTTTGGTGAATATCTCTGTCCTTTGATTCTTTCCGGGGCAACGTAAATACCGTAAAAAGAATCCTTGGCATCAACGCATACGTTAAGCTCCGTTTCACTGGGTGTATAAATTAAAAGATTATGCAGTAGGATGTCCCCCGTGCGTGTGAGAGACAACGTTTTACTTGAAATTTCGGGGTGCACAATCTGTTTTCTCTGTAAATACAACAAGACGTCGCAGATTTGATGAAGCATTTTCCATAAAAGCCACTCCGGCAATTTAATGCCAGTTTTCCGATAATCATGCACCAACTCGTGAAGACTTTTTGGAAACGGTTCCAGAACAACTCCCACGGAGTCCCCTTCTTTAAACCATAGTAAAACCCGCATTATATTTTTGTGACTTACGTCGGTCCATTTCTGTAATAGATGGGACAAACTCGCAGAGTCACAAGACTTGATGTTTATGCACTTCAGCAAGACCTTAGAATTATCCAGCAAGCTCCTGGTGGGATATATGCAGTGAATTCGCATGTCTCTGGATAGATCAATGCCCTGTAGTTCAAATTCTCTAAAGCTGAAATTCGAAGTTAGTAATTTAATTAAATTTCGCGGCAAAGGCAGCTCTTTGCGCGCTTTCCAAACTCGGCGCAAACCCATGTTTCTGATTACCACGTCTCTGCAAAGCTTCAAGAGACTTGGAGCTTTAGATTTCGGTTTCCATACTCTACATCTCTTCCAGCAGAAGTCTGATTCTTTTATCGCACTCATTGACAACTTGTAGCTCCTCGCTTACTTAAAATCAGCCGGTTTAAATCGCCCTCAAGGGATGGGCAAATTTTACTTCTCATGTCGGCATGACAGAATTGCCTGTTTTGAACATAATAGCAAGTCATTTGCAGTTGATTCCTCCTGACAGAGCAAGATCGTGACTAATAATAGTCTCACGGGCATTTAAATGTATATCGCGCAATAATAGAACAAGATTAGCATATGATGTCACTTCCTCTGGCATGAACATAATTATGCGAACCGTGAACAAGTATGAACTTGCACCTTTTCAATGCAATGCTATTAATAATGGCTATTGGAATATTCGCGAAGTTTGCGATTTTAATAAAAAAGGAAAGAAACGAGATAATTCTTGAAAAAAAAATCTATAAATTGACGATTTTGTCGGATGTAGATATCGAGATGGTTGTGAAGCAGCTTCAGTTTTTAGAATAAGCGTGACGCCCCTTAGTCGGTCACGCAAGAAAAGCGTTCCCAGAAGCAATATAATTTTGTGTAAAAAAAATGATGAAAACCTTTCAAGGGAAAAGAGACAGAGATTTAGGAAAATGTCATTAGTGATTGCGATTACTGTTCGGGTGAGGAGTGAATAAAGCCATCAAGAGAGTGTTGCGCCTAGTAAGAGTTGATATAAAGAATTTTTCCTTAAGCTAAACTACCGTTTTGTAATCTGGTAATATTTTTGTTCTTCTGCTTTATTTATCTTTACTGAAAAAATATTTGGGCAATGAAAAAAATATATACGGTAATTTCCTTGCTCCGAACAAAACTGTGTAAATTTCGATCCCGATCCCGTGAAAGACTGGGTTCTACATAATTTTTTTTTTTTTACCAGTCGATATAAGCTCGGTAATCTTCGTTGGCTCGATCCTTGAACGGAAAAGTTCGTAAGACGTTTTCGGCGCACAGCAATGGCGACAAATAAAGAATAAAAGATGGCGGAGATAAACGGAGAAACCTCGGTAGGTAAATCGAACTTTCACGTTGTAAAAACATAATGGATGACCTGTAGTTCCTCGCTTATGATTCTTGAATATTTTTCCTTATAGATGGAGGCGGTAGAGGGCTGCAGAATGCCTGTAAAAATGAGTGGATCTGACGAATGGCGTAAGTGAGACAGTTCATGAAAGTGAAAGCGGACGTTCACATTTTCGCTGAAACGTTGTTCTTAGTTTGAAAAATGTTCTTTTTCCTTCAGCTTTAGCTGAGATACTGAGTAAAAAGGAGCTTGCCGATGGTTCGACCCATTATTATGTGCATTACATTGACTGTGAGTACTGTGTTTTCTGACTTTTCTCTATTTATGCTCAAGCTAAATACTCGCTTGCTTTCGTGGATATTTTCGTCTTCATCAAGTATCTTAACTACCAAGTTTTATTTTAAACTCATTAGAAAAATATTTTGGCCAAACTTTATTTCGCGTCTATTATTTTTTAGGTATTTCACCTGTACAGAACATTTTATTCCAACTCTATATTTTTTTTTCTAAAAATTTAGTTCAGGCGGATTTTCAAGATGGTGGACGCATAGATTTCAGTCCCATAATGCATCGCTTTCTAAATTCCGCCCCAAAAAGGTCGCCTTTTGAGCATTGCTGTTAGCAAAGGGAACATAATGTTTCTGTTTGGCAAAGATTTAGGAAAGAAAGGGAAATCTTCTGAGATTATACAGTGTCTGGAAGGGTATTCTTGGTATCCAGGATTTAACCAAAATACGGCATGGGATTTGGGAATACACATAATTTCTTTGATGGGATACAGAATTTAATTGCTACCCAGAAAGTGGGATCTGCCGAAATTTTGGTTGAGGATGCAGGATTGTTGGGAAAAAAGTAGCAGGAATGCAGACCCTGATTATATGCACAAGATATTAGCCCTTTAAGTCCCAATATCCACATACAAATTCTCCAAACTGATCTCTATATATTTCCTTAAAGAATGAGTTGAGAGAATTTGATAAAAGATCAAAGCATTTTCTCTTAGGTGATCATTTTATTAATTCTCATAACTTAATCTCTTGACAATGCATGGATATTGTTAGGAGAAAATTAATGTTGGCCACTATTGGGACTTAAAGGGTTAACAGGGTTGTCAACCCCCATATCTTCAAATATTGAGAATTGATAGGGAAGGGATGATATATGATGTCATAATGTACAGCACATGACGTCATTTGTGCAAAAAACACTTGTTGACTCCAATCATCACAAATTGCCATGACACAAAACGCGCAATAAATATGTTGGCATATTTGTATCGTTTGACCTGATTGGTATCACATTATTATATTACAGTAGCATACTGGAGTTTATGGGGAAACGTTCGATGTTAACATTAAAATTGCTCAATAGGTTAAAATAGCTCTGTGCCATTTTTGGTATGTATAACATACCAGCAAGATGCACTTTGCTCAGAACACAGGCAGCCCAAGCTTGGTACATAAATTACTGCGAGTTTCGATACTGTTTTGCATATTATGAACAATTTAAAGACTTTGTACAAAAAATTCAATATAGTTGTTAAAATGTAGAAATACAGGCACAAATATAGAAATTATGTAAACTTGGGCCTGTTGTAAGTTGCCTTTTCTGTGTAACTTGGGCTCAATTATTCATCGCCATTTTTTACGGTTTTGCGGCTCGTTGTTTGTTCAGTGTTGTTTTCCTACATAAAGCGAAGCGAGGCAGGTGACTGTGGCCAGTCTCAACTCACAAATCTCTCCCACATCAAAGAACCGCACACCGATTCACCATGAAAGTGCCAAATCCTTAAGGCCAGGTCAGTCTCTTATCTCTTCCCCTGGTCATGGGTGTTACAATAATATGCTTTTTTGTGGGAAAATTTTTTGAAAGTTTTTGGTACTGGGCCATCTGACTTGCCCTCCGGAACCTTGATGACTGTGTAACACAGAGAATGCAAACATGGTCTCGGGATCCGGGTAATCAATATTGCATGACAAAACAGGGATCTTCCTACCCTCAGATAGTCTACTGATTGCCCGTGAGCAGTGTTTGGAATTATCCAATTGGATGAGCGTACATAAAATGTTCGCATTCATCATGCAACACGTAGTCATCGAGGTGCCTGAGTGCACGTCAGATTGCCCAGAGCCAAATAAAATGGCGATGAATTGAGCCCAGGTTACACAGAAAAAATAACAACAGGCCCAAGTTTACGTAAGTACAATAAATAATTTATTTCTATATTTATGCCTATATTTCTGACGTTTTAACAACTATATTGAATTTCTCATACAAAGTCTTTAAATCGTTCATAATATGCAAAACGGCATCGAAACTTGCCGTAATTTATGCACCAGGCTTTGGTCGCCTGTGCCCAGAATAATTAACAATTAATGAATGACGCTGAGTATCTTATGAAGAATTATGGAGATCGAGGAGGGTGTTATCCATTGATGCCGCAGGCCGAGGCGGATAACACCCGCCGAGATCTCCATAATTCTTCATATGATACGAAAGCCGAATTCAATAATTGTTTTATTATTCATTCAAAATAATTCCTAGTTTAAAAACGTAGCTAAAACATGCTTACCTCCTTACGATCCATCAATGTTAAGTTCATCTTCGATAGTGCATGTTTAGGGTTGTTCAGCTCTGCAAATATTCTCCAAATAGTAGATGTCGCCCTTCCAGTTGTCTTCTTGCTGATCTTTCCATGTTTTTAGCTATTATTTCGCCTAGTTCTTACTCTGGAAACGAGTGAAGTGTCTGCCATTTTTGTTTCCACAACCAAAAGAACTCAACCTCATCCCCAGGTCTTCTCGGTTAACAGTGCATTAACCTGCAAAAACGCTGCATTTTTGACGTCATTTCCTCGCTAAACACAAAATTCTTCCAAATTTGGTCATCAGCAACTGGTTATGGTGAATTATGCGTGTGCTTTTAGCCAATCAGAATCAGGGAAATATTTTGAATGAATAATAATAGATGTTTAAAATTATATGTACGTCTATAGTTAACAAGCGTCTTGATGAGTGGGTCGAGGAAAGCAGACTAGACCTGTCAAGGCTTCAGTTGCCAAAAAAAGAAGACACCAAAAAGATCAACAAGGGTAAAGGTGCTGGTTCAAGGCCATGCTCACCTGACAGGGAGCTTGTAAATGGTGTGGGATCTGGACGACCTAAAGCCATTGTTGGCAGAAAGAGAAAAGCAAATGCTATGGACAAGGCCCCTGATGAGGTACATGGATTAATCTTTACACTATTATGAGAAATATCAATTTTGCAAAGAAATCTTTCTGTAGGTATGTCAAAACATCTTTAATTCTCCGAGACAATTAGACATAGAAGCTGAGTGTGTAGGGTAATAATGAAAACAATGACAGCACCAACCATAGGTCAAAGAAACACATGACAAATCAGACATGTACACTTGTATTCATCCCAACCCCCTACCCATCTTATCAAAGGGGAAGCAGGCCCACTGCCAGATTTTTACAGGGTGAAGATGGTGGATCCAACAAGGAGATGGACCAAATAAGGCCATAGGTGCAAGTCTTTTAGAGGAAGAGTTAGGTTGTCTGAGCCTGGATTTTGAAGGCGTTATTAAGATATGAAAAGTGAACCTAAAATGTGGATATTTCTCAAATTTTTGAAAAAGATTTCTTATGTATGTGTGTAGCAGTTGTAGAGCATAACAAGTCAAAGTCGCTATTTTTAAAGGAAAAAATGAAGTTTTGAATGCGTACTATTCACCAGTTTTACTGCTGATCATTATAACTGTTAGTTAGTGTGCCAAGCCCAAGCCCCCTTGTCAGGTACATGGTATACAGGTTTTTTGTTAACTTTACAACACAATCAGAGCAATACCATTTCTTATGAATTTTTATTAATTTTGTTTTAAATTGTTGGTTTCCACTAAGAAGTGGACCTCTGGAGCCTGTGGTGGGGAGAGTGCAAGCACCATCATTGCTCCCCCCAGCCCTTAGCTCTGGGTCTGGGATAGTGGGCATAAAGCAGCCTATGTGTAAACCAAATAATTGATGAAGTGGTATAGTATCACCAGGAGAGTGGTACAGTTACTGGAGCTACTGAAAACAACATATAACCACTCCTTGATAATTACCTGAGAGACTACTGGTCATCATAAGGCTTGGGTTTAAGTAAGGCCTAAGTTATGTTCAACTACAATCTTGCAAAATGAAATTTAGTTTTTCCATAGAATAAATTTTTATGGTCGACTCCTGGGGGTGCCAGATAGGACCGTCAATCTCTTGTCAATTAAAAGAGTTTTTGAAGAGTGACTTTGGTTGCCGTAAATTGAGAACTGAAAGCTCTCAGTTAATGCTAAAATTAAGTTTTGTTTTACATTATTGCTCATTAGATTGATTCCCAAGACAGCCCCAAAGAGCTACCCAGTACTCCTCCTAAAACAGGAAGCATGCGGCAGACAGGCAGTATGGTTCATGACCGCAGTCATGACGACATTGTAACACGAATAAAAAATATCAAGATGGTCCAGCTTGGAAAATACAGAATTAAACCATGGTATTTCTCACCGTATCCCCAAGAGCTTACTCTGGAACCTGTTGTTTACCTGTGTGAATTCTGCCTTAAATACGTCAAGAGTTTCCATTGCCTCAAGCGGCACAAGGTAGTATACCTTTAAATTATCTTAATAATATTATTATAAACTAAGGGTGAGTTCTTTTGGGATGATCTGGATCAGGATCAGTGATCCTCAAATGAACCAGCAAATCCTTTAACAGTGTCGATTAGTTGGTTTTTTGATGCAACATGATCCAAGCGATCTCAGGTTACTGATCCTGATCTGGATTATCCCAATGCAATGCACTTTAAATATCTCAGTAAGAGCATATGTGCTGTTTTTGGTCAACTTTGAGACCTGCATTTTACTTTAAGGCCCACCATGTCAAAATGTGAAAGTTTTTTTTAATTTTCTATGCACCCAATAATGATAAGCAGGAGAGGTGTGTTGGTCTTATAGAGGCATCAGTTAAGAAAGATCTAGAGGTATTGTATTTTGGATTGGTTTATTCTTACAGGAAAAGTGCAAGTTACGCCATCCTCCAGGAAATGAAATATACAGAAAGGGAACAATATCATTCTTTGAAATTGATGGTAGAAAAAACAAGGTGAGAGAGAATTCCATATTTTCTGAGTCTCTGCTATTAATTTTCAACTGATTTTCATAGTATTAAGGTTATATTCAAGTCTAACAGAGAAAATATATAGTATATTATTTTGTGAATATAATAAAATGGCAAACCATCACAATGTGTTACTAAGGATGCAAATTCTTTGAATCTAAAACAAAAGCAATAACATTAGTTATCAGGGTATTAGGCATTGATTTAATTAGCAGGGATCCAGATCTGGCCACAGGATAACCAAGATAGTAATCTAGCGTGAACCCCACTGCAGAGAACATGGCCAATGCTGTAGGGATTGCATCAAAAATTAAACTGCGTGGTCTGATTTTTCAAAGATGTATGTACAGTTTTAAAAAGTGATTTCAATTAAATTTTATTTTTTGTGTTCCAGGCGTATGCCCAGAACCTGTGTCTTCTGGCCAAAATGTTCCTGGATCACAAGACACTGTACTATGACACTGATCCCTTTCTGTTTTATGTCATGACTGAATATGATTCAATTGGATTTCACATTGTAGGATACTTCTCAAAGGTAAGACAGTCTCAAGATATAAAAAAGGCCCAACACCACCAACAACAGACTTGCCAAACCGCGAAGTCAAAAAATGTGAGACTCTGAACCTAGAGCTGGGAAAAGTAGTGATAAACATTACATCAATTACATCGAGCTTTGTAATTTTTTTGTAATTTCTGTGTTTTGTTGGCGACCATCTTGAGAGAAACAGCTTCACATTTGGTGGCAGCGGCAAGTAGCAGTAGGCTAGAAGATTTGCAATCAAACGCGATCACTAAGCGTTTTGTTTGGATTGAGCTGGCTATCTATTGATATCTAACTTGGGAACAAACCCTACAAATCCAAAATGTTTTGGAGTTTGATTATTTGACAAAGCATGAGAAATCAGTTGCCAACTCGTGAGACCATGAGATGGGTCGTTAAGTCGTGAGACTCATGACAAAGTCATGAGACTTGGCAAGTCTGACCTACAACTCACAGTGTTTAATGTTAAATGGAGTCCCCCCTTTATCCCTTATGAAAAGGTAGAAGTTTTATTGTTGTACATGAACCACAGGTCAAAATTAAATTCAGTTTAAAATTGTTTAACGTAGGTTGATTCTCAATTTGTTTGTCTCCTAGCTTTAATTTCATGAATAATATTATTAACCTAGGTTAAAAGTTTTTTACCTGATGTTAATTTTGACCTGTAGCATATAATTATATTAGTGCATTGCCCTAGGCCAGGTAGTTAAGATAACACGAGGTTAGCACAAAATTTGTCATTCCTTTTGCTTTAGCAAATCCCTGTAAATTGTTTTGCCTACAATGCTAGCTAGCATCAAGGCTCTGCTCTAAGAAAAATTGAAGGGAGCCCTTGTGCTCTGAACCTGTGAAATCCAGGGTGCCCAGCATAATGATTTCTATGAAAAAAAACTAAGATTTTCAATATTAAACAGGAATCTTTGTTAAAAATTAAGCCTCAGGGTTATGATAATCAGCCTTTGAACAACCTGGCCCTGGAGGTCATAGAGCATGAGGGATTGAATTAGGTGAGGTTGTGTGCTGAGGACAGCATTAATGCAAGTTTTTTCACTTAAGCAATGTTACTTCTCCCTTTGCAGGAAAAAGAATCGTCTGAAGATTACAATGTGGCATGCATTCTAACTTTACCTCAGTACCAAAGGAAGGGTTATGGCAAACTGCTCATAGAATTTAGTGAGTTTTACAGATGTGTTGTACTGTAGCCATATTTACTTTTGATGTCATAAACTTTAGTGATGAAGCAAAAGCATTATGCAAGTATTTAGGAGGTCCTGCCAGAGTAAATTCCGACAAGCCACGTGGCCCAAAAAGTAGCGACAGTGCGTAAAATGAAATCGTGACAAGAGACAACCTCCCTCGGCCAAATTGTGACAGTGACAGCAAAGCCGACAATAAGCAACAAGCATTTATAAACACCTACACCAGACGTTTTAAAATTCAGACAGGCGACATGGGACCCCCCCTCCCCTGGCAGGACCTCATTTAGAGGACTTAATGATAACAGGACTTAACACCTTTATGTGAAGATTAAAATGGAATCCGTAAGGAAATTGAGTAATTTTAACTTTCAGTGGACAAAAAACTGAGTTGTACCAGAATATTTTAAGCCATATCACACTTGCAATTACACTTTTCAAGGGCTATAAAATAATATATTTATTATTTATCTGTAATAACACTAAAGACAATTTTTTAAGGGAGCCAGAGAAAATAAATATCAAATTTCACAGGAATTGAGAAAATGCAGGTAAAATCGCCATGCGCAAGATCTCATTTTGTGAAATTTGAGGCTTTTGTGGTTTAATTTCTCTGGCGCCAATAAGAACCTTCTCTTACACATTTCATGGGTGAGATGCCGTTTTGTGAAATTTGACATTTTTATTTGCTTGGGCTCTCCTAAGAATTACAGGTAACTAATATACATTTATAGCTCTTGAAAAATGTTAAAAAAGAATGCAATATTGTTTAAATTATTCTGGTACAAGGTTTTTGTCTACTGGAAATTAAAATTACTCAATATCCTGATGGATTCTGTCTAAAACATTTCCACTTGTGCAAGGACAATTTTGTAGTTTGTAAAGATTTGTTTACAGTAATTGAATGATTAATGTCATTACTGTTTTATTCCCAGGTTATGAGCTTTCCAAGTTTGAAGGGAAGACAGGAACACCAGAGAAGCCCCTGTCAGATTTAGGATTACTATCTTATCGCAGTTATTGGTCTCAGACCATCCTGGAAATTCTTGTTTCTCTCAAGGGTGGAGAGGATGGAAGCCCTCCTGCTATAACCATCAAGTAAGAATCATGGAGTTTATACAGTTTTTTATTCATCATAATTATAAGAAGTGTCGCCTAATGAAAGCCCACCTTGTTATTACTCCTTTATAACATATATTTCTTAAATAGGTTAGTGAGGCTGTGTTTCCATACATCAGTATTGGTAGCCTTGTTCTTGGGTTCTTAGCTTTGTGATGTGCAGTTTGGATATCAATAAAAATTAGGAGTATTATTTTAAAAATTTAACCCTTTGCCTACTATTTTGGCCATTTTTGTTACATATTGAACAATGCGTATTTTCCTTTCTAAACCCATTTAGCTTTCAGTGTAAGCATTTAAATTAGTAAACCGTGAATTCAGTAAGGATAGATTTTTGCACAGGTAACTCATTCTGGAAATTCTGACCAATCCTGTCAGAGTCATACAGTAAAAACCCTCCTATCGTTTATATTTTTGGAAAATTCACTGCCTATTTTAAGTACTACTCATTCCTAATAATTTTTTTTCCTTTTTCTGACAAGATAGCCAGCCACAATTCGATGGGAAAGAAAGAGGGCAATAATGAGGGCAATGCAACTGGGTATATTAATGAGAAAGGCAAAAGAAAAACAAGAGCAAAAAAGAAAGATCAAACTATATTTCAGTTAGGTCCAAATGTTGGCTTATATATGGACATGTGCAAAAAAACAGAAATTAAAGTATCTCAATTGCATCCAATTAGCAGGAAAATATGCCCTCAGTGTTGCCATTTCATATTCGGGGATTTTCATGCCAACGGGCCAAAGACCGGTTCAGAGGGGAGGATTTGTTTATTTTGGTGTTGACCTCAGTGAATGAATGTGAAAACTGTGATAATCACCATGTCACAAGCATGCCGATGGGAAAGAGAAAAAATCCTAGAGTCCCTGACAGGATTTGAACCTATGACCCTCCGAACAACATCAGGCAGGTCATGGTCAATGAGTCTCTTTAAATCGCAGTGGATAATGCACCTTTCTGGTGTTTTCGGTGGTCATAGGTTCAAATCCTAGGACTAAAGGTATTTTTCTTTTTCCAGAGTTGTGACATGTTGTTTTAAACCTCCTGATTATAACATCTTTCACAGGAGTGTTATTGTAGGTTGTCCTTTCATTAGTTATTAAACTTGAGACTGTGTGATGGAATTTACCTTAATTAAACTTAAGGGAATTGACTTGGGTTGATATTTTGTTTGACAGTGATATTTGTGAGACCACAAGTATAAGAAAAGAAGATGTCGTTTCAACTCTGCAGCATCTTGGAATCATCCATTACTACAAAGGACAGTACATATTAAATCTTTCAAAGGAAATTTTAGATGGGCAGCTAAGATCCATGTCAAAGAGAAAGATTCGCATTGATTCAACATGCCTTCACTGGACTCCTAAAGACTGGGCAAAAAGGGGAAAGTGGTAATGTATGGAGGGGGAATGTAAGTCTTCACTCTTCACTGGCTTTTGAAAATAGATGGGCGTTAGGGTGTCGCTGGACACCTGAAGATTGGGCTAAAAAGGGAAGGTGGTAATAAATACAGGGGAAAGCTCAGTCTTCACTCCTCACTGACTTGTGAAAATAGATGGGCATCATGCAGTTGGTGTTGCATGTAAACCCCAAATGAATATTCATACCAAAGCTTAAACATGTTCAGAAGCTGTTTGGTTAAACACTGCTGCCTACTGCACTTTTTTCCATTGCAAATTTAGTGCAATTATGTTAGGTATTAAAGTTCTATTGAATTCTGTCTAAAAGCCTGTGTTCTAGTTTCTGGTACTATTTTCAATTTTTTAAAACCCAACCGTAGTTTAATTAGACATGTTTAGTTGGTGTGAATGAGGCATAAGGCGGCTTTGAAGAGTAGTTGGTAAGAGGCCAGACATAATAATAATTATTATTTAATTAATAATAATTCACATAACAGAAGTCAGGACGACAGAAGTCTGTCCTGTTTTTCTCCACAGGGGTGGGCGGGAAGAAGCAATGTTTTCTCAAGATAGGTGGGATAGACAAAATGGATAGACTTTTTCAGCTGTTTTTCTTTCAACAATAGTTACCCTCAAACCACCTTTACTAATTAACCCTTCCTTTTGAGGCTTGTTTTTATAGCATAAATAATTAAAAAGACTCCCTTACAGAGTGCTAGTTCCAGTCATTAATAACAAAGACACATGTACATAATTAATGCACTTTTCTCCTTCACCTGTATCTAATTCAAGATACAACCTTTACATTTATAAGCAAAGTGTAAATAATTTTGACCTGCTTGAATGTAAAATACTTTTGCTGTTTAACACCTTCAGTAAAGGTTAATTAAATGATGTCAATTTTGGCATCAAGAAAAGATTTTGTCATTAAAAACACAACATTGTAAAGATTGCTAAGTTTTTGTGTTGCCTCAAAAAAGAGTTGAGGAAGGGATACAAAGTGAATTATTTATATTTTTACATGTCATTCAATTATTATGAAGAATGAGCTAGTGCTTACAAGTGTATAAAGATTGCCAGGCTTTGAATAGCATTATTTTGTTAATGTTTTGTTGTCAGCTAGTGTACCTATAAACTGCAAAGCTAAGGAAAGATTGCTGTAAATAAAGCAAAGAAAACTAATAATAACAGTGTAGGAAATGTTAAATAAAGATCATGAAATAATAATATTTTATTTTTGTTATTACTTTTTTCCCATATCCTGTGTGCCATCTCGTACTAAACCCTTGGGGACTGATTTTACATGATCCTGGCTTGCCCCATCTGTTAGGCCAGGTCCCTTTTTCAAGTTGCCTTGGTGGTTCAGTTGTCATGTAATTTTGGACAGGTGTGTTTAACTAAGGTGCTAAAATCTTGGTTAAGGGGCAAGCTGGGCCAGCTTGGTTCTTGTCATCAAGCCTTTAGAACTGGTTTTCTGTAGGAGATACAGGCACGAGTGCAAGTCTCTTGGAGTCCCTTTTTAATTTTATTATCACAAAGCACAAGGTCCCTTACCTCGAGCTTGTGTTAAGCCTGTGTCATAAATTAAAATGGGCTCAAACAACACAGCATCATCAATTATTTTTTTAGTATCACTTTAACTTAAGGCACATTCTTTTTTTTCTTTTAATTTATAAACAGAAAGAAATAATGGTCAAAAATGTTGTTTACAATGTACCTTCATTCTTATGTATAAAAATCAGTCAAAACCTTTTTCCGTTAAGGAAGGCTGTGAGAGAGCCAAGTATTGTAACACAAGAGAAAGATACACCATGAAAACGCCAGGCTGAATGTCAGTGCATTTTTTATTATAATCTATTTTTAATAATAATTAAACAATTATTGTTGTATTTAAGTCAATTCACTTTCACTTGGTAGAAGAACATGTTTTGAAGCTCCTCCATATCTTCATCACAGCAAGAAACATCTTGTACATGATACATGTAATTTACAGAACATGGTTGTACCCATTCATCTAAATCAACACATGGCTGCAAAAAATCAATGTAATTAATGTTATTGTTCGACACTGTCAAAAAATGAAATAAAATACAACATTAAATCGAATCTCTTGAAAACAAGCCCCACCCCCTCCAAAAAAAAAGTTTATTTTTTAGGACAAATTTTATACCCCCTAACTTCTACACACTTGTTAGTTTTTACTGAATTTTTTCCCCCAAAGGCAAGCAAAGTTTTTTCTTAATAACTGAAGACTTAGACACTGTGTGAAAGACCATTTGAGTGCTTCTAACAAGTAATTTTTGGCAAAAAAAAAAACTTGTGTATGATTTTCAAAGTTAGAGGTGTTTAAAAAGGTAATGCTATTTTTTTAAACAAAAGTTAAATTATTCAAATATGTCCCAATCTGCTACTACCCCTAACTGTAAGTTATTTTGGTGCCCTTTGTTCACAGATTCAAGTTACATGTGTTAGACCTGTAGCCATTTTGTTAAAAAAGGGGTTTTCACTATATCCTGGACAGGAGGGGCTCAAACTTTTGACTTCATGAATGAGCAGATCTTACCAAAACAATGTGGAGGGCAACATTGTGTAGACATTTTATTAATAATACATAACCAGCGCTGTGTGCCAATTGGCAATCTTACCTTGCTGTTAAATAGTGTTGCTTCTTCAAGGCTTGGTACTGTCACTATAATACAGCCAGGCTTTGTTACATTCTCTCTTAGAATCTTCCAAGTTCTGAAAAACAAAGTTAATGGATTTTTGTGGACGAAAATAACAGTAATAGGGTACATTATCTCAAACTAAATGTGCCCAATTATTTTAAAAGAAAAGTGACTCATTTTAAACAAAACCTTAGAAAGAAAACCCTATCTAGTTTTAAATGATAAGATTTACATAATAGTATGTCTACTAAAATGAAAAAGCTTTCTTAAAAAGAATAGTCTTCAGCTTAGTTAATCCACAACATACAAACAAGAATGTAAAAATTTAATGTTCTGACACACAAAGAAATAGAAGAAAATTGGACGCAAAAAATACAAAGTATTTACAGCAACTATTGTAATCTCTCCAAACTACACAGGTTTTCCTACCTAATTTGTTCCTCCACAGGCATGAAAAACTCAAAGACATTGTTAAGAACAATAATGTCAGCTGTAGAAGTAAAATAATAGGAAACTGTGAAATCATTTTATGCAAGTACAACTTGAACAGTGTGTCCTTTGGGACTGGAGGCCTTTAAAAGAGTGTGGAGTTTGACAATGAGTGGTCTACATTTTTGTGGTACCAACAATTTGTTTTCCAAAAAATCTTATTCCAGGATGTCAGTTTAAAAAATTACTTTATTGTCTGGGTCATAAAATAAGGTCTCCTACGAGGTCAGGGTTTGAAGGCCTCAGCAGCACACATCTACCAAGACTTCCTTTGAGTGCCCCAACCCCCCTCTGCTCCCCCCCCCAACCCCAAGGACATTGTGGTGAAATCATCCACTGTTCCTTAACATGTGTAAAAACAGCACTGAAGCAAGTAAAATATAACTTAACTGACTTTTAGGAAGAAGATCCCGTTATCCCCAAATTAGTCTCGCTTGCCTTTTCAAGACTCGGAGAATGAAACTGTTAGTTTTATGCTAGGGTTTGCTTTTTACACTGTCTCTGCTCTCTCCAACAACTGCCCTGTATACTTGTGTTTGTAATGGAAGCTAACACATAACTTATTTTGTTAACAGCAACGCCTTGTTTGAAATAAGATGAAAGTCGATTTGTGTATAATTTTTGAAGCTTCCATTTCCGAATGTTCGATTATGTTCGATTGCTAAACTGTTTGCTTTCTGATTGTTTGATTGTGTTCGATTGGCAAAAGTTTTGGGTGAGTTCGATCATGTTCGATTACCAAACCCAATCGAAGTCAATCCAACGACTGGAGTTCAATTGGGTTTGATTGCAGAATGTTTGATTGACTATGGCGGGGTTTAGGTAAAATATCCTGAAGAATACTCGACCATCAATAAAGTAGGAAGTGAAAAACTTTTAGCAAGGAAATCCTGTTTTGTATAAGATTAATCGCCTCCTCATTTCTTATCTAATCTCCAAGTATGCAAAACTCAACGCTTTTTAAAGAACGTTCTTGTTTATTTATATTAGCATTATTACTAAAATAATTTGTCCTATATTTAAAATACTAACATGTTGCTATAAAATCCCCGACCGTTTCTCAGTTGCCTCAGAATTTCGGGTTGTCGAGATTACCTTCTTTTAAGAGTGTGAGCTCGTTGCAAACATCAGCACATTTGACCTGCAATTTCATCAAAGAGATGCAAAACTAATGAGGAATTAGTCGTTGTAATGTTATCAACAGTTGAAATAAAGTATTTATTCCTCTTACCTCCACTCGATCAGCCATACTATAATTTTCTATTATTTGCTGTTGCAGGCCACACAGATCCGCATTGATTTCAACTCCAATAATCTTCTCAATAGCACTAAAATAATATGCCTGTGAGAAGAAAAATAACAACTACAGTTAATTAACACCTCAAACTTGAACGAGTTGAGCTAACAAAAGAAAGAAAATGTTGTGGTTTCAAAAATCATTAAAGTAAAATAGAAACCATTTACATTAGTCTCAGCAACACATTCAGGCTTCTTCAAGGCAAATAAAAATGATCCTTGGTCATTATCACTATCATAATGATGATCATCATCTTCATCATCACCACCACTGTTAACGGTATTACCATAATAAAAAAGGTACTCAAACTAACTCTAACATTATTTCTGGGGATAAAATGAGCAGAAAATACTTGCCGCATAAAGCACAGCTCCAAGTCTAGATCCAACGTCCACCAAACACTTGTTATTAAGATTGCTTAGCAGTGATGGAAGGGCTGATTCAAACAGGAATCGCAACTGCAGTAGTGACATGGAGTGGGATATGAAAGCTAGAGGAGAATTACAAGAGGCTACATCAGAAAAAAGTGATTAGCCTTTTTAAACATAGCAAGAAATTTTGTAGAGGTGCATACAGTTTTCCCCATCCACCCTATTCCACCTCCCAAAAATCAAATTAATATTTTCTCATGCAGGTGACTTGACATTTTTTCAGTTATGCACATGCCTACTAGCATGTAGAAGGTAACTCACATTTCCCATAATTATTTATAATACTTCTTGTTTGCCCCCAAAAATATTTGAACAACCTTTGTTTTTAATTTCTTCTGAGTATTACATATTACAGTAACAGTTGTCCCAAGAGAAACTGAATACAATGCTTAAGCAAAATTTAGGAGAGCAAACAAAGTTAATTATGAGAAATGAACAAGTGGAAAATGGGTTTCTCCAAAAACATAGATGTCTTGCCTGATGGCACCCCTGTTGCAAGACTAGAAATTTTTGGAATAAAGGTATAGACCACAATTATTCAGGCACACACATGTGAGAATAAGGCAGTCACTGTTCAGAAAACCACAGCAGACTTACTGAGTGGAGCTGTATTGTGAGAGCCACATTCTTTACAGTAGGTACGGCTCATTTTGCCTTCATCACAAAGTCTGTCAATATCTTCATCACTGTACAGGAATGAGTCAACATGAACTGTAGTTGATGGGTCACAATCTGAATTCTATGAGCAAAGAAAGAGAAATCTTGCTGGCTAAGCTTCCATAAAAGAGGCAAGAAACAAAGTTCTCTCACACAGGACTAAGCATCAGATAGGGTATAATTTTTCACATATCACATGATTCAGTTATTGTTTCTTGCAGTACTGTGTAACAGCTTTTCCACCCTTTTGCCCCTTAACAGTCACAAAAAAAATTTAAACCAGAAAAAAATTGAACTACAACATCTATTTCCTTTGTCCATTGTAAACTGTGGTGATGGTTGACACTTCTTGTGAATAAAGTGCTGTGGCACTTTCATGTGGCAGACAAATGGCAGTCAGTGTGTGAGAAGAGTTTTTTCTGTTAACTACAAAGGAATATTTTCAATTTTCACTCCTTAGCCAAGCCTGTAAAGCCTCCTCTTAGATTGGTACTTTTCTGGGATGGGACGGCAGGTCAGAAAATTGAAATAAAACCCCAAGCCTGTGCACATCCAACTCCTCTCCAGGCCTCCCCTTAAAAAATTGATTTTTTTTTTCAGGGAACACTCCTGCAACATAATTATTAAAGAGCATCCCAGTCACTTTTTTTTGAGAGTTTTCCCAGGAGGGTATTTATAACCCCACTCTGTCAAAAAATTACAAATTCTTTCACTTTTATTTGGAGCCACTAGCCTTGAAGAGTTAAATGGACACAGTCAGCTTTAGGACTGCACTGACCTGGACACTAATTTTTCAACCTTGAAAAGTGTTTACAACTTACCTAGATCTAAAATCAAATACAGGTCAAATACATCCAAAAATCCACGTTAATTTTGCCTAGAATTTCATTCAATCTTTGTTACTTTACAGAAAACCTGTCCCTGAGTATTCTTTTTCTCATTTATTTTATCATGTTTGGTTCAAAGCACTGTGATTTGCGTATCTTGTGATATGCAAATCGACTAAGAAATGGTATCTAATGGCTTGCACATATACATCAGCTGACCATGTCCCTTTGGTCGTTTCACCTAGAGTCATTTCACTAGAGTCCCGTTTGCTAACACCTTTAGTTGTTTTCCTTAAGAAACGAAACAAGCTCTACACATGTATATCCCTCATTCTTTTAGCCATGACACAAGGAAGTGCAACACATATTTAAATCCTGTTCTTTAAAGCCAAAGATCAGGCAAAAGGAAGTAGGGGAACTGACCTAACACGTTACTTATGATGCTAGCAAACAGGATGTTGGTGAAACAACTCGTAGGCAAAACGACCATAAATCATTCCTTTAATAGAGATCACCCTATTCTAGACATGTTACTCCCTCCATCTAGTCATAAAAATGTAATCTAATCTAGAGAAGCACATCTCCTTCAACCACTAATTGGGAAGCAACCCAGTCCCTACCCAAGTATCTGCCCCCAGGGGAAATTAAATTGGCCACTCTAAAATCACCTTTCCCTCTGGGTGATAGATGTTCTCTGAGGACATGATTCCATCAAGTGGAATTCTCTTCTTAATGTCTTTAATAATCTTTTTCATCCTTTTATCTCCTGGCATTAAAAGAGTTTCATCACACTGATTAGCGCTGTCTTTTGTACCATCATCGCTGTTGACGCTAGAGCAGTGTTTGATAACCCAGTCCATGAAATTTCCGACCTCGCTGGGATCAGTACTTGATAAGAGGGAAAGAAAAGAAGTTTTGGCCACGTCCAGTGAAAACGTGTCAGTTGCTTCCATTATAAGGTGGAAACGGTGACCCTGCTGATAGTACGGTGAAAATAGATTATTTCAAACCTCTGGCACAAAAACACCTATGAAAAGAGAAAGACATCGTGAGTACAACGTCGCCGCCATCTTGGAAACCACTCGGTTACCAAGCCATTTCATCGCATGGCTACTAAGCTAGTTAGAAAGAATCCAAGATGGCGGTAGCAGACGTGGTTATCAAGCAAGAAGCTGTAGATGTAGTTGATTTGGAGGAGAGAGTCGTGCAGCTCTGTAAAGAGAACCCTAAAGGAATAACAGACCAGATAATATCACAAGATATGCCGAATATTCCGCCTCAACAAAGAGTAACAGCCATTAACAGACTTCTTTCCATGGTGGGTATTCCCTCAAACCCAGGATGGTGGAGCCCCAGGGGAATTTTACTATCTCGTGATTTCCAGAGTCAACTTCTCCTTCTCTTGACTTGAAAAGCATGTCAACTTCCAGTCCCGTAGTAAATTCTTATGTGGTAGTCAAGGTATGGATACTTTGAAGGTGTGAATAATTTTTTTTTCCAATACACAGGGAAGGATTGAACTTCTAAAAAGTGGCACACAGTTATTGTACAGATATAAAGATGCTCAAGCAGCAACGTAAGTTAAACCAATTTCAGTAAATGCAAAGGGAAAGATTTTGGCTGGCTCATCCTCGGTGTAAAAACCTGTGAAACTCAGGATTGATGTAAAACAATGAATACAAAGAAGCCACTGAGAAGTCAACACAATAGAGAGGCCCTGCCAGGGTAAATTCCGACAAGCGACATAGCCCAAAAAGTAGCAACAGCGCATAAATTGAAATTGAAATCGCGACAAGAGAGAACCTCCCTCGGCCAAATTGCAACAATCATTTATAAACACTGACAAGAGACGTTTCAAAATTCAGATGGGTGACATTGGACCCCCCCTCTGGCAGGGCCTCTATAGAGCCAAGGAAAATAATAGCTAGAAGACAAAGAAAAACTTCACAGGTTTTTACACTGAGGTAAACTCTTTAGGCCCTACTAGAAGTAGCAGCACCACAGTTTTAAGCTATTTTAATCATCTTCATCCTCCTCCTCCTCCTCCTCCTCCTCCTCATCATCATCATCATCATCAACATTATCATCATCAGAATCATTATTTTCACAATCTTCATTGTCATGCAATGGCTATCCTTAGAAACAGCATCAACATGATCTATCTCTCTTGCTTTAATTGTCACAATATTATTTATCTATATATTCTCTTAAATATTAACATAGTCTTATTAAATCAAGGATTAACTTAATCAACTTGTGCTTTGATCCTGATACATTATTTTTCAACAGAAAAACAAAAGGATTTGATGTGCAAGAAAAATTAGTATATCAAATCATAGAAGAAGCAGGAAACAAAGGTGATTGAATTTTTTTGGTAATTATTTATTTTGTTAATTATTGTTTACATCATTTCTTATTTCTTCACCAAGCTTGCTGATCCTATCAGTATGTAGGAAGCATGTCATACATGAACCTTGTATACTGTATGACAAAATCATGAGCCCTTCGTAGCTCAGAGGTTGGAGCATCTGACCGGTGTTTGGAAGGTCACAGGTTTAATTACTGTCGAGGAATCAGATTTTTTCTTTGTCCTGTGCTCTTGACATTTTGATTATGTCATTTCTCAAAAATATTAACTTGCTATTTTAAAATACCTATCAGAGTATATGGGCACAAATCACTGTGACATTCTCTTGGTATTTATAGGTATCTGGATTAGAGATATCAGATTCAAAAGCAACATACAGTTGACACAAGTCAACAAGATTCTAAAAAATTTAGAAAGCAAGAAACTCATCAAAGCTGTTAAATCTGTGGCTGTAAGTACCAGTATAGAAGGTTTTAACCAGTTTCCCTGAGAATCAATCAGCAGAAGATTTTTCCAAGTTGTTATGTAGTGATCATAGAATTAAATTTTTTTATCACCCCAGTGTGCAAAGAAAGTTTTGACCAATAGCCCAGGACTAGTGGATTTTGCCACAATCAGGCCAGTGAGTTCTGTTCGTAAGCTTGCCTGATGAGCAAGCAAAGTTTTTTGGAGACTGTAAGAAATTTTGCATGCAGTTTAATTAGTTTTTTTTTTTACACCTGATTGGCTTAATTTCCTTAGAACACAACAACATTCTAGAAGTATTTCTAGTGTCCATAGTTTTTGCAAGTTAAACAATTTTTTGGTAATAAGTTATCTGCAAACTGTATCCTTAAGGAAAATAAAATATATCTGCCAATGATCTTGTTCTTTAGGCATCTAGAAAGAAAGTATACATGCTGTTTAATTTGGAGCCTGATATATCAGTGACTGGAGGAGCCTGGTACAGTGATCAAGACTTTGAATCCGAATTTGTAGAAGTACTAAATCAGCAGTGTTACAAGTATCTTGAACAAAGGGTGAGACTCTTATTGTAATTTTCAGACCCGTTTTAAGTATTTGTTCAAGTAAGGATTTGATGTTTAGTTTTTACTGACTGCTTGATGGTGATTGCAATAATATATTAGTATCTTAATAGTATATATTAACACAACAAGACGGGAGAGGAAAGAAGGTGGCAGACCTGTGTGACAACATTTACTGTGGTATAATAAAAGGACCAGAACACAGTTTATGTTAAGTGAAAATTGTCACAAAACACGCAAGTAACGTCACGTTTGTTACACAAAATGTTTTGCTGTCCTCTTCTTTCTGTTGTCGTGTTTCATAAGCTCATTGTTATTAGTGACTGTGACTGTGATTGTTGTGATGGTGACGATGATGATGTTTATGATCATGAATGATGCATATTATACTGATGATGATGATCGCAATGTTGATAATGACGACAGTAGTGGTGGTGGTTGTGGTGGTCATGATGATTGCATGATACACAACAAAATGTTGTTTTGCATACCAGTCTTCTTGCTGTTTTGACACCCTAAGTTGGGATCTGGCGTTTGTTTTTTCTGAATGCTATAGAAGTTATGATGATAATGTAATGATGACGATGGCAATGATAGTGATGATGATGATGATAACATATGTGATGGTGACAATATTATTGTGGTGCTGGTGGTTGTGGTGGTGACAATGATGATGATTTTGAAACACTGAATTTAAAAAATGTTGTCTTCATGTACCTGAGTTAAGTATGCATGAGCCTAAACTAATTCTAATCAGACTTCTTACAGTATGATTTGTGCTCTTTGTAGGCTGCAGAAGCAGACAGAATGAATCTAAATCCTCTAGGTAAAAGAAATGCTTCTTATTCGTCCTGTTATGATGTGTGGAAGTACATCTCTGAATTGGGAATTAGCAAGGTAAAATACAGTCCTGCAACAATAACAGCATCCAAGTGCAAGAGATACTTTTTTTAAAATGTAATTATCATGGAAGGAAGACTTCAGTGTAGAATACATTGAACTGTGTATGGTTGTGTTCTCATTCTGAACAATAAAATTAATTAATTAGTCAGAGCCCAGAAAAAACCTTGAATTCCAGTTTGTCCTTTGGGCAATCTTGAGCTCTCTCATTTTGCTTGCCTGGGCCCACTTAACTTGCTTGTCGTAGTCAGTAATTTTGTCAGTGAATAACTTGTGTGGACCAAGTAGGCTTTAAAAGTTACTTTCCTGGTAAGAAAATCCACTTGTCCCAGACTACTGGACAGGACATTTTTATAGAGCCCTGTTATTAATAATATTATTTTATTAACAGCATTTCATTGCATACATTTTACATGTACATGAACCCAGGTGCAACTGTCAGAAGGGGACATTGAAACCATTTTAAACACATTAGTCTTTGATGGCAAGGCAGAGATGTCACTCGTAGCTGATAGCAGTTCAAACACGTCATCAACAGGTGGACAAAAGAAACTTTTCAGGGCACTTGTGCCTCTTATGCCGGTTACAGGACTCATGAGGACACCATGTGGTGTTTGTCCGGTGAGATTTTGTTTATCAGCTGATACTTTTGAAATGAAAAACTTGTAGATTAACAAAAATGAAGAACCTAAAGGGGCCAACCATTTCTGAGGGGGGGAGGGTGGGGGTTATGGTAGCCTGCGAACAGCAGACACATTTTCAGTCGTTGTTTCTCTCCCTCCAAATTTTCGGAGGGAGAGAAGCGACAACTGGAAATGTGGTGTTGTGCGCAGGTTAGGGCTATGGGTGATTTCAGAAAAAAATATCCTGCAGACTGATTTCAAGGGAAAAATAATCTTGCAAGGAACTATTTGGGAAAAAAATTTCAGCAATGAAAAAAAAAAATCTCTCATGGCATATAATGCTGGTAAGAAAAATCTTACACCGTTGTATGTTAGGGAAAAAAATTCTATCTCCAGAGGTTTGGGAGAGAAAAATTCTTACACAAACCAAATCACCCTAACCTGAATTCAGGCCCAATTTTAGCGGTTCTCATACCTTCGCTCTAATGGCTATCACTAGAAGTTCGCCTTACCCGCCGGAATGTTTTTTACAAAGCGAAACGAAAACTGAGCCTGATCTGGTTAAAATCACCCATACCCCATTTATTTCCCTTTGTTTCATTATGTTACTCATTATGTTACATTACCATACCGCAAAATTAACAAAGAGAAATAAAATTTAAACCAACATAATCTCAGCTGGTGAGATATACCAGGATTTGCATGCCCAAGTTGGATTTTGTGTACAGAACGGACAAAAATGCGATGAAAGTGATGTCAACTCGAACCTTTTATTTTAAAGATAAGTCCGTCATTAGTTAAATTAATTCCCAGTCAATTCAGAGTCAATAATTATATGATGTGGCCATCCTATGGTGTGATCATTCAATTGAAATCTCTCTAACAGTACCTCTAATACTTTCACATGGCACCTTAAGGTTTTTGGTATTTTACATGAAATTTCGGATTTTTGTTGAAGTTTTATTTGGGAAGCAAAACTTGTGAGTCTTACGAAGAATTAACATCAGTTGCTGCGAAAGGTTACGGTTAATATGGCTTTCTCACGGGGATTTCTCCTCTCTGTTTCCAGGTGTCAGATCGGTGTCGTGAAGGTGGGCCAATTTCTCCAAGCAAGTGTGTCTACATGAAGGAGTGGCTGTCAGAGCTCTAGTGAAGGAAGTCTTAGAAATGGATGAGAAGTATTTTATTTCAAAAGGGTAATTTTTGTATTAATATTGAGTAAACACTGCAAAGCAGTGGATTATGAGCTGTACAAATACCAGGTTTTGTTACTGTATTAAAGCTGTTATTTAAGAGATATGAATTAAAATGAAATGTTCTGAGGCCCATTATAATATTGAAAACTGTTGAAGCCCAATTGCTTATAGGTCTTGAGACAATAAACGATTGGTATATTTAAATCAAGAACAGTGGTCCAGTTTTATATCAAGTGCAAAATGCTGAGCACACAGCTCCATGACGTTTTACCCTGTCTCGCTTCGACAACTGCTGCACAATAGCTTTTGATCACTTTGGGCAACAATCTACGAGGGAATGAGGGAATAGTCACAGAATAAGTTCCTTTAAGGCATGATTAGTATACCTGTGTTACTATGCACTGATTGGAGGATGCCAAGCAAACTCCCCAAATAACTACATATCTAATGGCTGATTTACATGGTATGTGGTTGCTGTAAGCATATGATCTGAGTTATATTGTGTAACTAAATTTTACATGTATATGTAACTTGTTTGTCCCAGGTTCGATTTACAGAAGACAACTCTTGTTGTAAGGTTAACTCAGTTGTAAAAACAAAACACGTGACAATGTTTTACTGCCTTGATAATGCTAGGTACCATTGTGTTCATTGCTAGATTTTAATTTCGGGCGACCGAAAGTGCCCTCAATCCTAATCTAGTTGCTAATCTATGCATGTGTGGTATGTGTGTAGCCAGCTTTCGTTTGAACTTGCACAAGGAATGCATAGAATGCAATCAGATATGCATGTTTAGACCTTCTATCACGTGAAACTTGCATAAAGCACAAGGATAAAGAAATCTGAGCTTCCTTCAATCAATATCACCTGCACTCTCTAACCTTTTGGTTATTACTGCATTAAAATAAATATACTCAGGAGGACAAAGTTAATGACAAAAAAATACTTTTAATAATCTTCAATGTCTGACCTTTATCAAGCAATAGTGGGGGAAAAGTTTTATATTAATTTTTACTTTTCAAGAGTAATAGTGATCATGTCCAGCAGAAATGTAATGAAAAATGAAATTAATGAAAAAAGAAGTGGATTGTACAGATTTTTCTCTAGAATAATAAAATTACATTGCTAAAATGTTGTCCCTATATAAAGAAATGAATCATTATCAGCTAATTACTATAGGAGATGATCTGACTTGATAAATAGGAATCACCACAAGAGACAAGCTCACAAACAGCCATCATTGTTTTATACATACCAGCTTCACCTTTGTAGTGCAATCTGCTTAACAGCTAATACAAAAAATATACAAAGCTATTTTACACAAATTGAACTCTCTTCACTGCACTTGGCTGTTTAAATTACCAGCATTTACAAGTTTTATGTGTTGTGAGCAAGTTATCACGTTTGTCCCCCAGAAAAAGTAATATAAAACTGTAGATGCAATCCAGAACAATAAACCAAAATTATCATGGCAAGCAGAAAAGTAGAACTCTACTCATTTCTGGTATATGACATATTGTTATACAAAATATAAAAGACATTGTTACTCATCAAGCCTGTCTTTAAGTTTTGAAGGAGCCATAGCAAATGAAGATTCATGCGTAACATCTCACAAAAATTATGTTGTCACCTCTAGCTTTCCACTTTGATCACTCATAACATCAAGTGAGCTCAGTCACAACAGGTGTTGTGGGTTATGGCCCTGATCAAAATTATCCCCATAGCATACACCTACAGTTGGTCCCTGCCAATTCTTTAGTCATTATTTTCTTTTGACTCTCCATAAGAAGGACAGCTCTCTGAGATACACATTTAGTGCTAGCCTTTGGCTATCTTAGGTAGAGTTAACTTATTACTATTTCCGACTGCTATTTAAGAGAGATTTTTGTTCGACCTTTAATGATCTTGTAGGAACAAAACTAAACCAACACTCAAAGGAATATGAGAATTTGATTGATTTGTCAAACAGACACAAATGCACTTGGCTTTTGGTTGGCTTAGCCAAAATGCAATAGACCTCTTTCATAATGACGGCCTATATTATTCTTTCATATGTATGATAATTACCCTTTCTGACCTCGTTAGCATGTGCAAAATATAAAAGAATTCTTATTTTCAAACAAGCCTAGAAAGGCTCATTTATGTACATATGAAAGAATTATGAAAGAGGTCTATGCATTCCCAGCTGAAGGAAGATTGCTGAAGAGTAAATTTACTGTAACTATTTGCAAAAAATGGCAGCTGAATAGACAATCAAAAAATACGTTTTCCATTGCAGGATTTTCTTTTGAAGCTAAATGCTGGGTCTATGTTTTGACTATTGACTGATAAAACAATGATGAACAGAAATGGGAACTATTATTCAAGGTCAAATGAAAAACATCCTTTTTCAAGTATGTGTTCTGCGATCAATATTAATATTACAATATTATCATACACGTTTAGTAAAGCAACTCTTGAAACTACATGACTAAGTTCAGATAAAAGCTTGTTGGCTGGAGAGACTGTCCATGAATGGCTTGACAAGCTCTGCTGTGGCAAAGTTAAAAATAAGTCCGAAAGTAATGGATATAGGCAAAGCAGGCAATGCTTTCTTATAGATGGCTAACAGGAGAAGTGTTAAGCAAAGACCCTGCAAAAGGAGAGAAAATAATATGTTAAGACAAACTCTAGACTGGGGTGATTTTTCTAAAGAAATTCTTCACTAGCAAACCAAAGGAGGTGAGGAACCCTAAGTCAAAAGGGAAAGGTCACTCATGAAAAGTCTTCCAAGGCTGTGCTTAAAGAAAAACTGAAGGGAGCCTAATGCTCTGAACCTGTCAAATCCAGGGTAATCAGCTTATGTGTTTTGTTTTTGTTTGTTTGTTTGTTTGTTTTTTAAACCTTTGATCTCTTAGTCCAAGAACAAAAGTAAGGTGCCAAGGGCCACTGGGAGCTCGTAGACCACAGCCCTGTCCTCTTATCTGGGTGTGGCTCAAGCTTTACTTGCCCATTCAAGGCAAAAGATTTGTAAAGACAAAAATATATGTACGAGAGCATGTCTACTTCTCCTTAATAACTTAAAATGACATTTTTCTAGACAATGAATGACATTAAACCTATTCACAACTGATACTCACTATAAGGATGGCCACAAAGCAAGCAATGGTTGTATTCCAGTCCTTGTATGAAGATGCTTTGCCCACGAGAACACTATAGAATATGAAGTCTCCCAGGCCTAATTTAACTCCCTCTGATAACAGAAAAGAACAAGGCATTCATTAAGACTTGTGTGAAGGAAAGAGTAGTGCAATACATTGAAAAGCAAACCACCAAAACGTAAACCTAATGATGAGGTACAAATGTAGGCATTACAGAGCATGCAAAAAAATCTTGTCTGATATGCCGGAGTTATTGGATTTTGCAATAGGGCTAGTGAATTCTGTTCTTAAATTATCCAAAGGAAAAGTGAGGGAAATTCCAATTACATATGTTCTGCGAGACAAACTGAAAATTCCTTATTGATTTATGTGGACCAAACGTCATTTTTCAAGCTGATGTGACAAATTGAAACCTGAAAAAACAAGAATCACATTACATTTCATGTCAGACTAGATGTGTGATCCACACAATCTTTGTTACAATGAATTAATGAATCCAGTAATTAGTTCACCAGTGGAGTAATTAATTAATAATTAATAATATCTTTATTAAACCTACTCATCAAAAGATTTTGGGGACCTAGTCGAAAGGACTTTTGGGCTAGTACATGACTTTCTATGCAACCTGATTACAACAAGGAATAAATCTTCCTTACTTTCTTCTTCCTCTTGATTCTCTGGGGGTGCATTTTCTACATTTTGTTCCTCATCATTTCTACCAAGTGCCCTTATTGCATCCTCTGCTGCTTCATTAGATGGCCCAACACCTTCAGTTGACCCTGTAAATTCTTCCTCATCATCTGTCTGTGCATTAATGTTACCAATTGTTCCCGGACCTGTTCTTGAGTCATTGGAATTGTCCCTATCGGCCATTCCAATCGTCCACATCATTGTAGCTAACAACAATAAGCACAAGAATAAATTAATACTTTAAGCCCTCTCACAAACGTGCGGTTGTGAGAATACAGAATGCTTATAGCGAAATTCGTTGTATAGCGGTGTGCGTTTTGCAAACTACAAAGGAATTTTGGGGTTTTTCTGTTCTGTCAATCATCTTAGCGGACCACTTAGGAAACACATGTTTACTTGCACGAGTTCAAAAGGTCATGGCTTGTGATTCGTGATTGGTGGATTTTGATCCATTTTGTTTGTTTCGTGTTTCAAGATTCGTTGCTTTGTGATCGTCCTGTTTTGAGCAATAATCGACTAGTTAAGTTTGCTTCACGGTTTTTTCTGATCTTTCTTATTCTTGTCACTTGCAAGAATAAAGCAACGTCTGCCTCTTTCCTTCGACAAAAAATCCACTCACCATCACGATTTCCTTTGCTATTCTTGAGCAGTCTAGAGTCATTCTCAGCCAAGCTGGGCGAAGACATTACATTGTGATTTGCTTTAACCCCGCCTTCACTAAAATGATTGATGGAACAGAAAAACCCAAAATCCCTTCGAAGGTTGCAATACGCGCAGCACAATACAACAAATTTCACTGTAAATACCATTTAGGTATGGAATTGAAAATTATTACTGGATGTTTTTTGTTTGTTTGGTTTTCAACCAACAGAGACATTAAATAAGTGACCTTACAAGAATAAATAAGAGATGGAAACAATGGCTCATCTCGTTCTTGGGCAGTTTGAACAAGGATCTTCAAGGGTCCTTTAGGGCAGAGGACAGCACACAAATCTGTAACACAATCAAATTCAAACACCTGATGTTAAGTAAAAAAAAGGAAGCAAGAAACCATTTTGAATATTACCTGACCCAAAAATTTGATTCTGTAGTCTAAAAGAAGTTTAAAAGACAGTGGCAGAGTAGAGTACAGACATCGAGTCTGCAGCCTTCTGATACTTACCATAAAGTGAAATAGCTGCTAAAATTGCCCAGGTTGTCCAATCTGGCAAGAATTTGATAAACACCAGAGCCTGTAGGGTTAGAAAAAACATCTTTAAGAGGGGGTTTTATGCCCAGTGTTATAAAGTTCAACAAAAAAAAGGAGAAGAAGTTTTTTTTAAATTAATTTTATTGATGTCAGATTCATTAGTACCATACCACTAACTGTATGATCACCTCTGCGGTTTGCCATTTGTGTAAATGTGATGTTTTACCTTTCTATTGATGAAAACCCTAGCACCCTGCATTGACCCTCCATTGATTATAGAATACTATGGCTGTATGGTGGTTGAAGTCAGTGACATAAACGATATGAGCTAAGAGCTAAAACTTTGAAACCAGTTTAAAAAAAGCAATGAATTTAAAGTGTATGCATTATTCAGTATTTACATGTAACACTGTAAGTGGGAAAATCAACCACGCACACACTGATCGAAGAACTTTACAAGTGCTCGTTGACTCTTGGGAAGGACGCAACTCAATCCTCTGAGGTGAACTAAGCTAAGCTAATCACGGCTCATAGTTTAATTTGATCTACCTTGAAAACTAAAGGCTTGCAATCATGTGAAAACTAGGTTGTTGAAGTTGCAAGCAGAAGCGGAAGAACTAAACCAATTACAGTGTTATGTCCCCATCGCTGGCAAACCCATGCCCTCAAGTCATGAGCTCCCACGCCCACGGAACCAGGTACCTGTCACACTGATTAACAGTGGAAGAAAAAAGGGGGGGGTGGGGGTAAAAGAATGATCCAAAGGCTAAACGAAGAGAATGGCAGCCAGGAAAACCCTGCACTGAGCACATGGAGGTGATGCAAGCAAGGCTGACCGCACTTGCTTTAGCCAAACGACTTAACTTCATCTAAATTTGAGACAATGCTGCCCAACAGTCTCTCACTTCTGCTTTTTGGGGGCCTTCTATAGCTTTGCAGGGGCATTTAAGTTTTATAGCTTTTCTGCTGAGGTCAGCCCATATGTTCTTGTTGCTCATTCTCATTAGCCTGTTTTGCCCCCTTCCCTGCCCTCCCCTTGGTAAGTATAATTATGGTAAGTATTCTAGGTTCCACTGGTTAGTAGTGTGACAGTGCTCGGGTGGTTGCCACTCACAGGGTTATCATGGTTACGTGTTGTTCTCAGCTTCCGTTCTTGGCCCCACCAACTTTTTGAGCACCTCCCCCCACACTCATCTTTGTTGATGAGTTAAAAGGGTGTAAATGAATAGAATTGAACTTACCATCAGAGCACTAACTAATATAAGATAAGCTTGCTGTAATCTAAGCGGACCTTTCCAGTGTATACAAATCATCCCTACTACTCCAAAATTCCAGATTATCAGTGATAATGTAAAGTAATCCATTGGTACATTGTACACCTTTAGCACCTCCCTGTGGGGAAATACACAAATTCTTTTATATACAGAAGGAATTACCAGCATACTACTGTTAGTAAAATAACAATACAAAAATACAGTTGTACACTGTATATTTTTTTAACGCTTTAGATTCCCAGTGGCAAGGCACAACAGTCTTGCACTGACAAAAATTGAGTGTAATTTCTGTTACTGAGAAAGAAAGACCCTATAAAATTAATATTGTATTATAATTTTATACAACGGGAAGCCTAAGATATCTTAAATGTCTAATGTTCAGTGCCACAATATGTGTCTCTCGTCTTTATGCTACACAATCAATAGTCACCTGTCTAACAATACAGCCAATATCAAAAATTTGTTATTGGCTGTATTCATAGTATTTGTTGTTTATGGATTTGCTTGGCCAAAAAAGGTTAAGACATATTTACATACAGCTGTAAGAGTCCTTATTCATTAACAATCTCAAAATGGTTTAACACTCTATCCTGTACCTACTGTTGAGATCAGTTATGTATTCAACTTTATAGGAAAAAGTCAATTATTTACACTTACTGAAAGTATATATATCCAAAGAAGAAAAGTAACATAAGCGAAGATAAAACTAGCCATCCAGATATAATCTGAAAAACAATATTTGACAGCTATTATTATCATATTAAGGAATATATATTTTGCTTTTCCACTTGAGTTTGTTAGTTGTACATGTACCTAATTCTAACCTTGTTGAAATGCATGTTTTTTGAATTTTCATTCTGTGGTAATGCCTTAAACTTGAAATTTACCACTGACTAATTGCAGGCAACAAGAGGAGCCCACAATCATAATCTCTAGGTTGCTCAGCCAGCTTTGTTTGGACTTCCACTAAGAATGAATAGAATGCACAAAACACAATCTGATCTGAGGCACATTTGTAACTTCTTTCATGCGTAAAGCAAATCACCCATGAATCTTAGCCAAAGCACGGAGTTGAAGCGAAAGTGTTTTGACCTTTGATTGATGTCCCCCGCACTGCATAACCTTTGATTATTACTAGTAGATAAATTAATGTAGAGATACTCACACAATAGCACCTAAACTTGTACAACACAACAAGGATGATTGTTAACACCAAGACAACACCAATCACTATAAAGGCATTGGCAATTGCTTCTCCAGCCTTCCTTGCCTGACTTATATTCCCTTCTTCATGAAATGGAGTGTAAACACTAAATAAAACAGAAAAAAATAACAATGATTTAATTAGATAATTGAAGCAGTATCTGCAGCTTTTTATAACTTGAAAGAAGGTTATTTTTTGAACATTCACTTCAGTTCCCTTGGAAAAGATATATAGAATATTTGGTTAAAAAAATCATAGGGCTCAACATAATCTCCACATCTGAAACCAGGAGACAATCTGTAACCACTTACCTAGTGATTCACAACACACACTAAGTTAATATTGCATAAGGTTTTCTGATATCCTGGTACACTGGATGCCAGTGTCTTTTTATGCTCGGTATGCAGTTTGGGTCAAATCTTTTTATGCAGGGATGTTGCTAAGAGCCGGGTTCCAGCTAATTTCACTGGCTGAAAAAGAGTTCATCACCAGCTCAAATTGCTCTGGACATGACGTAATTTTGAAGGTGCAGTTGAGAAAAAAAGCAGAATTGACGTATAAAAAAGCCTGCTCATCTTTTCCTTAGCAACAATGTACATCCCTAATAATGACCCATGTAAAATGCCTCTAGACAATTGCAATAGTCAAATGATAGTGCCGAACCAAAAACTATCCTGTAATATGAAAACATCCAGAATCTGGATTTTTTGCTGATTGGCTGCTAACAATCATCTAGGGGGAGGTTGCATGTAACAATCACTGTGACTGGGTGAAAAAGAATTATTATTATTATTCAATGATCCACAACACACACTTGTCTATAATATTGCATGAGGTTACCAGTATCCTGGGTCAATATGATAAAACTTTTACAGGTGTGATTTACTATTAGAGCTATTGTTTGAGAATCTGAAAGCAATTGCTGCAATGCTAAATTACACCTGTGAAATTTTATTACACTGACCAATGAAATTGTCTCTTGGTATGGAAACATGAACAACCTTCCAGTCTCAGTATTTGATAACTCTCCATAAGTCAATAATTACTATACTCTCTTTATGGAATACCAGACTTACAGGTACGTTCCTCCCTTGCGAGTGTAGTATGTAACTGATGCTATGGTTGCCACCACAACTAACATACACATTGATACAGGAATGATCAGCATCATGACACTTTTAGCCCCATATTTGAGCATTTCCTCCTCATCCATCTCACTGTCATGAGGTGACTCATCTCGTACTCTTAGTTGCCTAGGGCTCCTCTCTCGCTCTCTGCCCATCCTTTCATTATCTTCATCATCAAATTCCTCTTGTCTATCATCCTAAGAGGACAAGAATGAGAGTTACACAATACTGCACTTTCAAAGGCTGGGTCCATTATACACACTACGCCCAGTCTAGATGAAATAGAGAGGTTTGTAGGAGAGACAAAATTTGCGCATTGGATTGTGTAGATTTTTATAGAGTCAGAATAGCGTCTATTATGATATTTCTGTGTTAAAAGCCTGCGTGCAGACATCTCCTATCCTGGACGTGTAAACACATAACAACTCACAGATACCTTTCACTGTACACAAGCTCGTGTCATTACTCTGTCAACCCGTAAAGATGGGCTTTATCAAAGGAAAAAACGCTAGGACTTATGATAAAAAAATTCCTTCTGAGGAAAAATAGGGTTCAATATTTGGAATCTGGCCTAAAGAACAGAGGCTATCCAGCTGTGAGAAAGTACCACTCTGAGGTTGCATTGCCAGCAGCCCTCCAACAGAGGAAAAAATCTGCACCTCAAAGATTATAAAATTATTATAATGATGGGGAAATGGCACCTCATGCCGAACCAAAAACATTAACAAGAAATTTAGTGAGGAACCTCCCTTTATATAATTTTGCAAGGGAAAATCCTTCAATGACCTTTTAATGAGAACACATAAAGGTGGGTCAACAGAGAATTCTTTACGAACTGTACAAGTTGTGTAAACCTGTCCAATTCTTTTATTTTAACGAATTGTTTTTGCCCCACATGTTTCTAAGTGCCTTGCATGTTTTCAGATGCCTCGTACATCTGCCTTGCATGCCTCGCTGGCTCACTGGCTTGCACATTGTGCATCTCCTTATTGACACTTGCAAACATAACATGATAAAAATATGTATTTGGTGTTATTTTAGACAAAAAAGGAGTAATGATAGAAAGGCTGACTGCATAAGTCACATAGCTCACAGCTTAATTAAATAAATGTTAGGCAAGATGACTTCCAGTAAAATGACAAGCAGGTAACTTGGGTGTAAACTTAATAGGCACCTCAAGACTGACACCTTTCTTAAAACATACACTCTCAGTAAAGATCCCAAGAGGGAGCTGACTGGATGGGGTGAGGATAAAACCATTTGTAGGGCCACAGGAGTAGTTAAATCATGAGAGGTTAGCAAACGGAAAAAAAATGTCTGGATATAAATCTCTGAGTCAGTCTTTCAACTTTACATTCACTGAGACAACTTGCTGTCATGATCAGAGACAAAGACTATACATGAAGGCGTAAGGCACTTAAGCATTGAAACCTACAGCACGTTCACAACGGAAAAAAAAACCTTTCATCTTGACTAGACACTCCAGCATTTAATTTTACCGGTATCCAACGGAAATGAAAAGCTCGCGTCTTTTTGATATGTTTCAAAATAGGCATGAACGTAACTACGCACCAGTTTACTAACAGATTAAACCTCCAACATACACCAATAAAGTCTGAAAAAATTTGTGAAGTAATTTAGCTGGTTTTGCACCTAAGAGACTTACTGTGTATGTATTTTGCTCAGTTTCTCGTTGACGGCGTTGACGGCGGGCACGAGAGGAGCCTTCCTCGTCGTAATTTTGGGGCTGCGGTTCGTCCGACATCAGCCTTGTTGTTTCATCAACGTCGCTCTCCTTCATGTATCTTTAATACCGTTCATCGACACTGGTTATATTCTTTATAAACGTCCCAATTACCAGTTAAAAGACTCTCTTTTGCACGAGGTAAAGGAACTCACTTATAAGCCAACATGGCGGAAAAACAGACAGTGACGTCATACGTCTTTCTATCAGCCTCGTTCCCACGAGGTCATGCCAAAGGTGCAGACCCTTGCAGCAGTCGTATTTGGGCGTTTTCGAAAATTATTACGGCTGGACCAGTCGTTTCGAAAATGAAACGAACCGTATTTCGCCAAAAACCCATCAATACTGTGCATACTATGGTCAACGAGGCCCAAAACTAAAACCAAAAAATCTGAAAAAAAAAACTAAAATCAAAAGTTTTGTTCGGGGAGGACGGGAGCCTATGAGGAGGAACATCGATTAGGCAGTCAGAAGCAAAGGAAGGATTTAAAAGAAGTGGTCATTGCTATGTTTTTACAACACTCTGTCTATCACACAATAGATAATGGATAGTGGATAAGACTGCATAATGCGTGATAGAATGCTAGTTGCCTCTACTGAGTTAACCCATGATCAGGCGTCGAGGAATTTTTTTTGGGGGGGGGGGGTGGAGAAGAACGAAAGGACAGCCTGATCGCAGGTGTATTGGTTAGGAATGGACCGGTCTGACTGGACGACTGGACAGTCATGACTAATCGTGAAATACTCTCTACAACAAGACTGGTCTTGGTGGCTAGGGCCTGTTGACAGGTTGTGGCCAAGTGCAAAAGCCTACCTATCCTCTGTGGCGGGGGCAATTTACTTGTCTAAGGTGCGCAAGTACATGCATGTGAGGTAGTTTCCTTCCCTCCTTCCCTGTGTGACTATTGTCTTTTGATGCACCTCAATTTCCCATTTCCTACCCCCCTTCAGTAAACCTGCCACGCTAGGATGGGTTCCTGGCCACGCAGGCTAAAGCTGACCAAATATCTAGAAACTAGAGTGTGCTGGTATTTCAAAACTACCAGTGCAAGACTGGTCTACTATTGAAAGACCTGTCACTTCAATAGGCCATTCCCTAGTTGCTGCAAGCCTCTGTTTGAAAGTGAGAGTAAGTGCAAAGTCATTGATATGCTAATAAAACTCATTTCACAACAAGGGTTTTGCACTTAGCCTCATTTTGAAAGTGAGAGTTTTTGAAACTTGGAAATGGGCTATTCATATAAAACGCTCCTGTATAAGAATTATGAGGCAGTGTGCATGAAACCAAAGATGGGAGAATTCAAGACAGGGGGTGTTTAAACTTCAACAAGTGGGCCAAGTGTGAATGCTTCACCCCAAAAGGGTGTCTTTTTACAGGTACATGTAAGAAAATAAAATAACTATTGCAGACAAAACAGGCAGAAATGCTGAAACATTAAAAGGCAAACTTTACATTCCTTAAAGGATTACTTATAATGAATTGGCCTATGGTTGGCCAGTTGCTAGGTTGATGAATATTCCTTTTTTTCCTGTGATCCATTTTTGGTGAAAGTTAAACTAGAGTGTGGGCTATTTTTCTGGCAAGCAAGGACTAGGCGGTTTATGTTTCAGTCAAGTAACCTCAGCTCTCAAAAACTAGTCAACTGCAAACAGTTAAGTGACAGCAATTCTGCCAGTAATTATTCAACTGAGACAACCATTAACAAAAATCACAACAATAGGTTGAAAGGTTTTATTTTTACATTTTTAACAACTCCACAGAGCTCACAATAATCAGACAGAGGTTGCTTATCTTATGCATGTCTATAAGGTACTGTAGCTTAGTTCAAACATAGTTAAAAAGTTATTATAATAAAAGAATATCATGTTAACAGATCATCAGTGAATGCTAATAATTATTACAATTCAAATAATCCAAAAATAGTGATTGTAACAAATGCTAGGGCCTGATAGTGATCAATAAATAAATTGACTACAAACAATAGTGAATAAAATGAGCTATCCCTTCATTGAAAACTATTCACCATGATCAGCCAAAAATTCAAAAATATTACCAGCTTGAAACCCATTTAAGTTGTACCCCTGACATCACCTACCATTATTCTGACTCAAGGCGATGGCAAAGTGGGAAAAAGAGAACTTCAGTGGAATCACTAATGATTGCATGATACAGGTAAGGACTGAAATGGTTGATAACAATTATTATATTTTAAAACTTGTCACTTTTAACTATTTGAGTAAAATTAAACTTTTTCAATCATGGCAGATACGAGATTCCTGCATTTATTAAGCCTGCGTAGCATGGCTGTTTTGTCGGGAGCACAACTGAGCGACAAGGCCACCCCTTACTCTTTTACATACCATTTTTGACAGAAAAGGTACCCCGGGGGGATGGGGGTGGGGTACTCCTGGGAATTCTTGGTGGGGGTGTGCATCGCAGTTCTCTTAATCCTGACCCTATTATGTCACTTAGATTAGAGCGCAAACAAAAATTTTTCTGAAATTATGCATTTCAAATTTGAATTTTTCTTTTTCTTTCTTATTCATTTGGAATTGAAACGACAAATTTGTTCATGCACTGCTGTCTTTCCCTCAAAAACCATGCCCAATTCCAGACCACAGTGGGCAAAGTGCATATACTACCTGTTTTCAGACAAAAAAGGCACAAAGACCATACTCTTAAGGGCGGCTGAACATGATACCTGCATGACTTATATAAGGGGATACCCCCCAGGTACCCCTTTTATCTACCTCTTATTGACAAAATAATGGTACCCCTTTCACCCACTGGTTTGTAAAGCTCCATCTATTTTAAATTTTCTTGACAGCCCTTTGAGGTCACACATTTTCATACAATGGTCCTGGCATCTTCAAAAGCCTTTGATTTTACTATTGGATACCCCTCATACCCTTTACATATAAAAGTTCTGCCACTGAACATTGGTCATCAGCCAACTCAAACAGTCGGTTTGTGAGGAACATCGCTGGAAGGTTTAGCTTGTTTGGGAGTGTTATCTACAGGCTTATTAGCATAAAGAATTACTGAATATGACACAATTGCTATGGCTACAAAAGTAAAAATGTCAACAGGGATTCCAAAGATCAACCAACACAGAACTGCTGTGAACATAATCTCTAAAGCACTAGCAAACGTCTTTAGTATAGAATTAAGTCGCTGCAAGAACAGGGCAGTCGTAATCCCAATGGCTGCGTTGTTGAGTACTATAGCTAACACTTTGCCCTGGAATATTGAGCTAATGCTTTCTTTAGTGAATGCACCTGATAAAGTACCATTAAACCAGAGGACAGCAATGTTGCAAAAAATGGAATCTACATACATGAAAAAGTTCTGAACCATGAAAGGTACATCGCCACTTCTACCTTTAAGAAGGTACTCATTATAAACACCAGCAAAGCACGAACAGAATACTTGAACAAGGATCAGAATCAAGTGCACATCAAAGCGCAGGGAAAAGGAGCTGCCTGCTGCAGTGAGGTTCTCATATTTAATCTGCTTTACAATGCAGCCAGATGTTAGTAACAGCAAAGAGAACCACTGCTGTCCACTCAACTGCTTGTTAAATAATATCTGGAACAAAAGCAATAAAAAACAAGAGTGTTTTAATTTGATATTCCTCTACTCGTTATAATAACCATTTAATCTACAAGCTCCCTTCCTAATACACCCCTTGACTGAGCTGAGAAAAATATTAGATAAACACCCACCCCTGACCAAAAACTTGATCCGTATGTTTCCAGGGCGAAAAAGATAGCAAGTAGATTTGCCTGTTAGGCGAGCAACTTTCTCTGCTCACTTTCCCAACAGGCACTTTAGAAGCATAATGAAGAAATGAAACATGATTCAGAGTGATCAACACAATAATGACTACAGCCAAGATATGTTTATTACATAAAAAACAAACATGGATGATTTCCTTTTGTCTTCGAAAACCTGAGCTTGCCAGGAGTATTAAAGTACCCTGGGCAAACAGCATCTGAGAGTACCTTGCCAAAGGGTATCCTGGAATTCAAGTATTTTTGAGCCCTGTGTTTGGCATTACTGGATAAAAAATATTACTATTCAGCAGATAAGTATTACGGAAACCAATATATTATCCAATGGATAGGATTATCCACCTTTTGAACAACTCAGGGCCCTGGACCAAAAATTAACACCAAAAAGATCCCATGCCAAATTTCTAACCCTTAAAATTTTGCGGAAAGGCATTAAAATAATTATGATATAACACAAAAAATAAAAACATTACAAATTGAATGTTTGTGTTTGTTTATTCATCATGCCATCTGAATATTCAAAAATTAAAATATGAATACCCCAAAAATTTGAATACCACCCAAAAATCCCTACTTAAATCAAGCAACCCCCCAAAAATACTTGCCAAATTTTCCTACCCAAACAAATCCCAGAATTGAAATTTTCACACCCAGAAATATCCTTCGATGATCCCTGTCACTTGAAGTCTGGAGTACTTCTTTTCTAAACTAGTTTGTTTTTAGTTAAAATTTTCTGAGCTGTGAAATTTTTTTCAGTGGTAGAAATGAATCAATCTATTAATAATGACAAATACAAATTTCAAATAGACATATATCATGAGACTTAATTATATCCCTAACCTCTACTCTAAGAAGTAAACAATTTGAATGTTAAGTGGGGTGGGGAGGGGAAAATGGTGATCTCAGAAAATATACCCTGCAGAGAAACTTACGACGGAAAATTCTTGTATGGCATTTATATTCTCCTTACTTTTCAGATTTTCTTAAATACAAAAAATCGCTTTCATTTTCTAACTTAAATCTTGGTGACTACAAGTTGCTTTCACTTGAAAGTTTAAAAGGCAAATGGTGAAAATATGAATACCAACTCAGCTGGTCTATTTCAGCAATAAAAACTTTCATAATTTAAATTTCTTCATGGTATTTTTATTGACTGTTTAAATATTCTTAATGGGTTTTATCTCTTTGTTTTGGTTAAAACTAGTTCAAAAGTTAATTTGCATTATACCAGAATTCTTTAAACGCATAGAAGTTGCCATGCCAGTCCCTTGTCACCCCTTTAAAACTGTCAACAATAAAATTTTATCTTAAGTTGTACCTAAATTATTATCTGTTATACCTAAAGTGATGTCTATTTATCATTAATTCTAAAAGTGATCTATAATTTAACATTAATTTAAAAAATCAGCTTTTAACAGAGCTTTGCTTTAGTACTGTGCACCTCAAAAGCCCTTCCTTTATACAAAAATTTGCTACTACTTTCCCAACATTGTACAGGAAAAATATAGCTGAATTTAAAAATTAAGATCATAATTTAAGGAATACGTGGAAAAACTATGGTAACAGTAATCAGATGAAATTTTTTGTTGTTTTTATTTTGAAATTGGCCTTGATAAGAATCTAAAACCGAGACTAAAACACCCATTAAGCCAACTAAAATTTTTTGAACCCACCATTTAATTATTTATAATTACCCGAAACTTAACAGTATGATAAACAGCATGATGTTTTTAACAGAGTGCAAGGTTAAGACATCTGCATGCAAATATTGACAGCACTTTTTTCTTAAGTACAGATGGATTACCAAACAACCGGCTATGACAGGAAATATTTCAAAATTTGATTCAATTTTCCTTCTTGTTTTTTTTTTTTTTTTTTTTGCTTTTCCCAAATTAACGATATATTGGGGCAAAACTGTTTTACTCAACTTGTTCCCTTACCTGAAAGATAACGCCAGTCACGACAACTCTGAATTGTAGTAGAAGATAGTAGGTTGTTGGATCATAGTTTGCAAGATTCACAAATGCTAAGTTGTTGTAAAGGCAGTACATGAACGCTGGAACAACGTAGAGCAGCAAAACTATGAAGCAAGAAATTTAAATAGAAAAAAAAATCAAAATTATATAGTGGCTGGAAATAAAGTATAGGAAAAAAAAATATCCTTTTTGACCGAGAAACGATTCCACTGATGCATCCATACGTATATCATTGCAGCTCTAAGTTGGAGACAGCTGATTTTGAGAATTGGAAACTTTTCTCCCATTTGGCCTGAGGTTAAACTTTATATATTGAAAGCTATCCATAAAATATGGACTTTCTCTCTTACGTATTTGGATTCTTGTTTTGCTGTATTTTTGATGAATCTGAAACGAGTCTAATCTACTTCCTGTTGGATCCATGCTGAAATAAATTAGTTAGTGTATTAAATACCCCCAAAGGTGTCTATATCAATTTTAACAAAAATTAATAGAATCAATTTCTTTGGAACTTTCCTGTGTTCTTGACCGATATAAAATAAAAAAAAATTTGAGTAATTGTTATATAAAGCGGACACCTTTTGTCAAGGTTTTCCGGTGGATGAGTTAAATTATTTACCTTTTGTGTTAGAACGAACGTGTCCGATGAATTCTCCCAACGTCACTCTAAATTAAAAGATACAAAAATTAAAATCAAACTAACCTCACTTCCTTGAGTGTACTTTCTATCACACAAACAAAAATACATAAAGCAGACCAGTTAATAACTTGATCCCTTGCTTACTGTCTTAGTTGAAGACTAACTGCAACCAAAAGTTTGACACACTCGGACAAGAGCACTACTGTTGTGGTATTGTAAGCGTAATGATTATCTTTATCCCTTGATGCTGTTACAAGAATTCCTGAAGCAAAACATGAGGAGCGAAGAAAGAATGATTAAAATCAAAATCTTGTTTAGTACTGTACACCTTGCCATAAAAAGTCGAGGTACATGACGATCAAATTAGCTTTTCATACCTTGGCATATAAATAACGCCATGTAACCTACGAAAATAAAGAAGTGTGCTGTTGTAGGGAAGAGGTTCTTGAGATCAGAAAGAGCGCTAGTTCTTCCTGCAGCTGGCATTTTATCGTCGTGTGTTGAACTCTCTGCCATGAACTTTCTTTTTCTGTCTGGCGCCCAATCTACTTTAAAACTTCTTCAAGGCGTATTTGGAGGTTTTTTGGACGCGAGGAGTATGAGACGAGTGTCTACCGAAGCTCTTTATGAATGATGGGATAGCTCTTCCCAGTCTCTTCGCTTATCGTCATAGCAACAACTTGTCCGAGAAAAGCAAAAGTGGGAAAGATGGCGGACTTGTTGAACTCTGGCGAAGATAAGCCAAAAAGAACGCGGGTTTTCGTGAACCATGTGGATTTATACACTGGGAAGAATATAAGCAAGGTAGAAGAGAAATATTCCCCTGTAAAAAACAACAGTAACATGGGAATCAAGGCCCACAATTTTGGACTTTTGTTGGAAGTTTCAACCTCAAGAAGTTTATATGCAATGCTAAGGCTCTGTGATTTAAGTAGTATCAACTGCCTTAAGCTTGGTGTGCTACAATGTGTTTTTTTATTTTTCTTTATCTTGATAAGATAAACGTCCCATTCTCCTGATTCTTTCACACCCTGGAACAAGAAATCCACTTTTTTCATGGGACCTGTTAGGGTAGTTTCCTTAATAAACTTGAATGGTTAACTTTAGTATACTTGTTTTCTTTTAATTTCTGAGATTCTAGCATCCTCTGTTGTTGGAGCTACAGCTGAAGAAGATGAAGGAAATGATGATGAGTCTCAAGCTAGTGGACAGCCTCAAATTCCAAAAGAAAGTTGTTATGAAGTTGTTGGTACCTTACAAGATCCCACTCAGCACAAACCTGAATGGGTTGAACAAGTGTTTGAGGTGTGCAGTTAAGTGTAAGCTTATTAAAAGGTGATGGTGGGATATTGGTATGTTCCTTTTTTTGCTTTTTTATCAACTTTGACTCAATCTTGCTCCATAAAAATACATACAAAAAAAGAAAGAAAGAACTTACCCAGTATCCGGCCATCTTGGCCTTGTCTCATGCTTCGTTGGTAATTATTCATTTTTATACATCTCAAGGGTATTAGAAGGCAACAGCTCAAGGGACACTACTCTACGAACGTTTGGGTGGGGTTGTACCATTGGGACAAAATAGAGCCCTTAGCCAAAACCAGACCATGATCAACTACAGTTTTGCCACCCTATTCTAGACCATGACAGTGACTTATCCAAAAGACATTGCAAATGGGTTTGAAGTTAACTTTTTTGCATAAGCCTCTTGGCTTCTAAAAATTTCAAACTTTTGACCAAAGTTAGCTAAGATTTTACTCCTTCATTAATTACTAAGGGTTTAACTCTTACAAACAAATCCCAGTCAGGATTGAGTCTATAGCATCAAAGTAACCTCACTGGACTTTACAAGAGATCATTATACAAAGTGCTTGCCTGATATCTAGATGGGAGCCAGCAACATATTTTCATTGAGAAATATCTGGAAAGCCACCAATTTTCTTAGTATAACAAACAAAGATGTTTGCTTCTCCTTTTCTGTCACAGACTTATTTTTGTAGTGTTTAAGCAAGGTGAGCAGACGAGTTCTAATTGAGTCACCATTTTGGGCACTAATTTTCTGAATGTGGTAGCGATTATCTGGGAAACTAAGGCCCAATAGCTCCTGTATTAGGCACAATGTCATGATCTGTCTAGGCTACAGGTGCAGGAAGCAAATGTAAAAGTAGTAGTATTTCTAGACAAGGCACCCTGTCTAACCATTAATTTTTGCACCCTTGAATTAAGAAGAAGCAGACCAGTGTGCAAAGAAAGTAGTGCCCAAAAGCCTAGGGCTTAAGTGGATTTTGCTATCAGGCTAGTAAATTCTGTTCTTCTCTTGTCAACAGACAAGTGAAGATTTTGGGAAATAAATTATTCAAATCACAGAAGTACTGTCCTCAAACATTTTAATGTGGCTAGTTGGAATGACATGTCTTTCTTTGCACCCTGCAGACTGTCCTTAGTAGGTTTGTGCAAAAAAAATTCAGGATGCTGATGGAGATAATCTCTGTACTTTTATTACATAGTACAACAGCAAAGAGGATCTGTTGCCCCATTTACTGGAATGTGATATCATTGTATATGATATCACTGGAAGTCCTGACCAGGTGGATGAAGCCACATGGGCTGTTTCAGGTAATTATTTTTATTTTCATACATTGTACTCACAATCTGTCTTCTCATTGGCTGAGAGCCTACTGCACAACCTACAGATTAGTCAGTTATCTGCTAGCAGATAACTAACTAATCTGTAGGTTGCGTGCGCAGTGCATGATTTTCAATAAAAATATCAAGTCAGGTTCCTTACGATGGTGTGTTTGTCATTATTTTCTTCAAAACAATGTATAATAAAAACAATAATATTATTAGATTAAGTTTTTGTTATATCCTAAATAATCAAGGTCTGGGTAAGTGTTATCAGCCTAGAATTTAGAATGTTTAATAGTGGTAGCTCTGACATCATTGAATGTCTTTCCCTGTTTATTATCAGCCCTCCATGCAGAGTTGGAGAATTTTAACAAAATGAAGGTGTTCATCTGTCTGTCAACTGTTATGACGTGGGCAAGAAGCAAGCCACTGGATCCTGTAAGTTACTTAGGCCAGTAGTTAACACTGTTGACTGAGAGATGGTTTAGGTATGAAAAATATCTTAAAGCAATAAAAATATGTGCCTTTGAACAGTCCTCGACACTGTGTTTACCTTTGGGAAATGTCAGTGGAAGTAGCGTCAAAGCATTAAGAAGTGTTCTCCCCCACCCGCTGGCTTACATGTTCAGTAGTTCTGGCTTGACATAATGTTATTCATACCCCATCATCCTTTATTAATGGTTTAAAACCAAGTCTCTTGGGCACTTCAGTCAAAGAAATTTGAATGAGCTGATCCGAAATGATTTTGTTGTCCTATCTGTTGGACTTGTATTTTGGCCATTTGAGGTCACATTTCCCCAAGTTATTGTGGTTCGATGTTACAGCAAATGACATCTACTCCAACATAAAACCATCATGGTGCAAAATAATGATTAAATTGTGGAAGCTCTTAGCAACCTACTTCTGGAGGATGTGACTTTTAGTTCATGCACTCCAGAAGACACATTATTATATAATATATAGATTTAGCCAGGGCTAAAAGCGAGGCTCCCATTAATAAATTTATAATTTAAATCAAACAATAAACTTGTATTCCACTATTCAGTTAACTTTAGAGCACATTCGTGTCACTTTTCAGGGAAAGGCTAAGTGATTTTACAAAAAATAATTTGCAAGCAGCTCAAGAGTGAACCAAATCTCACATCGAGTTGATAGCCTCATTAAAGTATACACCCAAAAACTGGCAATCACCTTCGATCACATTTATTAAGAGCCATAATGGCTCTTGATCGCCGTAGATCATTTTATTAGACCTGGAAAAAAAAATTCTGGCCGAATTTTTTGCGTTCGACAAGTTTACTTTACAAAATCTTGCCAACAAATCTGGGTGCGACTGTAAACCAACCTTTTATATAATTTATACATCACATCTGAGGTGAAACAGTACTATGAGGCACTGTTTTTATCATACAGACCTCAGACAACAGAATGCAGTATTTCACAATATTGCAATACAAATTGCTATCATTCAATATTCAGGACGATCGCAGCACGCGTGGGCTTTAGCTAAACCATTAAAAAAAATTTCAAAATCATCTATACAGCCAGCCGGTTCTGACTTTTGCAGTGCCAGCAGTGGCGAGTGTTTGAATGAACATTAACAGAGTTACGCTCCAACATAGTAAAGAATTTATTATGTTTATTTTTATTTTAAAACGATTTTTTGAGTACTCCAGGAAGCGTTGTTCACTGAACGACTGAAAACAATCGGCACAGCGATTAAAATTGCAAGAGACAGTACTAACAATTAATAAAAGAAATATAATTCGGTGAAACATATACAGAGACGACAATTTTCATTCAGGAAGACAAGTATTAAAGTGTCTCTAAAAATCCTGAGTCTTCGAGCGTAAAGCTGAATTTTGTGTTTTAAGCCGGCTTCCCGGTGTTTGCTATTTTCAAAGACCAACTCGAGGCAAGGAAATCGCTCAAACCTTTCTTTTACAGTCAGAATTATAACTAAATATTCCTTGAAACGTTTTCTTTCTATTTACGGTGAGAAAATGTCTAAAGGCTTTTTAAAGATCTGTAAGCTTATAACAAACCTGATACTTGGTCAGATCATTGTCTCAAATCTTACAAACGTGTGTAAACAAAATAGCCGCATAAACTACTCTCGACTTCATTAAATTAGGAATAAAAAACAAACATCAAATACAATAATAATTATTACTTAGGCTTACCACTCGAGATGCAGCTCCTGAAAGGTATCAAAGAAGGCCAGTATCGCTTCAGACTTTGCAACCCTCTTACACATTAAGCAAGGTGAAAACGAAAACGATGCCATGCGAAATCGGATTTCCGACTTTGACTCAACCAAAAACCCAATAAACAAATTAGCCATGAATAACAGAAGACTCCTGATAGAATCTGAATTTCATTTTGTACACCCAGTGGAAAAAGAAAGTTAAAAACATCACACGTTGACACAAAACTCTGTCAGCTTCAGCTGTCAAAGTAAACAAGATTCAAGATGCTGCATAAATTTTCCGCATGAACTCACCTGTCAAATTTTGACCAATCAGAGCATAAAAATTGGACGTAGAGCGTGACCAACGCGTGAACATGGCGAGAAAAGTCAAAAGCAACTGTCTTCCCTGCCTGTAGCAGCTGGCTGAATTTTCTTGTCCGAGGTCAGTTTGAAATCAAAATTTTAATTGTGCGGCACATAAACACAACATATTTCATATGAATTTAAAAAAAATTAAACTTGAGCCTGCGATCATTTGAAAACAAGTACCTTGTCAGCGGATAACTTCAAAAAAATACTCGACCTCGATGGGTCGACACCTGAGCCCGCGATACGGTCAAGTGATACCGGTCAGCAGATACCTTGTTTTGACAGCTGTCAATTGATCACAACATTGATGTCCAATATGTGTATCAATTTTCCTGTGCTCCGATCCCAAACTAGCTAAAAAGTATGAGACTGAACATTGATCGCGATCTAGTAAAATAATTAACTGGTCAGCGGACAGCTTCCAAATAAATCATGTCACCTCAATGAGTTGACACATGAGCCTGCAATATGGTCATGGGATACTGGTCAGTGGCTATCCTGTTTTGACGGCTGTCAATTGACCATATTGTGAATGTCCAATGTAAAAGATGTGGACTTGGCAAGACACGCCTGAGACACCCCTCCCTTCCTTTTGATAGTCTCCGCTACCCCACCCGCACAATCTGTAGATGCGTACGTACGCTCGGTCAACCACGTGACAACCAAACGAAAAGAGGTTGACCATAATCTATGAGTATGGGGCTCGACCTGTCCCACGCGCACTTTGCGCGCGTGCGCGAGAGCCCCGCTATTAAGTGATCTCATAATTAATTTTAATTCGAACTTTTTGTATCAGGACGATCCAGAAATATCTTTTACTGAAGATGACTATCGTCGCAGAAGGGCTCATCCAAACTTTAAATCACACATCAGTGCTGAGAAACTTGTAATTAAGCATGGAAAGACCAACAAGGCTAAGTTCATCACTTATGTGGTTGCCTCTGGATTGACATACGGATCAGGAGAGGAGATTTTCCACTTTCTCTTCAAGACTGCGTGGCATGGCCAGGCACCAGCATTGCAGTGTTTTGGGAATGGTCAAAATATTGTACCAACTATTCACATCAAGGATCTTGCAGCCGTGATTGTGAATATCTGTGATCAGAATCCTAAAGTGCGCTACCTAGTGGCGGTGGATGATTCTAAGAGTACTCTTGAAGAAATTGTCAAGGTTGGTGGTAATAGATTTCAGATGATGTTGATGTTTAATGTCATTGTTGATAATCGAATTAAAGCTGATGGGATCAAGCAGTACAAGTTGGTATGTATGTGTTGTGTAGTAATTTGTTTATTGTTATGTCTTTATTTTATTCTAGATTGTAAGTGTACATCTTGGAAATGGAAAAGTCAAAAATATAACCAAAGAGGAAGCCTTACTTATTAAAGAGCTTGAGGTATAGTGTACTGTCATGTAGGCATCACATCTTCTTGTAAATTCCTTATAGTTACAAAGTAAAGCACATGCCGGTAAGACTGATGTTGTAGCACTATTTAATAATCATGATTGTAGAAGAAGCTGTTTAAGGCTGTTTTTAAAAGATTTTTTGATCCATCTTTCCTTCACTTTGATCCACAATGTGTATCAGAACATAATTTTTCCTCATGAAAAGATGAAACCAATCCATTTGTGTTTCAGTTGCCACAAAAGCTTTGCTGAATTGTTCAATGGTGTACTTAAAACAAAAAAATGAAGTAGGAGGGTGAAACAATTTTTTTCCAACTGGCTTGCTCCAGTCAGTTTAATTTACCACCAAATTTAATAGAAGATTCAGAAGCTGACTGATTTTTCAAGCCCTGCACCTTTGTCAATGGCTATCAAGTCAGTTCGTTTGACCAATTTTTTGTGTAAAAAATCATGATAAATGTTTTTTGTTGTTGATGTGTTGTTGTTTTTTTTTACAGCAAGCTGACTTTGATATGCTGCTGGTCAACCTAAGGATGGATGCAACTTACATCAAAGAAGGAATGAACATCAGCTGGGTATCAGAGGTAATAAAGAACAATCAACTGATCTTTTTTCACAGACTTTATTAAATTGAAGTTGCAGCAGTTGTTATTATTATCACCTTCACCTTCATTCTCATCTTTCTTTTCATGCAAATAATCTACCACCAAATAATTAAAATTATTCAAACTTAATCATGATCAAGTTTATCTCAACATTTAATTATGAAAATTTAAACACTGAGTGCACTCTACGGGCGCTTTCCAAAAGTCAGAACTGGGCGGCTGGACCATGGCCAGACCAGACATCTTGCCTATGAAATAGGCTTAATTTCCAAGAGGTTTTACTGAAAGTCACCATCTCCTTTGTGCATAATGTTTAGGATTTGACTGATGTGGATGGTTAGTTTTGATCAAAAGTGAAAATCTCATTACAACCGGAATGGGCTGCAGGCAGGTCAGTTCTGACAAAATGGGAAGCGCCCTACTATACCCACAAATCACAGGGCTAATTTAGGCAGGTAGAGCAAATTAGACAGGTCGTAATCATTATTATAATCATCACCATTGGAATCTCTTTCCTCAGATAGCCTGAGAAAGCAGTTGACATTTTCTGACATCACCACTGGTGTCCCTGCAAAATGAAATCTGAGGAACAAATGCAGAAATTCCATGTTGATGATGTGTCATTACCCAGATCTGTGTAGTGCTTCTGATTGGTATATTAAAGCAAGTTTCCCTCTTGGCATGACCAATCAGAAAGCACTACCCCTGGGGGGGGGGGTTACTTGGGGAGGTGTTTGCTGGGTATGTGCCGCTGCCCCTACCCCAATATAGTCTATTCTGTTACCAATATTATAGACCCCATCTTAGTCACTTGTGGGCAAATATGTAATTTTTGCGATCCCAATTTGGTCACTTGCTATTTTTATGAATTGACCCATTTTTTAAACGAAATGAAAAACACTTTATTTTTCACGTACAGTATAAACATAATTTCTGATACCTTTCCTAACTGTTAGTTAAATTATATGAAGAACTGTCTCACCCCCCAAATATACGAAAATGTGCGACCCCATTCTAGTAACTGTGTTGAAAATAGTCAATCCAGTCGTGAAAACACGACCCCATTCAGCAGCACATCCCCATTAGCCTCTTATAAGGAAGTACCCCCCCCCCCCACCCACCCACCCCGCTTGTCGCTCAGACTTCATTCCACAGGAAAACAGTGGTGGCATTGCAAAATGTCAGCTGATTTCAGGCTATTCCTCACCATGTCAACATCTTGCTTGTGTCCTCTTCTTCACTGTGAACAGCTCCTCCAGATGTAATCTTTTACTTTACAATATTTCATTTGTATTTCCTAAGCTCTGTGTTAAAAATGCCATGTGAATATCATTTCCTGTTGTATATTTTCCTCAATACTGGTTCACTACTGACACTGCGCTTAATCCACCAGACTGGACTCACAGACAACATAGATGAAGTCATAAAAGAGTACAAAGAAACAAGAGGCCTTCTGGTATGAGAAGCTTTTTGCCCATGATACATTATGTTTTGGTAGTTAAACTGCATGTGACATAGTCTTCATAACAGTCATTTCCTTTTAGCCAATCGGAGGTTTATGTGGGAGATGCGTGAGGGCATAGGGTGAAAAGGAGCATTTTGTATTTGCTGCATTTCACTCCATGCCAGTTCCCTGTTTCTTGCACTTCTCTTGCTTGGCTGAAAGCAAAGCAGGCTACACAATTTCTTCTAGATTTTTAAAGATTGATTTGAACTGCGGAAATTTTACAACTGCCACAGTCATATATCCTTGTTTAAAATATGTAGAGTTTTGTTCAGCTTTGTCAATTGCTGTATGTTGGTGTTATATTTTTAAAGTAATAAACAAGTTGATGTTATATTTGACTTCTTTAGCCATTGAGAGCATGTATCCTTGGACCACCAGCATCAGGAAAAACCCTTGTCATCAAACAACTATGTGAACATTACAAACTTCATCACATTAAAATCCAAGATGTTATTGATGAAGCAGTGGAAAAACTGGTAAGTACTGACTCTATCTCAGTCTATGATTTTGCTGTTGAAGTGAGTTTCTTAGCAAATCACACTGTGAGTCAGAGACAAGGAAAGGGTGGGCTAGACTGTGGCCTCTTGATCTACGGTAAAACGGATAACAAAAACCTGCAACTTGCTTTGCAACATTTTTGCAGAATGAGTGGGAAAGTGATGGTGAGCGTTTTACCACCCACGTTCAAACCTGTCTTGCAACAAATCAGATTGTTGCAAGTTGCCTAAATGCCGACATCTGATTGGTTAAAATTGCGCAGGAGTCATTTACTTAACTTGCTGCAAAACAGGTTTTTTAGAGCATAGATTGCAACAGACGTGCTTGAGAAAAGAAGAACTACTATCAGGGTGCTTTTCATTTGTCAGAACTGGCCGGCCGGACCATTGCTGGACCAGTCATTTTAACGATGAAATTGGCTTTTTCCAAGGGTTTTTGCTGAAAAACCATCTCCTTCCTGCACACTATTTAGGATTTGACTGATCTGACTGGATAGTTTTGATTAATAGTGAAATTCTCATTAAAAATGGAAAACACCGTCTCAGTCTCCTTTTGCTTTACAGCGGTTCTTTGTACGTGGTTGTGGAGCGGACTAAACTACTCCCTACTTTCTGCAACAACTTTTCGCAACCAGCAACAAACTGATTGACTGCAAGACAGCTTTGATTCGTGCGTGGTATTTGTTATTCAACTTGTTTTGCAGCAATGTTGCAAAACAAGTTGCACATTGTTGTTGCCCGTTATACCAATTACCAATGTAGAGCTAGTTACCATGACATCTGTGAACCATGATTACTGCTAACCAGGCTGCAAACAAACCAATTCTGAAATATAAAAATATTTAAAATGTTAACTTCGTTTTTGTAGCAACGTAGCGCCGCTCGAGCAGAGGCCGAGGGCGATGATGAAGATGATCTAAAGGCGCAAGAAGATCAAGAATTTCTGGAGACGTTGCAGGACAGTAAAGATAGAAATAGCGGTAAGGAGAGCTACTATTAAAGACAAGTAAGAGCGACTTTATCCTGTTTATCGGCTCGATTATAAAGTATCATAAAAAATAAACAATGAAGACAATTTTCGTTTTCAAAAAGCTAAGCAAGAAAGAAGTCAAAAAAGAGAAAATAGTAGATTATCTGTGAAGTGTTGACATCTTTTAGTAAGGTTTGTGGCCATTTAATTTTTTACAAATTACAAATTCACTCCACTACATTACAAGCATTACAAAATAAGCTAACACTACTATAAAAAAAAAGGTGTGGAGAAGGAGACAACCAAAAGCGCCAATGCGCCATACTAGGGATGCCCCCACTAATTAAAATATAACAAAAATATATACAAATAGAAATCTAAATGTTCTAGTTATCCTTAATAAAGCTTAAAACATTTCTTTTAAAGGTTGCAATACTGTTTGATTCTCTAATATGATTGGGTAAACCATTCCATTCATCTACAACACGGTTAAAAAAAACTATATTTAAAACCGTCAGTTCTACTAAAATTTGGAACAAGGTCCTGTGTGTCATTTTTCCTCAAGTTGTAACCTGTATTTCTGTCCTTACAAAATATGAGCTTATTTAAAATGTCAATATCATAATGCCCATTAATTACATTTAAAAAAAATGTAACATCTCTAGTGAACCTCCTATTAGATAATGACAACAATTTTAGCTTAGATAGTCTAGTATCATAATCATCATCAGACCTAGTGATCCATCTGGTAGCTCTTCGCTGAACAGCCTCCAATTTATCAATGTTACGTTTAGTATAGGGGTTCCAAGTTTCGCATGAATATTCTAATAAAGGTCTCACAAGACTACAATAAAGTGTCTTCATGGTATCAATATCCTTTAAGTCCCTACAAGTCCTCTTAACCAACCCTAAAACCCTATTAGCCTTAGCAGTTATTTTATCTACGTGTTGGTTCCATGAAAGATTACTGGCAGTAAATAATCCTAAATCTTTATAAACATTAACACTTTCCAAAGGTTGACCTTCAAGTTACATTATCACACTCTGTGGCTTGATTCAGAAATTTTGATCCGATATTTCAAGAAAAGAAAGAAAGCAGCAATCTTCACAGTAAAACTCATGTGGCAGTTTCTCGGACGTGATGAGACGATTTCTTTTCCTATTTTTATTGTTAGGTCGTTATGAAGATCAATATATCATCAGATTTTACAAAGACAAGTTGCATTCCATGCCTTGTCAAAATCAGGTAAACTTTCTTGTTGTCATTGTAGCATTATTTTAACATCTTTTGCTATTAATTTGGAAACACAGTACTACATAAACTGCCAATTGCCAACTTGATACATTCGGATTTTTTGTTTTGTTTTAGGGATTTATTTTGGACGGTTATCCCAAAACATACGAACAAGCTAAAGAATTGTTTGCAGGTAAGGTTTATGCGGCTTGGTCAGGGTCTGCAAGGGAGGGGGGCGGTCATGATCCCGCATTCTCGCTACTTTTCAATGTTAATCCCACATACCCCGCACTTGTTTTCATCGCTTTCGCGGATCCCGCTTTTTGTTTCCAAAAAACATACCGCCTGTTCAAAAAGACTAATTTTGCTACAAAAGCTAACAAATGTAAGATTTAGATTGGCCATTTAATCCGACGCCAAGGCCATTCCATAAAGGAAATCGCTTTTTATATCTCAATGCGACGATAGAGCACCATATAATCTTGAAAGGTGGTCCGGCAAGTGTGCCTACTGACATCTAGTAGTTACTTTCGAATAGTTAGCATCCCTTTCCCTGGATAAGTGTGTCAAACTCATATTGACATAACAACTTGTGCTCATTGAGAAAAGTCTATTAGGGTAAGGCCTCTACTGTTTGTGATTTCCTTTAACGCGCTGAAGGTTTTATCTGCTTCTGAAATCTACTACAGCCCTTTGATCATGAGTTCGTGGTATGGCGGAATAAAAATGTTTTCTTTGTGGATCGCTGCGTTACTTCTGGCACTAGCCATAGAGTGGAGGGAAAAAAGCAGAGGAAAGGAAGAGGGAGAAAGGAGGGTTTCTTCTCCCTCTCTTCCTGTCCCCAACGCTTTTTTTTTCTGCTCGTTTTCCTTTGGGTCCTCCCCACTATCTGAACGTTTCTGACGTTAGCAGACTCGTCTGTGGCCGTAAGTAAGAATGACACTAAAACTATCAATGTCTCAAGGTTCGATCAGGCGTTTTTTTTTTGGAAAACTAGGAAACTTTTCATTTAACCGGTCTGTTATTGCATCACGTGCTCTTTCCTGGTGTCTGGTCGAAATAGTGGGTGTTCTGTCGGCTCGTCTGTTCACTACTTGACAGTTTCAGTTAGACAATCATTAACCAAATCACTTAGTGTATAGTTTGCTCAGTTGATAGGAGACACAACTGAACGCTCGCCTTATTGAATCGCATTTGCCGCTAGAACGTGTATCTTCACGTCGTCACGATTCCCCGGTTTCCCGACAGAGATGGGAAAAAATCCCGCATCCCGTGCCCAAATTTTTGTGAATCCGCTTCCCGGGTTCCAGTCAAATCCCATTTCCCGCCAAGATATTTTGCGTTTTCCCAAATCTCGCGTCGTAGTTTGGTCAAATCCAGGATCCCGAAAATACCCTTCCAGACCCTGCTTGGTGTTAATGAGAATCTATTGTTTAAGTCTATCGTTCGTTGGAAACATCACTTTTAAGTGTCTGTTGTTAAAACAATAGACACTTCCACGGTTTTGTTCAACTTTTGACGTGGACCAGTGAGGGAAAAGCTGTCGACACCACTAGCCTGAGTATCAGGCGTTTCTGGGAGATAATCTCCTCTCCCCTACCCTCTTAGGGAAGCCTGATACTCAGGCTACGACACCACTGGAAAGAGCGCGTTAATATTAGTAAAATCGCCAACTTTGAAAAAGATACGTCTTAAGCGTACGAAGATATAGGTCAGCAAAGTTGCGAAAATTTATAAACGTTCATGATGGTGGGGGCATGTTCGCAATACCCCCATACAAACGTCTGTACAATTTCGCGACTGTGAGGAGCTGTATCTTCGTTAGTTTTAAACAAATCGCTTTCAAACTTGGAAAGTTTACTTATTCAAAGGCGCTCTTTCTAGCAGAGTTGACGAATTTTCCCTAATTTGTCCATGTTAAAAGTTGAAAAACCGTTGAGTGGTCTAATGTACAGTTGGCGCCAAGTCGCGGGAAGACAAGCAGTCGTTGGCCAAGTATTGCTAAGCTCGGGAAACCCTGCCACCGACCACCGCATGCGGAAGATGCTATCAGCACGTGGGAAAATCTTTTACCATTTCTAAGCGGGAAAATCCTGCAATCGATCTCAGGCGCCGAATACATGCGGCATAAGGACAAGGGAACATTCGTGCGATGCGCCGGAAAACAGCGAAGGAAAGAGGCAATCAATGTTGCTGTCATTGGCTAGAGTAAGCTTCGTAGTAGTTCTGATACTGACGTATACACCGAAAATTAAAAAAAATCAGTTTCAGCCGTAAAGTGCCAGTTTAGCCCTGTTGGCCAAAATATGATTCAGCCTCTTCTGGAGCCATTTGAGCAGCACAATCAAGAGCTATAATGGTCCCATTATGGCTCTTAACACAATTTAAGCAAAAAAAGCCCCATCGAAAGCCTATTCCAACCCCCGCTGGGATTTGTTTCAGCCCTTGGGTCCAAATCAGTCCTAGGTATATTGGACTGTATTGGCCCTGATTAAGGGAGCCACATTAGACCCAAAAATAGGACTGTATTTTACTCACCGAAACGGTCCCCTTTTTGGGGTTAAAGCAGATCTTTCTGGTGTACGGTATATCGTGGTAAGACAGCTTCAGTAAATTAGTTTGTTTTAACTTTCAGCTGATGAAGGAGAGGAAGGCGAAGAAGATTCACCATTAAGTTATGACAAGCTTATTATGCCAGGTAAAAGAAAATTTTCCATGCTTACGGTTCTTTATCGTTATTGCGTCGTTTAGACATCGAGCGCAACCATGACACTGTAATAGGTCTAGACAGCGAGCAGTCTCTCTTTTTCTTCAGATTTAGTGAGAGCAATGCACGCGCGCGGGAGCGGCGAAGCCGCGAGACGCGCGAAACGAGGGCCCCGTCTCGCGCCATCAGTCACGCGCGTGGCCATTTGCTTGTCTCGCGTTTTGCTCGACGGACTACAGAAAAAAGAGAGACTGCTCGTAGTTTATAACAGGTCTTGCCAGCTCTATAAGATACTGCGTGGCAGTTACGTAAAACGGGTATTAAACTGAGTATTAGTTAGGTTAAAAACTAAACAATTCGCTTTGCCCAATGAAAAAAGACGCTGGTAGTCGGATGAACCAATCAAAAGCTCAGATCAAACACCGGCTGCCAAGCGCGGGAAAATGCTTACTAGCAAGTTACATTTGAACCAATCAAAACTCAGATCAAACACAGGCTGCCAAGCGCGAGAAAACGCTTACAAGCAAGTTACACTTGATTTAAATTGACTTAGAAGGGCCACCAGTTTTTTAAGACAATCGTGAAGCAAAGTCATGCAAAATCATGGAAATCTTCAAATTACTGCTTTCACCAATCAATTTAAGCCCAAACTTACGTCCGATATTTTTATTGTTACAGAGGTCGTGGTATCATTAGATGCACCAGACGAATTCCTGAAAAACAGAGTCATGAACCTGCCGGAGAGTGTTGTTGCTGGTACACACAACACAGAAGAAGGTTTGTTCCAAATAATCCACGATCATTCAAAAAAACATAAAGCGTAGTACAAGAATTATAGCTAGTGCATGACAGTTGTGGAAGCAGATGCGCTTGAGAGGTTTGTGTATCCCGAGAGAGGAGGGGCACTCCTTTATTGGGCCTAAACGGGTACCGGGTATGTGCAGCTGAACAGGGCCGGTATGGTTTTCAGGGTCTACGATTTCACTGTTTAGAATCTTGAAAAGGGTGTCTTTCTGCGTTGGAAGCAAGAGTGTGAAGGTTGGCGATGAGCGGTCGACTTTTGTGGTACCAAAAATTTTTTTCCAAAAAATCTAACTCCATGATGTTAGTTTGAAACTGCTGAAAAGGGTATGCAAAACGAAACGAATCAAGGTCATAAAATAAGTTCCTTTGGGTAGAGAAATGGGCAATTTTTGTCTTATACAGAGTCATGGTTTGAAGGCCCCGGCGGCACACCTCCACCCAAGCTTTCCTTGGGTACCCCCGGGTTGTTGATATGCAATTGACCTAACGACCAGCAAGATGACGTTTCCTTAATCAAACTGGGAACAACTTGATTTGGCGGTCAATAGTGGCACTACTTGTTTGAATAACCTGACATGACAGCGCGGCTTGTTCCACTCCTTTCCTTTGCTCTTGGGCGACTAGGGGATCATATGCTGGAAAGCCTGGATTTCACATGTTCAGAGCATCAGTCCCCTAGAATTTTTCATAGAGTGCAGCCTTGATTATTATGCGTTCGGGTTTTCTACAGGTTTGATGCGACGGCTAGCAGAGTTCCGCGCTGTTAACACGGAAGACGAAACTGTAATGAACTATTTTGATGAACTAGAGATTCATCCCGATCATATCGGTAAGTGTAGTTGATTGTCTTTGATAAAATCGGAGCTGGGACGAAATAAAAGCTAAAAAAAGAATCACTCTGGGCCAAAACATAACTCGTTGAACACACGTGAAGTTGAACGAGTGTGACATACAAGGCAGATGAAACAGCAATCCTCTTGTTTTAGGTAACATAACCTGCCAAGGGTTTTTCTTTTAAGGCGCTTATCATATGTCAGAACTTGTCGGCCATACTAATCCTGTCGAGAAAGGGACTTTCATTAGAGACCTTTAGCGCCCAGGGTTTCAGTAGAAACCCCAAACGTCTAGAGGTCATATGACCAAGCGGTAGCCTTGCAGCCGTATGTGGAGTTCTGGACGCCTGGCGGTACGTTTTCAAGTGAATCACTTACCTGAAAATCTAACTCCAGGCCTATTATAAACCCGTGTGGAAAACTTCAAACACGACTGCAAGACGTGGTCACGTGACTTCTAGAGGACCTGCAGATCCGGAGTTCGCGGTGTCAACCGCTCGGCCACACACGCCTCCGGCTTTGTGAAAGTTTCATGAAAAAAAACTAATATTTCACTTTCAAAATTTGCCGGTCTAGCCATTAAGAACTACGGATAGGTCTGACTTTTGTTAAATGGCCTCAGACTTGAGTTTTACTCATCCTGGCCGATTTTGATTCCAACACTGCACGCAACGTTCTATTTTGAGTAGTCGGCAAGAATGGGATCGGCATCTGTGACCTTCACCGGGTTCAAACCGGTTAAAGAGAACGTTTACCGCAAAATTTATTTTTCTCGTATAAAGGATCAATGACCGAATTGAATAAGTATCCTTGCAAAACATTTTGAATGGTTTATTTTTTATGTATTGTATGACTTTGTTTGCAGATATAACACAAGATAAAGCTAGAAAAATGACCAAGACTGTCGAGCAGATCAAAAAACTGATGGGAGCGCCTAGAAATTACGGTATGTGTGAGTAGTAATTAGCCACAGTTTCAACCAATCATCAAAGCCGATTGCCCCTACATGATTAAGTTAGACCAGTAAGATGACTAGAGTTTCAAGTTAAACGGGTGACTAAATGGATGAAAGAGTCAGGTTTTATTTTGTGGGGAAAAAAACTGCACTTTAGGCTACGGGACCCATCAGCTACGATTGGCGACAAAATTGTTGAGACACTGTACTCAAATGGGTTAACTTCAGAGAACAAAAGAATCCACACCCCTCCCCACTCCCCTCCATTCCAATTTGGGGTGTTTGTTGTTTTCTACAGGTATTTCGAATAGCGGCCCAACATTGCATGGAGGGGATGGGAGAGGGAAAGCTTTATTTTCTTCTTTTGAAGTCGGTAAAAAGTAAGAGAAGCCCTTTAGGGCAAAGTGTTTCAACTAATTTTGTCGCCGATTGTAGTTTACACCAGGCACTCCACCCAAATAATTAATATAGACACAAATAATCCAAATAGAACATAACAGGGTTAAAAAGAAAACAATTGGCAGGAGGCAATTAGTTGGCTCTTTCCGGGCGTGGTCGAGGGTTTGAACTGGGGACGACTGAGAACAAATCGAGCAAAATGGTTAGAACGGGACTCGAACCTGGGTGACCCAGATTTCTTGTTCGACGCGCTGACCACTCGCCCGTCTTCCGCGGGGTCCACATTTGTACAACTGAGTGGAGAGGAATGTTCCTTGTTTACGATTTCGTTTTCCATAAGTGAACGTAAGAATGGAAAATGCAACATCTAAATACACTTATCTATCATACCCCTGTGCCACTGCATTTAATGGCAACCATTAGATATATAGTACATATTGAATTTTCTTTCGCTAAGTTTTTCCTTGCCATAACGCTATCGTACCAGTGTGAGCACAAGAGAATACGAACTGTAATTGAGTCTTAGGGCGCAACTTTTATGTCAGTAGATCTTAAAACTTTTAATTTCTATTGTTTGTGGTTTTTCATCAGGTCCGACACCAGAGGAGCTGGCCGAAATGGAAAGAATTGAAACAGAGAAACGCGTATGTTGTTTTAAAAATTGTTTATGAAGCCGACCAATCAGCAGACGATTGTTTTGTGTTAGCAGCATAAGCTCTTAATTTTAGTGTAGTCTTAGATATGTTTTATAAATTGTCTCACGCAGCTTGAAAAAGAGCGGAAAGAACGAGAGGAGCGTGAAAAAAGAGACGCTGAAGAAGCTGCCGAGAGACAACGCAGAGAACAAGAATGGGTAAGGATGATCTCTAAAAAATACCAAGCACGTAGACTCTAAAATGTCCTTAAGAACCAGACGAATTTTCACCGTGCGTTGGACTCGAAATCCGGCGGTTCCAGATTCAAGTCTCGCTGTGGCTGGTCACTAGCTTGGTTTGTCCGTCATCTTGGGTTCAAATCCTCGGCCATGCTTGTAAAAAGCCACCTGTGAACTTAGTAGGGTCACCCTCCTAGTTGGGCCAGCTTTTCTCCGTATAAAACCTTCAGATCGCCCAACAGGGTCAACTCGTTCAAGGCGAGACGAGACAATCAGAGCATGCGCGAGTGCTGTTGTCAGCTCTTGGCTCAGGCAAACTCGGACAAGACGAGACAATCAGAGCATGCGCGAGTGCTGTTGTCAGCTCTTGGCTCAGGAACAGGGTCAATTTTTTTCTCATATAAACCCTCGCTTAAGTTGACTAGGCTAGAAGGGCGATCCTCTTTCCCATGACATTTTTTCTCCATAAAAAAGGGGCCTAAGGCAAGTGCGCTTCCACTTTAAACAAAACACTTAGACTTCTACTAACATTGTGGATTCCTTTTAGCGCATCCGACTGACTGAAGTCAAACGGCAGGAACAAGAGCTGTTGGAGAATCAGTCCATTCCACTTAGGAACTATCTGATGAAGCACGTGATGCCCACCCTCGCGCAGGGCCTTATTGAGTGCTGCAAGATGCGCCCTGATGACCCTGTGGATTATTTGGTGAGTTATCCCTCAAAAAAGGCGTAAGAACAACATGCATATAAAAGAATGTTATTTCAAATCGTTTATCCATGATATAGATCGCTTTCACATGACGATTTAGCGGCCATTTTGGTGCAACAAAACAGTGAAAAGGCCACCATGTTGGTGTACCTAAACGTCCTGTGAGAATTAAACGCTTTGCTCATGTTATGTGTTTTCTTCTACCATGAGTACCAGAAGTTATTAGGGAGCTTGAGAAAAGACGTTTTTGAGCGCGGCGCGTCAACCGGAAGTGGACATTTTGAATTCTCGGGCTGTGGTTTTTGCCAATATTTTCGGGCAAATTGTCTCCGTAAGAGTGGGGAAAAGGCCCTGACGTGAGTTGCTCAAAAACGCTCTCGTGTGCACCGGAAGGCCGAAGCCACGATCGGCTGGTAAATCTTGGCCGTAATCGGAAACGCGCAAGAAGCGTCTATGGCACCTAGGGTATTTTTCTTATGTTCGTTCCAAAAAACTGCATAGCAAAGGTGGAAACGATTTATACTTAAGGAGCTCTTAAGAACCGGTTTAATAAGTTTTGGTGCCTTCATGGTAAGTTACGGTCGTTTCGATGCAAGTTTATTCAGTCGAGGTGTAAAAGTTTCACGCACTTGGCTGAAAGAACGAAGAATATTTACCCGAAATGTTTCCCTTTTCACGTGCAAACCATACTTCAAGTGGCCGAAATTTTAGTGCAGTTTCACTGCTGGAGTTTGTATCGAAACGACCGGTTTCCCTCTTGGCAAGTTACACATCTGAACGAGTGAAAGTTGAAGGGAGAAGCCGGAACATGAAATAGCCGGTGAAAAACTTCTGCGATGAAGCTGACGCGTTTTCCTTTCTTTTTCAGGCCGAATATCTTTTCAAGAACAACCCGCAGATAGATTAAACGATGCGAAGAAGTGAAAAATTGTACATTTAGATATGCCACAGAAGCATGTTGTAAATATACTTGGTAGCTGGTAACAGATATTTCAGTTACCTATGTAACCGCAAAAATGTTTTAACATTGGCGTCGTCGTACATTTCTTATATAAATAAATGTGAAAATAAAGTTAAACGTTTCAAGTAAAACCTGTCTGCGAGTTTGTCTGCAGGATGTGAAATCATCGTAGAGGTGTGGGTCTTACTTGAATTTCCAAGCTTTCTCCACTGAAATCCATTATATTTTTCCTTGCTGTTCTCAAAAACGTACCGCGCATTTCCATAGTAACATCCATTGTGACGTTGAAACTTGACACAGAAATCCTCCCAAGCGCGCGCTTCAGCGAAAGCCCAATTGACTGCGCAGAAAAACCGACAAAGTCGTATACACATGCAATAATATAGGGCTACCAAGAGGTAAAGCTTGCATTTTCATGAACTTAAGTCAAATTCCACTTTACGTTTGTGAGCACAAAAGAATCGTTGAACGCTAAGTTAGTCTATAAACGTGCGCCACACTGCATTACAGTTTTTTGCAGTTCCAGTCCAATCCTCTTTATTACAGAGATTATAAGATTCACGTTTACGCCAGACGGCAAACGTCAGATTCAAAAGTTGAGGATTTCTCAGAGAGAAAAATAAGTAGATAAAAACTGTCCAGAACAATTCTTATTTATAAAACTGGCGTTGAAACTACTTAATCTTAGTCGACTGCGGTAATAAACAGTTAACGACAATTAAGGGAAAAACTTGGTCACGTGGTACAAATTTACGTTTGCCGTTTGGCGTAAACGTGAATCTCAATCTCTCTAATAATGTCTACAGGACGTAAAATTAACTTATTTGCTTCAACTAACTAAGCCCTGAGTAAACGTTACTGTGCAGTCGGCTAAGGCTTTCTCTTTTTTTTAATTTTTCCCATCTTTTCCTTTATGAGGAAAGTCTTGAGCAAAAACAACGGCGTACCTGGACAGCAGGCGATTCTGTTGGTTCAATAACCAGCCGATTTAGCAGAAAAAATAAGCGCTGATTCATCTTTCTTAATATATGCTAATTGTAAGTAAAGGCTCATCAATCAAAGGATTATATATGCAGTTCATTCAATTGTTGTCAAGGTCACGGACGTAAATACATCAATATAATACAAAAAGATAAAAGCTTATTCAATTAAATTAACAAAGTAACGGCCCCTTAGCCAAGTAAAGCTTCAGGATTTAAGCAAACAAGTGAAAGCGGAACTTATAAAACACGGTTCAGCACATATTGTTCCTGTTGTATTTTGCCTGTTTTGCACTCAAGTGACTGCGTGGACTTCTAGTCGTTGAATTAGGAAGTTGTAATGACCTGTAATGATATTGAAAGAGTTTATTAGCGGTCACATGCGAGAAAGTTAGCGACTAAAACTACGCAAATTCGTACTTCTGTCAATCAACAGCAACACAGTTCAAGCTCAGCGACATGGAAATTGATTTCAAGTCCCTTGCTACAGTCGAAGGAGCAGAGAATTATCAAGAAGCGGCCATAATTCTCGAAGGTCCTCCGATTGAGATATTTGCCCAACGAGCTGCTCCTACCATAGTACTGAAACCGCTGCGGCAAACACGGGGAAAGTTTTATTATGAGTGCAAAACAAATACAGGAGGATATATGCAGCTGGGCTGGGCAGATGAAAGCTTTAGAGCCATCGCCGATGAAGGAAAAGGTTGCGGTGATGATGAACACTCGTGGGCATACGATGGCATGAGACGATTAAAATGGCACAAGAATAACAAAGAGCAATATGGTCGTAAATGGAAAGCTGGTGATGTGATTTGCGTCGCTGTTGACTTAGAAAAAGGGGAGATTAGCTTTGGCTTAAACGGTGATTGGGAAGGAGATCTGGGGCGCGCTTTCTCTGGAGTCACATTCGACGGTGGTGTTTACCCATGCTTGTCCCTCATGAGAGGTGAAAGGGTCCAAATCAACCTAGGGACTAAAACAAACCCCTTTGTTTATCCCCCTCCAGATGGGTTCCTTCCTCTGACAGTCACTCAACCAGCGGAGACAGCTGAGTCAGAATACAATCGATTCTCTAGCTTTGCCCACGTGATTCCGATGGGTGTTTCAGAAAACAGCTTCACCTTGTCCTTTCCAGGTGAAATAATGGTGACAATGATGAGAAGGGGGCTCGAATACGAAGGCAAAAAGAATGCTCTCATTCACGCTGGCTATGAGGAAACTTTGAAGAAATGGGAAGAAAAGAAGGAGTTGATTCAAGCTGAATTAGGCCGTGCAGGTTTAACAAATGACGAAATTTTCGCTATCATTTGTTACACGCTTGAAAAGCCACCAGTGTATCGCCATTTCAATGGCGACACTAGGAAAGGATATACAGGGGACGGAATGGATTTTCCAATTTTATCTTACCTGCTACGTGAAGCCTGCAGAAAAATTCTTGTAGCCACGCCCAAGGAGAACCGTACAAGAATCGTTTACAGAGGTGTATCTCTAAAATTCAGCGCAGAGCCTGGTAAAATAGTGAGGTTTGGCTCCTACACTTCAACAACAGGCAACATAACCGTGGCGGAAAATTTTCAGAAAAATTCTAACGGGACTCAGTTCGTTATTGTCACAAAAATTGGCGCTTCGATTAAAATGTTGTCAGCTTTTCCCGAAGAAGACGAGATCCTAATTCCACCATATGAAGTATTTAAAGTTCACAGAACGGAGGAGGACCCATCTAGAATTTACTTAGCTAGTTGTTTTGACGATTCTTTTGTGGACAGGTATACCGCTGACGGTAATGCAGTTAATGAGGCAGTTGCATTGGTAAAACATTTGACGGAATAAACAATGAATTTTAAGTCTAAAGACCTTCATCATCTAATTAACCTACAGTTTTGAGTAACGCTTTATATAACGTTTTCCGCACTTGTTCAAGTTGCCCTTGATTAAGGGGTTTAAGGCCTGGGTCAAAGGTGTGTTCGGAGCATATGAGTGATTGGCAATATATCTCGCTAGGAGACATAGACGAAAATATATTTTTCCCCAAAGGTAAATCTTGAAGTTTTCTTGTGCCTTAATGTTTAGTCATTCAGGTGACTAAAAATTGAAAATAAAATGAAATTTGCTAATTGGTGGCGAATTTTCTTTGTTCGGATAAACAAATTGGCATTTCTGAAAGAGGATAAACATACCTAATTCTATAACTTTCTACGTTTGGAATGAATGTAAGCGGAGTTTAAAATTAAAGTTTTAAATAATTCAAGATTAAATTTGGGCATTTAAAAAAAAAATGTGTTCCCTTATGATTTTTTGTTGAAGTGCAATGGACGGTCATTCCAAACGTGAAGTGTTACAAATATTTAATATGAATTATAAAAATGTTATTGTTCGATTTCTTTTCTTAAACTGGCAACCAACTGGTCAATAATTTACCATTTTTAGCAAAATGGTCACGTGACATATCACGTGACTTATCAACACAATACATATCTAGCCGAATCAGTTTTGATAACGTTATCGCCAATAGGCCTTTTGCGTTCAACAGTTTTTTTCGGCCAAAACCTATCTCCAAAGTAGCTATTGTAAAAACTAAGAGTGCAATCATTGCTTGTTTTTCTTCTCCTCCTTTCCTTCTCCTCGCTCTTTCTTTTTCTCCTTTCCTTTTCCTTCGTTACTATGATTTTGGAGCTTCTTGGGCTTACCATAGTTATTAGAGGAGACTGGTTATGAAAAGCGGCAAACATCAATGATAAAAACAACAGTGCTGCAGTTCATGTTCAAAGCACCGTGAAAGTGCACAATCCTTTGTTTTCTGTTGGCAAATTGTTACGGAATAAATTAATGCAACGTTTTAATTGGTCAATACAATCAAAATGATAGGAATTCTTTTGAACGTTGTGCACTTTCAGGTCCACAAAAACATATAACAAAGGAGTCTGACGGGTTTCATAACCATTCCACTCAATTAACTATGGGCTTACGAAACGTGTCTTTTGACCCTTTTTCACTCAAATGACTGCAAATTTCCTTAGGCTGGTTTCCAAAAATCGGCTAGATATACTTTGAAATGTTAAAGACGATGAGTTCTTTCTGTGACCCAAATTTTGATTTAGCTCCGTTATTGTGCCTAAGTTATAGCCACTAAATCATTTTCTGCAGGTATTCGCGTTAGTCCCTGGTGTTAGACTACTTGAGCATATTCCAGCTCGTTCCCGGTTCCTAGTTTATAACACTGCATCCCTTTTAACTGCTGTACATGCACCTTCTTTTGAATTCGAATGAATAATAAAACCAGAGAGTTTTCTTGATTACTTTTTCACTGCGATAACATGCATTTGTTAGCCCTTTTGGTTCCATTTACACCGAAATGGCAGATTTCCCTACCCTTTCATATACTTCAACTAGTGTAAACATTACCCTTTCATATACCTGAGGCCCGCATAGGCCATTTTAGGGACTACTCTGCCCGGGCGCTTGTTATAAACTGTTAAAAAATGACTGATCTCCCAGTAACTTGAGATTCAACTATGGGCGCTTCAAAACCCCTAAATTTGACCATATTTAGGCTACGTTCACACATTACCGGACGAACTTTCGACCTGTTGATAGAACGATTTTCGTATGACCTTGAAACGAAAACGCGCGAACAAAGCAGAAACGATAAACGAGTAGCGAGTTGATTGGTTTAGCAAACGGATACAAACGCTCCTGGCTTTTATTTGGTTAAGCGAGCGCTCGGGTTAAAAAACTTCCTCGCTTTGACGTCATACTGCGATACGATTGGCTAATCGAACAATGCCTTCTCCTTGTTAGGGTTTTCTTTGGCGGGAAAACCAAGAGGCCATGTTTTGATCTTTTCATCCATTGGCTGATAAAACTATTGACGAACACATACCGAAACCATTTTTCAAGGTCATGTACGAATATCGCTCTAATTCGTACGTTTAGGTGCAGGTGTTCCATTTACATTCGTTCATGCCTGTCCACGGCTCCAATCTTCCCATCATCCATAGCACCTAACAATCATCTGCGTTGCGGGCGCTTCATTCAGAACAAGTCGATCTTAATTTTTCTACACTACACTACACGGGTGCTGACAAATTTTTGTCAAGTACAAAAAGCTTGGCTCCACCAACATCTGCGTGGTCATTACCCTAATAGTTAAACCAAACGCCTATAAACCGGAGCAAGTAAGTTCTCTCTTTACAGACCAGTTTTAGTTTAGCCACAGTTTTCGGGCGAAAATTGAAGTTGAGGTCCGTATGTCGGATCTAGCATAAATACTGACCGATTTCCTAAAAGAGCACCGAAGGCACAAGATTCTAGAGGGGTCCGGGGGCATGCCCCCATGGAAACTTTTTCGCTTTTAACTTCCCAGAGTCTCCTTTCCTGGGTTTCTGAGTCATTCAGATAGGATCCTTGACCAGTTCCTTCTCCACGGATGAAGCCTTGCAACTCGGAAAGTTTTCTCTTTATAAAAAATCTGACCGATTTGCGTAAAACGGTGGAAACCGGTGTTGATCCGCGCCTGTGCGCATTCGTAGTGCAAAAAAAGTTTTAAAAAAAACTAATGTCATCAAAACTATCAAATTTTATCCTCCGTTATTTTTAGTGACTGGTTTGTGGGAATGTATGCGATAGTCTAACGTACGGTGGAGCGGCAAAATCGACAGTAACAAGGGTCAATAATTATGAGAATAAACTTGTCTGTCAAAACGCCCGATATGCCATTATGGACTTTCTTTCTTTCTTTCTTTGCCATTATGGACTTTCTTTCCCTGCAAGATCCTGGAACTGTTGGGTTTTTATAAATCCGTAACATATAAACCCGAGACTGATGGTATGTATAAATCAGTGTAATAACTTTGCACTCACACCTAATACTAGCAGCTTTAGAGAGCTGTTTTGTTCTAAAATTTTGGGTGTTTCTTGGCAACTGTGCTGTGCGTGAGTATTGTTCAGTATTTTCAATCTTTTTTCCTCTGCGTCATTTACAGATGGTAATTACATCCGGAACATCGGAAAACCATATTTTACATCTTCTTTGTCAGGTATTTGTATTATCGTCTTTACCCTGGCTCTAGAGGTCCGTTGTCGAAATACTTGGGAAGAAATAACCCGTGGGCACGGTTGAGCTAAGCTCCAGTGAGCTATCAGAAATTAGCAGAGAAAAAAAAGTCTGACTCTCCTGTTCGTATCCTCTCCCAGGCGGCTGCCCGTTGCCCAAAAAGCCTGAGGACTCTGGCACGACAAAGCTGCACCCTGGTATCATACAAAGAAATTGAAGTCGTTTTTTCATTTTCAAATTGATCGGAAAAAAGAATGGTTTCCATCTTTCATGGTTAAAGAGCAATGAATTTTTTTTATCTATAATTACCCTAATATAAAAATGGGTTACGAAGCGGAAGGACGTGAATGTAAAACTTCACAAAAAAGCCCTTATATGTGACCATTTGTGATATTATGATTCATTGTTGAAGAATGAAACAGAAAGCAAAAAGAAAATCCTAACATCACGGAATAGCCTTTGGCAATGTTAGTTCTAAGATGAGATGTGATACGAAAAAATTCAAATCGATTCACCGTTGCTAAAGTGTATATAGAAATAGTAAATAATCGCAATCACCAAATATTTTTCTGGTCAATGCAATGACAAACGTGTGTATATTGGTCTATACTGAACGAATTCGTCAAATTTGCCGACGCGTTTCCGAACACCTCTCCGTCGGGTCACGAGATCCGAGTCCAGTTTGCCACGTCGTCCTCTGATACATGACGTCATGATGTGCAGCAATTGCTTCCATCCCCCTCTAAGGATTATTGTTAGCACCACGCCAAGCTGAGCTCAGTGGCTCGCTTCCTCTTTTACGAAAAAGCAAGTTATTTGCCGGTATTTGTACATTATTTCATTTAGAATTTAGCTTGACAGTGAGCTAAATCTGCGAGCAATTTGACTGGGAGCGAGACAGCCTAACATGTCCACTATGAATCCCGAATAGTAGGTTGAGATTATGGTGTCCTCGTTTTTTTCCCTCTGGCAGGGTTTCGAGTTAAACCGGGATGATTCTACGTGTCATTTGGAATTTCGCTTTTACGGAACGCTTTTCTTTTTCTGTTTTATTTACAGTGATTACCTTTTCAAGCTTCTACTTATCGGAGACTCTGGTGTTGGAAAATCATGCTTGTTACTTCGGTTCGCGGTTGGTATCGTTGTATTTTCCTGTTCTTTTGACGAGTATTGCCTAATATGTTGGTTGGATTTCGATCGAGGATGAGATCTCTGACCGGTAACCGGTTCTCATTTTATTTAAGTCTGTGTTAACCGTCGCTATTTTCTCCTTCATTTTAGGACGACACTTATACAGAGAGCTACATCAGTACAATCGGAGTGGACTTTGTAAGTTGGTTTAAAATAGGCTTACCTTTCCTTTTTGCTTTTTGGACTAGCCTGATAGCTTGCGTAGGTCGGTCGCAAAGAAGGCTACATTATGTTAATTTTAAGTTGATTTTCTTGTTTTTTCCCTGTTAGAAAATACGAACCATAGAATTGGACGGCAAGACAATAAAGCTACAAATTGTAAGTACCCATAATGTAGCTAATGTGTGAACAATTGTAAAGTATAAAGTTTGCAGAATTGCAAGGTCAAATTGATCACAAAAGCATCAAAGTCACCAATTACGTTGTTGGATCACAATGTTACTTTGCTCCGGTGTAAATTACGATTTTTTATTATTTTGAATTGACGGTCATTGGCTTTGTTTTATTACAGTGGGACACGGCAGGCCAAGAACGGTTCCGAACAATTACATCAAGCTACTATCGCGGAGCTCATGGAATTATAGTAGTTTACGATGTTACGGACCAGGTATAAATTAGATTCTGTCTTCACTCTATTCCATAATATATTTGTTATTGAAGTTTGGAAGTCGTAACAACAGTTATCGTGTTTAGTACTTCCTATAACTGCACTTTCTGCAGTCACGTTTAGTAGAACGGTTCCTGAACGTTGGTTTGCCTGCAAATACATCCCTTCTGACCGTTTTAGATAAAAATAATTTTATGTTGTGGAACGAATCAGTTCATAATGTAGAGACATAATCGATGCAGTCCCGTCACGTTTATCCATGTGGACCAAAGTTCAGGATTAAGGAAAACCATCATAAGGGTTCAGAGTCCCTCCTACTTTTCATTTGGATGTCTCATTTTATAGTTACTTTATTCACTGGATTGCTCAAAAAATGCCAGAATATTGTAATTTCCACTGTTTTGTCATGTCATCAAGTCAATGTTAACCCTTCACCCTCCTGAAGTGATTGGTTTTATACATCAGGTCACTTTATGCAAATGTGAAGAAGCATTGCATTAATGTAGAAGAAGTGACCTAAGATAACGGCCATTTTTTCCAAAGCTTGACTGCTAACATGATAAAGAGTAAATTAAACCTTCTGTTTTCACCCAAAATAAAAAAGAAGGTCCAAAGGTGTTTTAAGTTGCAGTAGATCTTAGCTAGGATTTCAAGTCTAAAAAATTTGAAGCCAGGACTACAATCTTGGACACAATAATAGTTGATGGTGCAAACCCCTTTCCCCTGAAATAATTGGTGATGGTTTGCAAAGGCCAAAATGTGATTTTTTCCAACTTATTTTGTACAAGGTATGTGGCTTACAGGGTAAAGAAATTTAACCTTACTAATGGTTTGCTCAGTGGAGGGGTCGTTTTCCAGGACCTTACAGAGTCTACTGCAGAAGATTAATGAAATAATCTTAATGATTTGCATTCATTTTTCACAGCCTCTCTTGTTTTCTTATTAGCTTTAACAATGGCGTGTTCTCATTCCAAGCGGTTTCCATTTTTGACAAAAAGTATCAAACATAATATGTTTATGATTATTTAAGTTGTTGTTGGATATCTTTGTTGCAGGAGTCCTTTAACAATGTCAAGCAGTGGTTACAAGAAATTGACCGGTATGCATGTGAGAATGTTAATAAACTACTCGTTGGGAACAAGTGTGATCTTACAACAAAGAAAGTAGTGGATTTTACAACGGCAAAGGTATTTATTCAGAATAGAAAAAAAATTATTGTTTTAATTTTAACAATGTGTGGTTGACAAAGTGGGAGCATTCACAGTTGTTTTTTTAAAATTATTGACATTTACAGTTAAGTTTTGGGGTACTGTTTTGTTTTAGTAGTTTTGAAGCACTGTTTATTCCTAGAAATTTACTCAGAGAAATTTTTTGAAGAAAGAACAATTTTTTTTGTAGAAGGAAAATTATTGGAGTTCTTGTTTAGTTATCCTAACACTTTTGAATAAAGGAGAAGACAACAACAGAAGCGTGAAAGTGATGTGCACTGCATTCCCAAATATCCTCGTCTTTCACCTCATATGAAGCAAAAAATATGTGGAATTATCAACTGAATTGATAATTAAACCATCCACTTTAAAATGATTCAGAAGCTGATGTTTTGAGCACCAACCTGCGGTCAGAGTGAATTGTTTTACTGTCTGATGCAGCACCATGGTTTCTTAATCTTAAGAAGGTAACCCCTCTGTTCCTTTTTCATTTTGAACCCACTGCAGTTTCTTTATTTCTGCCTTTCCTAAGAAACAATATGCTTTTCCCCGGCTTTAGGAATATGCAGACTCACTGGGAATTCCATTTTTGGAAACAAGTGCAAAGAATGCCACAAATGTGGAGCAAGCTTTTATGACAATGGCTGCAGAAATAAAGAATCGCATGGGACCCGCACCAGCCCAGCCCGGAACTAGTAATGTCAAAATCAATTCTAGTACGCCAGTAAAGCAAGGAGGTGGAGGATGCTGTTAGTAGCAAATTAAAGACATTGGACTACAAACCGTTTGGTTTGAGTTACTTAACACACATACCGAAAATGATAATGGGCGCCTATTTTATGCATCTTTCCTCACTTTGAATACAACACAGACTTTTTCTTGGAAAGAGGTATAAATAGAATTGAAAATGATTGAGGTATTGATGGCTATTGTTCCCCTTGCCTTGACCAACTGATGCAGCATATTTAGATGAAAAATTATAGAGCTTTCCTTCTCTTACTATTTTCTTCAATAACATCCATTTCTCCCCTTTTAAATTTGAATGTAGAGACTGGATTTTTGAACAAACTCAAGTAAACTGGTACAAAAATATTGCATGGTAATGAAAACACTGACGGTTTAGAGTGTACAATAGAGTGTACTGTATTGCAAAGACATAAAAATAAAAATATTGTTTAATTGAGAGTCTGTTGATTAAAATCACACCTTGCCAAAAATTCCTTAAATGTTAATTCATTTGTATTTATATTATGGAATTGAACTGCTTGTAGTTGTTGAAAATCTGTGGGAGATTATTCAGACAAAGCGTGATTAGAGACCAGAGGTTGTTGTTTTGTTATGGAAAAGGCATAGTTTTATACATCATGTAAGAATTTCTCTAGACATTAAAGTTAAGTTCCATTCAGACATTGAATTTATAATGTTAGTAACCACTCTCGTGTAAAGTGTCTTGAGCCCCAGCTAAGCAAACATTTTCACCCTGCAACTTCTTGTTGGAGGAAGTTTTGCCATCAGGCAGTGTCTCTTCCTTGTGTGGTTGAGATGAGACAGTTTTAACAAACATTAGAAACAGACTTTCAAGAACCTCTTCCAACTATGTTTGCACCTAGAATGTGTTAATACAGCCCCTCTTGTTATTTTGGCATTTCAGGGGTTATAACTTCAAAGACTACATGTGAGCGTACATTGTTTGATTTGTGCCCAAGTCATTGTCATTATTCATTACTTGTATGACAAAGATGAAAGTGTCTTAAATTTTTAGCTGAGGCTCAAGACTAAAATTCAAAGACAAAACCATGCTATTTAATTACAGCTTGGCTTTAACGCATTTATCTTCTTGGGGATGAACCATTTTGAGAAAATTTCCATTACTCTTTTGGTAGGTGGGTTTGTTGCACTATTTTTATGTTATAAAAATTAACCTTTGAATTTTCTGATAATATCATATTAAGTATTTTAAAATTAGGGATCCACAACCCTGGAGAACACTGCATTAAAATTTCAACATTGGTATATAGTTTCACACATCTTGCTAAAAGAAGTTTTGAAAAACTATTCCTTTTTACTATGTGCTTAATGATGTACTTGTTCTGAAAGTCCGCCTTTTTATCATTTATCTTTTGGTTGTCCAAATAGAGGTGATAAATTGTTAAATTGGCACAGGTATTCAGAGCTGCAAGTAAGAAGTCGACATCAGACTATGTCAGAGTAAATTTACCTGTGTCTGAATATTACTGCTGCTGTGTGTAATGACAATACAAAACAGATTTTAAGTCTTTCTTAAATTTAGCTGAAGAGTTGCTTAGCAATTAAAGAAATTACCAGTCAACAAAATGTATGTGAAACAACTTTCTTGGTTTGTCTAAAGTCGTGTCCCCTTCTGACATACATCCTTTGTAAAAAGAAAAGTTATTTGCAGGCCAGGGTATTGGAAATGTGGGATGGTATGTTAAATAGATATTGTCAAGGTTTTAGCCACAAAGTTCTGACAGGGTACCTACCTTGACTCTGTAGCCAGCAAGTCTAAAAGCATGGAGTAAAAAATGTTTTTCTCTAATAACTGCACCCAGATGCCCTTCTCATGAAATCGTCATTAATTTTTGTTGTTGCTATTTGTTTATCCCTATAAAACAAAGCGACTGTGACTCTCCTTTACAATAATCGGAAAAAAGCTTTGTTATGTGTGAAACCCAAACTGACTTAGACGGCTGGACATAATTTTATTTACACTAAAGTGGATAGTTTAAATTCATACAATTATGTAATTTTGCAAGCAAAATATTCTCATTTTGTTGTAATCATAGTTATCTTCAATAAAATGTGTGAGTATAATATTATTGTTGCCTTAACAAGGTTAGTGTCTCAAACTTAAACTCCTTTAAAATTTACATTTTTATTGATAGTGGTGAAACGAAGATGTAAATAAAATAAAAAGATAAAAATAACAAATATCTATTATTATTGAGTGTGAAAGGCATTTGACATTGTAGATCTATGAAACCTGGATGTGGGGAATTTACATGTAAGCAAAAACATAGGCAGGAATCAAAATTTTTGTTTTAAATTCAGTAGTAACATTATTGTCAACCTCATCGTTTGTAACACTGTATTTACTTGATTAGATGCCGCCCTCGATTTATGCTGCTAATCAATGTGAAATAATCACTAACAAATGCCTCCCTTGACTACATGCCCCTCCCAATAATTATTAGAAAAATGCATCGTTTAAATTTCAGGATTATAAAAAAAAAACTTGGTCTTCAACACCATCCAGACTGTGACGATAATTATTTTACCACGGCAAAAAAAGGAGACACGTAACGTCAACCTCCAATAAACTCTGCCCTTGAATAAATGCCACATTAGAAACGCTAAAAATTTTAACAAACGGTTTTTTAATCAAATAAATTCGGTGCTTAACTTTGTCCTACCTTTGTGGATAGGCAGGAATCAAAAGTAATATTTTTCAATCATTAATTTTGTCTTGACCCCATTGTTTAAGATGCTTGATTTTTTCCTGCCTTTGTGAACTAAATTAGGCAACGCCTGCCAAAATATAAATTTGGGGTCTATCAAAGGTGGGGCGAGGGGCGGGGGTCAGGTGATTTGCTGTACATTATTGTCTTCTGACAGAAGACAAAGTTAGTTAAACAACTTGTTTGAATTTTCTGCTTAAAGGAGGGGCACTTTGCAAGGAGGGTGCTTATAAAGCTTCAGCTAACTCTTTAATAAAAAAGTCAATATTCATATGTCTTCTGTTTGTCAAAACGATCGTTCGTAATGCCATTATGCACAGTTGTATCCGTACACATGTTATAAAATATCAATAATATTTTAATATTTATTAGTTCATCCTCAAGATCATGCTCATCAACGATATGCAGATTGTAGCATTCCTCTTGATCCATTAGAGTTGGAAGGGGTGCTTATTCGAGAGGGGCGCATGTGTGAGTGATATTATAGCCTAGAGGGTGGGCACTTATTTGGGGAAGGATGGTGTTAATAGAAGGAAGGTATGCAAAACCCTTCTAAAATGAAGCACATGTACATATTATAGGTAGTTTCTTGGTGTTGCTGACAGGTGTAATCACCAAATGATGTACTGCAAACTACTGAAAAGACACTGAAAAATACCCACACTGCCAAAAGAAAGTGAACCAAGAGGGTCTCGTCATGAGTTCATGAACAACAATTTTGTGTTTCACGAGTCACCAAACAAATAGGTGCAATTATTGACCTTTGATCTCGGCCACGTGTTAGGGTGATCTCTGTGTGGCATTAAATTCCCTAAGGAAGGCAGCTGTAGGTGGTCTGAAGTGTGAAGTCAAAAGTGAAGTTAAATCAAACCACCAGGTGCTAGTTAGGGTCAATTGGCCAAATAAGTCACAATAATATTATTGAATGTCTTCAATTGATCTCCAATGTATGTGTTCAGAATCAATGATTTTGGCAGTTCACCTTTCACGGAGTGTACCTCCATCACGATTCACAGAACAGCTTTTCAGCACATCACGATTCAAAGACACCAGAAATGGTTGATCACAGCTTCGCAAAAATAAGTTTGCCCCCCATGAACCAACAACAGTTTCTGCATCACCAAGAAACAAGCATATTATTTGGACACTTAAGCAGCATACTCTCAGCCAAAATCAACTTGAGTACCACTGGGATAAAGGACAAAAGACACAGACAGCATCATAAGGCAGCACTTTATTTTCAATCCTTCAGCAAAAACTCTAGCTATGTTTAACATAATCATAACAATTTTAACACGACAGTAATTTGTTGAAAATATAGTGTGCACGCAATAAGCATCTATCCAAGAATGATAATACACAGAGAAAAGGAAAAAAAGCCCTCCAAAATTGTGATGTTCAAATTAAAGTAGGGAAACAGGGGTGGGAAGAAGGTGTTTCGGATTTGGTCAAGACTCATCCAAGAAGTAAAAGTGGTAATAAAATATTACTTTTCCAAAAACTGGCAATGATTTCTCAAGATTCTCCTTCTATTCTCATTCTTGAACACAGTAACAGAGCACAGTCCCCTACATAATTTGCACTATGATGATCATAAGTTAATAATTATCATAATTTTCTCCAATTAATGTGCGCAAAAACATAATTTCAAGAAAATAATTTGTCTTCGAATAATTTTAACTTTGTTGTCAGTAAACTCTTTTACATTGAACAATAAATAGTAAAGAAAGGAAACAAGACTTATCAGTTAAGTTAAGACCATTTTTGTGTAGGAGCATTTAAAATAATAAAGCAAGTACACGTAGAATCATAACGTAAGCCTTGACTCATAATGTGTCCCCTTTTTGGTTTCCCTAGATATGAAGGCAAAATCCATGATAGAAATAAAATTGCTCTTGCAAACAGAAAAAATGATGCTAGAATATAAGGGCTGGATATTTAAACGGAGTTTAGCCAATGTTCAGCAAACCATGTTGTAAGCCATTTCAATTTGCTCAACTCTTTTATCTAAACACCGGCTATCGGAAACAGTTTCATGGAAGCAACACTTGGTTGACTGGACAAACATTTACCTTCTTAAAGTAACCCACTTGGACAGAGATCTGGGGGTCCAATTATTTCTTAAACTGCAACCTAAGTAGGACTTCGTTTAAATTACCGACCCCACCTTTTCATTGTTGTTTGTTTTTTTAACATGTGAGAACAAATTTTTACATTCCAGTAAACCAGTTTGGTACCTCTAGGGAAAAAGTGAATTTTTAACACAGTGATCCTGAACCAAAAACAGCCAAGGCACCCACTGTTTCCCACTGACCAATGAGAGGTATATAAAGAGAATATTACATGGCTACGAAATTTCTCTTCGAATGGTGAATAATATTTTTACAAGTAAGTGCAGTGAACGAGTGAAATATTTTTCATCATGAGAAGAGAAATTTTGTATCTTCAAGCGGCCATGTAATTTTCTATTCATTACATAAACACCAATGAAATACCAAACCATTTCACTTTAATAGCTTTTTGCTGTGAAATGTGCGCTTTATTATAATGTAGCCATAGCAACGGTGATCTTTTCACATGTCAAGATATCATGTTTTTGTGCAAAAGCTCCCCTAGTATTTCACTGGTCTTTATATAAATAATCAATATTATTACTGGGGGCAAAAAATATAACAAAGAACATCTACAAATATCAACGTAATATTTTTAAATAATGTACAGTTACAAAAATGCACTTCACTGCCAACCAAGGAAACGTCAAAGCTATTTACACAGAAAGCAGAAGCCTCTGAGGAACCACTGAGGAGGGGTTAAGGTTTTGAGAACAGAACTCCTGCTGCATAGCTCACTGAACTGTCTTCCTTGTATTCACAAGCATTAGACTGTGAATAATGAATAAACTTTAATGTCCATGGATGAGTTACACCATTCATCTGCCGTAAGACTTCCACTGCCTGCAGTTCATTAAGGACAATAATATTATTATTATGTTGATGTTATTGAATGTTAGTGCAACGGACAACCACTGAGACTGTGGACGAAATATTAGTCCCAATAGTGACCAACATCAATTTTCTCCTAATGATAACCATACATTGTCAAGAGATAAGTTATGAGAATTAATAAAATGGTCACAAAGAGAAAAATCCTTGATCTTTTATCAAATTCTCTCAACTAATTCTTTAAGGAAATGTATAGAGATCAGTTTGGAGAAATATTTGTATGTGGATATTGGGGCTTAAAGGGATAGCAAAGCTTTGCCGTTGTAACTGTCATCATGCCATATTAAGGTATTTCTTGCTTAAGGGGTTGTAGATAAGCAGCCCAGCCAAAATGAGCCAGCAACTGACAGTTTTGCCGCCTACTGAATACTTGAGTTTAGAAATATCTCATAAAAACCACAAAAACAAAGGCCTTTGCTGCATGCTACTCTGGTTATCCTGCCTACTACCATAAAACATTTTGACTGGGGCGGATGAGATAAGATCACCCAAAGAAAGTGAGCAATACTTTTCAGTTATTTATTCTAAAAAAAAATACACTTACATTGAGCAGAACACCTATGGGATGTCGACCACATATCGTGTTCTTAGAATTTTTTAAATATTCAGTGAATCCTCCAGGCTCAAGTTTTTCTATAGCATCCATGCCCTGTAATAAATTAAACAAAGGCATTGTGAACGTACATTAATATTTTGTTTTTTCGTTTATGTAAAATTAATATTCCATTCATTTGAAGTCATTCATGTTCTTCATTAGGGAGCTTAAGTAACAGTGATGGCAACAGCTACAAATTAAAAATGTCAGTTAAAAGTGTGTTCGCACTGCTTCAAACTTTCATTGCATATATTCCATCTTGTTCAATTTGTCAAATGTTGTCTAAGGGACTGTATCAAAGTTCAGGAAAAGAAAAAGAGGGTCATTGTCTTGCAACGTACATCCTCCACAAAACATGATTAATTTAGCCAGTTTTGTGTCGTAGCTGGGCAACGATGGCAAGGAAATGTACAAAAAGTGTTGCATGTGCAAATTAAGTTGTTGTTTTGCCAATCTAAACCTATTGCTTTTTTGCCATTCTCCTTGCTGTTGCCGTTGCCATTGCCATTGTCATTGCTTAAGCTCCTTTATTAAATCTGAACTTACTGTTCTGTCTAAAGCTTCAATATATTTATAAATAGGACGACGTCCATCCCAAGATGTATAGTTATAACGTTTTCCTGAAAAATCAAAAATCAAAATCCAGTTATTAAAGAAGGAGAGTCTTATTATAAAACATTGCAATAACAATGAAGAAGCTGGGTACAGTAATGCAAGCTTAGCCAGTGTGAAAGAGGTGAATTATAAGAAACATTAAAAATGAACAACACAAATGTTTATTTCACTGTAAGATCAGGAAAAGGATCTTAAGAAAGTTATAAAAACACCATGGCTTGGCACCTTACAACTGAAGGAGTGATTACAGAATACCTGGCCACTTAGTAGCACTACTACCTTGACACCACAGTCTCATAATCATTGAATAAAAATGTTAAAAACAAGCAGTTGTAATGGACTGCCACCAAAAATGTTTAAAATCAAGCAGTTAAATAGCTGACTGCCACTGCGGTGCACAGTCTCTCACTTGATGAACAAGAATGTTAAATACATGTAGTTAAATGGACTGCCACCACGGTCCGCAGTCTCTTAGTCAATGAACAAGAATGTTAAATACAAGCAGCTGAACGGACAGGCACTACGGTCCACATTCCTGGAGGAAACTTGTGGCTGCTTTATAATTTTTTAACTGGCTAAGGTGGGATTTGTGGATTAAAAAACAAGGTATATTACATGTGTTGACTCTGGTGTTGACTGTGTATAGTGTGCTTGTTTCGATTCCTTGCTTAAGAATATTAACATTTATGTAAATTATAGACTACTGGGTGACTGCGATGGCAGTTTTTGAGGTCAAATGTAAGTCAATGGTTATTCTGTAGTATAGCCTAACTGAAAAACAAGGGTCAACAAATTTGCAACTTTCACTGCCACTTTAGTTTCCAATAATGTTTTTCAACTTGCCATGGTGAGCAAAACGGTCACAGATTGGATCCTTGTCCAATCATGCACAGAAAAATGACTTTGTACTCATTATAAACTAGGAAACTTACCCCAGTGACAAAAATCAGAGGAGACAACGAAAAGGTTCTCTGGCCGGATGAGATATTTGCTCAGGAGCTTTCCAAACTTTGCCTCACTTTCAGAATTTAGGGACCCAACAAGGATTGGAACTATTGTGAATTGATCCTTTTTGCTGCAAAAGGGGGAGAAGTAGGGAAAAAAATTTTACCTTCATAGTCCAAATTATTATTACATAAAAAAGATCGGAGATAGAATAATTATTAGCATGGCATTTTTAACTTTCCACATACCATACCTACGTCTTTCTGACGACCAAACAAGCAAGTTTAGAGTCAATTGCATGTACAACTAATGAACTTGGCATAATCTGCCAAATATTGTAAGCCCTTGGCTTATAGAACTTTGAAAGGGGTTTCAGGGGGGCTTATAAACCAGGGGGGGAAATCCGGGGGAGCTTATACCCGGATTAAAAAAGGCATTTCAAAACAAGCTTCATAGCAGTGCTGATCAAAATACTTTTTTAATTTACTTGCTTTTTTAAAAAATCAAATTCATTTCAATACCAGCTAGAGAGGGGCTTATAACAGGACATATTTTTTGTTTACAGGTAGAAGGACCTATACCTGGGAGGGAAGGGTTATAAGCAGAAGTTTATGGTATGCAAAATAATTTAGAAGCATTAATACCGGACAGGAATTCTCCCCTGCAACAGTTGGTTAATGTACATGACGACTACCCACGATTCACAACCTGAGCCCCTAGGTTGTCACCCAACGCCATGCTTGATTGAACATACAGTACCTCCAGTGTCAATTACTTGTATTTATGGATTTTTTTCTTGCTTACATTCTAGTCAACTGGATAACCGAGAGCTATCTTTGGAAAGTAGAAGAGGTAGACTTTTATCTATAACTGAGCATAGACACAGGTTATCAAAAGAAAAAACTCTACACCAGCATGTCACACCTGGATGGAGAGAGAAAATGGGAAGCAAAGTTCCCTGCCCATGGAAAGGCTTAAACACAGACTTACAGATCCAAAGGCTGATGTGTTTACCACAAGACAACCATGCACACACAAACAAGCTATGGCAAGTGCATACAAAAGTTTCGCATGTACCTTTCCATTACTTTAGCGATGTATGGTAAATGAAGTTCTATACTATGCTCATGTTCATCATCAGAACGACTAAGCTTCTCAAACTTTCCTGTAGCAAACAACTCCTCATTTACTGAAAAAGAAATGAAACCAGTGGGAACTCAATTATATTGTTTTGCAGCAATGAATAATTATTATTACCAATCTCAGCCTCACCATGTACTAAACAACCTTAATGTTAAAGGAAAACACAACTAGTAAACTTACCAACAGTGTCTACTGCTAAATTGTAAAGTGGTGTCTCATAATGTGTTAAACTTGTTATCGCACAGCCTGGTAAGTACTTGTGATGCGACGGCCCCAAGATAAATATCCGCTTTCTAAACAGGCACAAAAAGTAATAATGTTTATAACAATGATGACGATGACCAAAGATAATAAAAGATAATATTCATACAGTGTATGACTGTAATTTGATTGCCTATGATGCATTTATGGCAGCACATGACCCACAGGTCATGTTATGTTACCTGTCGAGTTACTGATATACCACAAAAAAGGTCATTTAACTGCTACATGTATAAATTAAGAAATGAAGCCCTGTCATATCTTATTAAGTTATTACAACAGTTCAAATCACCTATGATAACTGTCACCTATTATGAAACACCTTTTCATTTGCCACAACTCTACTTTGGCAACAATCTACCAAACAACAGTGTATGTTAAGACCAAAAATTCAGTTAACTCTCTTGAATAGACTTTTGTACATGCAGTTTTGAATAAACCTGGCAAAATTGCTTTCAAGTCTACCCAATCTAAAGAAAAGGGTAGTGTAGGAGCTGCTGGTAAGGTCTCTCCTAATTGGTCGCAGGAAACAATGACATGTCATTCATCCAATTGTTTTAGTATTGCTTGGGGTCAGGGAAACCCACCATTGGTGAATTCTCTTCTGAGTAGCTGCTATGTGACCCAAAGAAAAGTGTGAAATGACAATATTTATTATCAGTCAAGTCAAGTCAATTTTTATTTAACCCTTTAAGCCCCAATATCCACTTACAAATTCTCCAAACTGATCTCTATACATTTCCTTTAAGAATTAGTTTAGAGAATTTGATAAAAGATCAAAGTATTTTCTCTTATGTGATCAGTTTATTAATTCTCATAACCTCATCTCATGACAATGTATGGATATTGTTAGGAGAAAATTGCTGTTGGTCACTGTTGGGACTTAAAGGGTTAAACTCACACAGAATAATAATTAATACAAATTAGTGCTTTAAACTATAAAATCAAGACATTGTGAAGGAAAATAAATTTTCAGTTGCAGGTTCATTGTGCCGAGTTTGGGACACCTAAATAGTTGATGGAACTAACCGAGTAGGTGACCCAAACAAGAATACGAGTAGAAGGAATATAGATACAAAATAGTTGTTTTGGATAAAAAGTATTTACAACAGTGGATGGTGTTTTTCATGCACTCTGATTGGCTACTCAAACTCAAGATATTCAGTGCTATAAAGCTTCGCCTGTTTAACCTGAATTTATCGATGAAACTGATGGAAAAGTTATTTGTTTAAAAATGCAAATTAAGTCTTGAGTTACTATTGTTTAGCTGACATGTTCATAAGTCGCTTTAAAACTAAAAGGAATGGGTTTTTATTACAGAATGGTTTCATATAGAGAAATATTTAACCATTCCTTTCGAAAGAAATGACCCCGCAACAGCTAAACAAAGGCCTTCAAAAATTTATCGGTACAAAAACATGACAGCCATTCAGTCAATTGCACCCCAAAATTGTAATCGTTGGCAGCAATAAATGAGTTAAAAATCAATATCATTTTTGGCTCAGTTATCACACTGTTTTAGTATTATACGAACTAAAACAATAATTATTATTCACCTCAGTGTCAGTGGATAGAGGTGGATATTTAGATCACTCTTTCACCGTGGTAAATATCCACCACCAGCCACTTCCACTTCAGTGAATAATTATTGTTATTTATTGCCAACGTCTTTTCAATACTTTATTATGTTACAATAATTTAAGATTATCACTAAATAACTTCTACTACAACGTGTTTTGAAAACAGGCTGATCGAAAGGTCAAGGAGGCTACCCTGAAAGAAAAACGAGTGGGAAAAAGGGTGCTTGATTGATGAAAAGAAAACTAAGGGACAAGAAAATAATATTGCTGCATTTAAACATGTATTTCCTCATATATAAAGTTTAAACAATACTTTTTCATTATTTTTTGCTGATTTTCCTGATACCTTTTTCAAAGTCATTTTCCAAGTCCTTTTGATCAGGGAGTTATCAGACTGCAATATTGAGTTATTTTTTATCTCAAGATAATTTAAATACAACAGAAAATCCAACCTCCCAAGACACCATTTCTGATTCAAATCATTACACCCTTTGCACAGACAAAAATACTAAAAACAATACTATTTATTGAAATATGCAACAGATAAGTTTACAATGTTATGGCAAAAACAAATCTGTTTGAACCTAAGGGTAAATTTAAAAAGGATAATTATTTTCGTAGCAGAAGCTTACAACAAGAAGGAATATTTTTCATAACATCATTGAATTTTTCAAAAAGCAGGGAGAAAAAATCTAAACAGCATTTATAAGAAATATCTTACAGTATCAAAATAATATCAGGTGGGTACAAAGAAGACAAAAAGGACTTTATTAAAATAATAATGTCTGACTATAAAATAAGTCTCTATGAAAGATGTTAAAATTTACATGCTAGAAAAATGGTGAACAGGAATTTGTCGGGATAGGAAACTTGTATCCTATTGAATTTACCCTAAAAACAACGTATTGTTGAATACATTGCGACTCTTCCTGATTATAACTACCATGATCAAGCAGATTATTGCAATGCATTACGGTAAAAAGCAATAAGGGAATATTATATTAAAGCTTATACATGTATATGAATTTGATGACCATAAGCTGTTGACATGAACTTCCACCTTATTTACATAAGTGTATGTACTCCTTTCTTTCTTAAAAAAAATATATATTTAAAAGAAGGCGTTCGCGTTTTGTTATTTACATTGAAGGAAGCATTGAAATTATACTTACACTCTACTCGGGTCAACTTGTTTGTAAGCATGGGCTCCACACGAACCACAGTACTGATAGCCGGCGTGCCTTTCATGAAAATATCACAAGGAACAGCTTGAGTTTTTAAACAATAGCCCATCTGTTTAAAAGTACTTCAATCGGTAGACGAATTTCGGAAACATTGCATATACTTACGGTGCTATAATCGCCTTGGCTGGTCGTAACGAGGGACTGGCTTTGGATAACCATCCTTCTAACTTTGCGTTCAGCTCCCTGGCTGGATTTTCATGGACAAAAAAACAAAACAACAAAGGCCTTCAAATTCATCGTCATTGTTTCGCGTTTTATATAGTCTCAAATAGAGAGCAATTTTCGAAAATTCTTCATACCACTAGAAGGATACCAGCTCCCTGAATGACTAGCTTCACGTATAGACATATTGGTCGGCTGAAAACTTAAAAAAGGTTCTAAGTGACTTGTGATTACCGGGAGAACTTTTTTCGTGAAAGAAAACTCGAGAAAAATAAAGGCACGGTGACGTAACCGCGAGGGAATGGGACTACTGCGCATAAGTAGTGTCAGAAGACTGCTGACAGCTAGGCATTGTATTACACAACAGCTCAGCACATGCACATGGCACATCGATTGATTGGAATGAAAATTTTGAAATTTACGGAGAAGGCTTTCTATGAACAAATCGTGCTTCAATCTGCAAAGAGCTCAAGATTTCTGAGGTCGTTAACTAAGGGAATCCACACAGAGTTTCTAAATGAACCAACGAAAAGTTTCCACAGTTTTTACCTTGCGCTATTTCGACAGGAGAATTCTGATTTTGAAAATGAGTTTATAGAAGAGAACATTTTGGAGGTACTGTTTGTGCAGTATTTACCAGAATCTAACTGTGGATTTGTTAGGTTTTTATGCCTGAAATATGGAGGAAGTCAAAGTGAAAACAACAGCTTAAATTTTGATTGGGGAAAAAGGTTGATTGAAGAGGCAGAAAGTAATTTAAACAAGGTGAGTAAGCTTAAGCTTATATAAAAATACATTAACAGGCATATATTGCTATTCTGAGGTAAGTTTAAGCATTCCAATGAGTAACCTTTTTCTGTGTTTACGATGAAAAACTAATTATATAAACTTAAGATGGAGAATTCAAGACAGTTAATGGAACCCAAGTTGATTTCTGGGGTCTGTATAACTTTTGAGAATTCTCCCAACCCCTTCTTTGTGAAATTTTCTGGTCACAGCAGACAGTATCCAAGAGAAGTTTCTAAGTTCGATTTTAATGTTTAGTGAACACAAGTTTTTACAAGGTCTTCACGCAATCACAACCTAAAGTTAATCTTCTGTTCATATTGCAGACTGTCGAACCTTCTCAGTATGTAAAATCTGGATATTTTTTTTAAAAAGACGTTGTTTGGCATCGTTGTTTGGCATCGTTGTTGAGACGTATGTGAAGTTTTTTTATGTGTATAATGTAATGACATAATGGTGACTTAGTTGAAACATACAATGGGAAATTAACCACGCTACTTGATAATCATTCTCCTGTCAGAAATAAGATTGTAACCTTGCGTCCAAAGTCTCCCTGGTTCACCCCCAAGATCAAGAAACAGAAACCAAAATGGAGAAGACTAGAATGCCATTGTGTGGTTCCAGAAAATATCCATACCCCCCCCACGGATGGTTAATGGAAATTCCTAGGGGGTGGGGGGACTAAAGGGTAGAATTTTCCGAGGGGTACAGGGGGTGCCCACGAGAATAATTTTCCACAGGGTTGTAAAAGACGCAATCGATCATACGAGACATACTTTATAAGTATATGTGGATTATTTTGATTTGTAGCACAACAAAAAATAGAAGTAGATGCCCTTTCGAGAAAAAAAACTTCAAGATGTTTGTCTCAAACGTCTATTGTCTTCTTTGCTGGGAGTTCGCTCTCATCTCCGCTCTAACGATTTGTCCACATGCTCTAGCGATTTGTTCTAACGCTCTAACGGATTGCTCTTACGATCTAATGATTTATTCTAAACAGCTAACGGTAGGTCCGTCCAACGTTTGACTTTGACGAAGTCTTTAAATAAATATCGTCCTTCGGGCAAATCGATCGCAATTCTCAACAGGTTACTTCTCCAGGAATAAATGCTAGCGCATCGATTAATAATAATTTCTTTATGTCGAACATGTATCTACATTGTGGACTCGACTGCAGATAGTCTGAAAAAAACTTACGCTAATCGAGAACAAACGTCGTCTAACTTAGCCTCCCCGCAGACGTCCTTTGGGGTTCGTTTGTCACGCATTCATTTCTGGGGGGAGAAATGAATGCGTGACAAACGAACCCCAAAGGACGTCTGCGGGGAGGCTATGTCTAACTCGGCGATATATGTCTCGAGCTTTGTGTAAACAACTTTATGCAAATTTCTGTTGACTTTCAGTGAGCTCGTCGCGACAAAGCGTTGCGTGACGACCCAAATGAGACCTTTGCTGTATTTTATTATTGACTTCTAATAGAGTACCGTTGAAGGCAAGCTGTTTGTCCAACAGACCTTTCGCCAAATCAACTTTTGCCCAAAAATAATAACGATCTGTTCCTTCTTTGTGGAGAAGACTTTCGATCATGTGCTAGGCAACGAAATAGATCATGTTTCACTGATGTTCATTTCTGAACATGAATCGATGCAAATATGGGACGCAAAATGAATGTTTGCATATTTTGTTCTTTTATAACCCAAATAGGTTTTTTTGTAATTCCTGAGATTTGTTTAACTGCAAGTGTAATTCATTCAAAGTTAAACTTAATTACAAACATCGAGAGATCGCCTTTGTGGTGACTTTAGGACCCGAGGCTGAACAAATGATAAACTTTGTTGTAAGTTAGTTTTCTAGTAGATCCGTTTTGAAATTCGAATTTCTTCACATAGTTTAATGTTAAATCAATAGTTAACTGTGAAGTTATGCCGGAAATGTTGCATTTGAGATGAAACTGTCTTAGACAAGACATGTACATAGTGAAACTTAATTTATTACAGTACCAGACATCAACTTTGTTTCTGACTTTGTCTGTAGGTAGATTCGTTTTGAAATTTGAAAATGTTCACATAGTTTTTTTTCAATGAATAATTCAAATTTAAAGTTATGTTTTAAATGTTTTCTTGAGATGACATAAACTTATTAATCTCTGTTCTGCCTCGCGCGTTTTGCTGGAAGGACTAATTAAAAAAGAGAGACCGCTCATAGTCTATCAAGCGTGCTCTACCTACGTAAGAAATACATATTGTCTTGTAAAAGATTACAAATAGGTCAAAGATTATAAAAAAAAATGTGTCTCAAGATGAGAACAGTTAATTTTAAGCGGTACACAGTCGATTATCTCTAAATATGGCAAATTAAGACCATGAAAAGGAAAATAGGAAATTCCTGGGGGGTGGGGGGGTTATACATGACCCCTCTGGAACGGAAATTCCAAGAGGGTGGGGGGGTCTAATCGGAAGAATCATCCGTGGGGGGGTATGGATATATTCTGGAACCACACATTGGCAGAAAACAAGACTAACTGTGGACAGGGAAATTTACGCGCAACAATGTGCAGTAGTTTATAGGCTTATCTGTATGTCCAAAGCAAGTTATTATACAGATCTTATTAGTGAACTTGTATCCAAGCTAAGTGAATTGTTTGGTACCGTGGACACCTTACTGAAAGGTAGGACTGAAAAGCGTTGCGTGCCCTGTGATTCCTGTGAATATCTCGCGAAGAAAGTCACTGATTACTTTGAATGGAAGATAAGTACAATTGGAGTAAATCTTGATCTCAGAAGATCAATATTACAAGACCCTTTCCCAGATGCATGTTTTGAACATTGCAATGTTTTGGCTTAATAATGTTCACACGTATTGCGTGCCTATTGCAACTTTGAATCAAGACAAGCACTCTCCACTACTCAATTTAGGCGACACCCAAACAATAACCAACTAGGGGGTCTTTAAATAGGGCATGCTCACCCGAAAGTTTAGAAATCTTGATACTCTGAATCACCATTTCTAGCATTCTGAGATGACAATTTCTGTCTAAAATGTTCGATAAATCAATTGTCTTTTTTATGCCTATTTTCAGTCGTAGGTACATTACTCAGTGTTATTGAACATATATTTTATGTGGTTTTTAAAGTTTTCTGCACACCAGTTTCAGTTTAGTTTACTCTGAGAAATTCTTATGATAAGAATTTATTATTATAAGAATTTATTTGAAAAGATCAGAACAGATGTCAAAATCAGGATTTTTCTAATTCCGATCGCACATTGGTCAGGATTCAGGATCTTCAAGGAAAATCAGGAGAATCCCGCCGAGATCGGGAAGGTTGGACAGTCTGATATTGTCCTTCAAAATAGAATAATAGAAATTTGAGGTTTTGCTGATCAACAGCATTAGCAGGGATAAGGAAATATACTGCATGGAGCTACATATACAAAAAATTGGTATTAGGTAAAGTTTGTGAAAAGTGTAAAAGTAGGGTAAAGTATTAGAGATTTGAAAATAAAAATTTTTAATAAAGAACAACAATCTAATGAGCAAGTGTCACAGGACAAAGAGTCTTTCAAAACACGTAACACTCCTACGACACTCACTCATTAGATCACTATATTTTATTCAATATATTTTTTAAAAACCTTTCATTAAAAGGCCTTATTAGAACAATATTTTAATCCGAAAGCTAATAAAAAGAATATCACTTCGGGTTGAAAGCTTATTGGGAGTGCATTCCTGTCATTGTCACATGTTTTCATAGTCAACGGTCACACGATTGCGTGATGTGTACCCAATTCCCAACACCCTTGAGTGCTTCTATCAGGCTTTGCAAATACAGCAAATTGTTTTCTATTGTTTTAATAGAATAGCAAGTATGGTTAGAATTTAGTGGATGCTGTGTTGGGTGGGGTGGGGGGAAGTGGCAATATTGCTTTGGCATAGGTTAGTGGAAGTTTATTTATAAATAGCTGCCCCTTTTTTTATTTCAAATCCTTGAACACTATAGTGATTGTCAATTTCTCAGTTACTATAATTAAAAGGGAAGACTATACCCTATGTGGGACACCTGCTTCCAGAGGTTTATTGGTAGTTGATAGAGAGTTGAGCTTTGATTCATGTATACATCAAACAGCAAATGCAAATTTTTACCACATGACCAAGTTTCTCCTTTAATTGTTACTTACTGTTCATTATTTCTACACATAAATTAAACGTTTCATGCAATTTTTTATCCATAAGAATTGTTTCTGCTGTTTTTATCTGGTCTGCATTTTCTGTCTTGAGAAATTCTCAACTAATGAATCAGACGTTTGGCGTGTATGTGAACCTAAAAGTCTCTAATATGTGCAAGTAAAGAAATGATAAGAAAAAATGAATGAATCTTAATATAAATTATTTCTCATCAGGAGGCACAAAGGAATGGATTTCAGAGAGTCCATGAAATATTTTACCACATTGCTACAGCTTTCAGTCCTACAACTAGCTGTTACTCCGATTGTTTGTACAACATAGGATTTAGAATGGTGGAAACAGCAAATGTCAGCTGGGAAAAGTTAAAGCCAAACAACTTCAGCCATCTTCTTGTATACAGACCTCATCTGGTTCCAGATTTTTCAGATGAGAATGGAACTCTGCATGATGAAATTAAAACAAGCAATGTTGTGAAATTCTTAAAAGAATTTTTAAATGAGTATATGGAGAGTGCAGAACTAGATGCAAATAAAGTTGAAGAATGGCTTGGGTTAATTACAAGACTTGAGAACGGAACTAGTGAAGTCTTTGTCAGGTCAGCATTCCCTTGGCATGGTATGTGATACATTTCAAAATTTGGTCATCTTATTTTGATTAATATGTAAGTACAGGGAACTGTATAATGCCACTCTCCCGGATTATCCAGGAGTCTCCAGGATATGGCACCAATCTCCCTGTCTCCTTTATGGGCCACCAAACCTCCCCAACAAATTCCTTTTTTTTTTTCAAAAAAAAATTTTGTTTCATAGTAAGATTTCTGGGGCATTTTTGCACATATAGATTTCATATTTCATCACTTACAGAGATTGTTTGGACTTGAGAATCATAAAAGTCAATTTTGATGATTCATACTTTACGTAAGACTTCATATAATATCCTTAGCCGAACCAACAGGCCACTTCCACACTTCCGAGTTCCAAAACCCCTCACTTTCAAAATGAGGCCAAATGCACAATATTATTTGCATGAGAATGAAAAGTCATTTCCATATCAAGGGCTGAGCACTTAACCTCGTTTTGAAACAGGCGCCTTGCAGAACTCGGAAATGGCCTATTTTGTAGTATGAGAACAAGGGCAATTTGTGTTCATCTGGGAGGGAAGGGGTGTTAATTCAAAAGAGAGTATACAGATCTAAGATGTCTAGGGGGTGGCATTCCTGGAACCTGTGTATGAAGAGGTGACCCACACAGGTCAGAGGAGGGGTAGGTAGGTTCTTTTGCCTACATGTAACTGCACCCTCCCCCTGAAGAAAGGGAAACAGCAGAGGAGGGTGTGGCTAAACACAGGTGATACTTTTGTCGATGGGATAGGTGAACGGGTTTTTTTTCTTTTTTGTATGTATAACAAGCAAAAGTGAACAATAGCAACAAAATGAATGAAAAATGCACTAAACAGTGGGCCAAACAATGGTTCACAGCAGCTCAGAAGTTAAAGATACAATGAACAACAGCTACATAAATCAGGATGCTAAAAGATGGTGATTAACACAGCTTTTAACTTACTGGAATCCTTCATCATTGATCACTCCAACCACATTGTCTGCTGGAGTTCATTCTAAGTTTTGACTGAAGTATGGATGAAAGTCCTATTGGTGGAGTGGGTTCTTGACATTGGTACAGAGAATGCATGACTCGGCATTGACAGACTGGATCGAGTTTAACAGTGAGACACCTAGGGTTGAGGGAGGAAATCCTTCAAGTCAGCTGGACCTTTATTTGTGTGCATCTTGTAGAGTATTGATGCAGCTGCTACTAAGCGTTTAGTTAGACTCATCATAATTATTGTTATCAATATATTACACGTCAGTTTTCATAGATAGAATGTGAAAGGGTTAACCTTTCTGTCAAAAGTAGTGTATACCCATGAATGATCTAAGAATTGCACTAAGAGCCTGTTTGAAGCTATCATTTCCAATTTTTATTGTGAGTTGCTGTAAAATTGAAGTTAAACAACCTAACGTTATTTTTACAGGGAGTACTGCATCGTGTCCTGATAATCAAGTTGCTGTTGTTGGTGGAGGAGTAGCAGGTCTTGCCGCAGCATCGTCTCTCTCTGAAGCTGGGTTTGAAGTTGTACTTTTGGAGGCTGCTGACTATTTTGGCGGCAGAGTAAAACAAGCACAGCCTTTCAAGGGTTTTGCACCCGTTGATCTTGGTGGAGAATTTATTCATGGATCAGACAGCATTATAACCAGAATTGCCAGAGAAAACGGTTGGCCTGTTCTACCAGTAAGGAGATCTTTTGTTTTGATAGAGTTTTCTTTAAACAAAAAAAGGAAAGGAAGGTGGTAACTCTGTCCTGTTTTAAGTAACAAAATGCCAGTAGAGGAATACCAGTATAAAACACCACCACAGGAAACAGGCGCAGATCTAGGATAAATACTGACCAATTTCCTAAACGAGTGCTGAAGGCACAAGCTTCTAGGGGGGTCTGGGAGCAGGCTCCCCCCAGAAAATGTTTTGGATTTTAACTCCTTGAAGTCCACCTTTGCTGGGTTTTCTGAGTCGTTTAGACAGGATATTGGCCAGATTTCAACTTGGAAAGTGTTTTTTATTATTAAGAATATATTTGTTATGAAAAATCTGACCAATTTCCCCAAAACGGTGGAAATTGATGTGGATCCGTGCCTGGGAAAGTATTGCCATTTAAAGTAGCTTTCACAGACTTCAAAGTTAGAAGCACCTCACACAGCACGATAAACAACACCACATAATAGTACTGCGTGGTAGCTCTCATTAATTTTGAATGGTCACATTTGAGAGGATTTCTTCCACAGACTCAAAAGTCAGAACCACCATTTTCAGCATAATAAACAGTGAGACATGAAAGTAAAAAAAAAAATTCCAAAAAATTCTTTCCTAAGAATAACGGGCCCCCCCCCCGGGGGCCCCTCCCTTAAATCGGCCACTGTGTCAAGCCTAATTTTTTTTCGAGTTCTTTTTCAACTTCTTTGGTAGTTAGTTCTAAGATCATTTTCAATTTCATTTAACTTACAGTGTTTGTTATCTTTGCTGCAGTGCCATGGATGTGATGAGCTGGAAACTGAAGACATGATTTACTACAAGGGCAAGTTACATCCCTTGCTCAGTGATCACCCAGATATAAGCGAGGCATGGAAAGCCTGGGACGAAATTATCTTTTTATCACAAAAAGAAACCAACAATGATATTCTGCAGACCTCCATTAGCTCAGAAAACAAGAGAGATACTTTTCTGCATAAAGGTGGTGTCGAGACAAGAGCTGAGAAGGATTTTGCAGACACTATGACAGCAGGATGCAAAACACAAAGAGCTGGCATAAACGATTCAAGTAAAGGTGAATGTGATTCTACTTCTACAAAGGAAACTGAGTTTGATTCTAATTCTACAGAAAATGTAGCAGACACTGTGGCAACGGAGCACAAAACACAAGATGGAGACATGAGTATTCTGGAGTGGTTGAAGAGGAGAGAATGCGGTGAGGGTGTGATTGGGGTGTTTGAAGCCATTTACTGTCAGACTGTTGCTGCGGCACCCAGTCAAATGGGACTACTGGAGTCCTCCCGTGAAGAAAATGCTTGGGATTATGGGTCTGGTAACTACAGGTTAGTTAGACTCCTTGTAGACTGCGATCGCACAGGGGGCTCTCAAGTCGCAATAGATTTAAGAAATTTAGGGGGCCTGGGACAGTCGGATATTTCGAAAATCCTAGGAAGATCCGATAGCTTACCGAGTATAATACAGAGATACCGAGCGGTTTCCGAAGATTTCTCGGTCCCAAGTCTCGTACTGGCCTGCAAAATTCAAATGGTGGCCAAAAGAAAATACACTCACGCAACGATAAAACTAAGTAATCTTTATTCACTTATTATAATGATTTAATCGGACACAAGACCACCCTGTGCGAACGCAGATGTATTTGCGTTTGTCACTTCCCTCTGCCCTAAAAGTTACATTTTTTTAAGTGCCAAAGACTGAGGCTAACATTAATCGATTTCTGTTTCAAGTGAAAGAAATGCTGAGAGATGCTGAAGACCAAGTGTAAAAGGTCGTGAAGGGACCCATTATTTGGATTGACAAGCCTTAAGACCGTAACCTGCGAGAAGCCACGCGAGTGCAGCACGTGAACCGATCTCTCGCGCGTTGTGTCGCGGCTCGCTTCGCTTGCCATAAATGGAGAGCTTGCTAGCAGGCTAAGTGCAAGAAAGAAGAGGATACACGGCTAAGACTCACGCGAAGCTTCCTTTCTTGCGCCCATATTACTTGCAGGCGACTGCGTAAAAGACCGTTCCCCTCTCCCCCCTCCCCCCCAAAAAACCACTCAATTTCATATACCAAAACTCTGACTTCTGCCATACACATGCCAAAAACGCCCTTCAGCTGAGGACGCCCGGCAAATTATATGGCGAACGGAATTTTCACGTTACAGAATGTATTAAATTAGCCTGCGCCACTGACGAAACTAAACTCTGGTTAAGTCCGTCTGCGAAACAGCGCAGAAAACCTTGTTGTGAGCCCCCAGGATTTACTCGGATTATATTACGCGTCATGATTGGCTTGTTGAAAAAGTCATTATGGATTTGCCAATCAGGATGAAAGGAAATTTGAAACGCACTTCTATTAATTCGTTGAGCCCCGTTGAAAGCCAAGATCAAGGATGATCCCGGCGGTGCTTCGCAGACGCTACTAACCGACGCGACGAAGGCTAAATTAAATCTGATTCACACAGTTGGACTCGATCAAGAGTCAAGAACTTTCCTGCCATATACACTACATACGAGTGAATGGGAGTTCGCAATAATCCTTCATGTCCGGAAATTGCCCCTTAATGGCCACCAGTAACGTTGTGCTACTCCAGATAACTATGAGCACAGCGTTGATTATGGCCAAAATGAGGTGTCTCCTCCACTGTTTTCTCCACACAGCAAAGATCGGTCTATTCTGAAAATGCGTCTCAATAGCGATTGTCATTCCGGAGAAAAACCACTCGATTGATAGTGGGACTGATGTGGTTATCACGAAAGATTGTATTATTTGAGGACACGTTTTGTTGTTCGTGTAAAAATATTCATGAAGGTGAAGAAAACCGTTCACAGATATAACAGCACTTGCCTCATACAGCATACTCATTATGGCGATGTCGGTTGCAAGCCTTTCTAGGCGTGGAGAACGAAAATGTTTCCAGGCAACTGTTTTTCTTTGGGAAATCCTGTGATACAGGTAATCAATAAAAACTACAACACTCCGCTCTATGACTTCTGCAAGTCCATGAATTATTCCAATCAAGGTGATTGATTTTACGTTGACGAGGTCTACTTGCAAAAGTCTCGTCATGACGGCAGATCCATAATACGCTGGTACAAGGTATGCAAATGCTCTTCCTGGGTGACTTATTCGCCACAATCGTTGAACTGAGAAACGAGAAATTACCTTCAAAATAACAAAGATAAGAGGAGTGAATGTTGCGATGAGGATTTTCCCAGTTTGTTCCTGCTTGTCGTAAGCTGGATAAATGAAATTAGCTACAACAAGGCCCATAGTGATTGGCACAGCGCAGGAAACTATGAGCAAAATGAAAGTTTTCAGTTTCTTTGCTCCATTTCTCGTGGAAAAATGTTTAGCTATGATCCAAGTTTGTACACAGACGTCCAAAGCAAACAAAGCTTTATCAGGAATTCTAAGAAGTGGTGTCCACACTGAGTAATAAATACCATTTTCTTGAAGGAGTAAGCGATAGAAGACGAAAAGGACATAGGAGCAATACGAAACTAAAAATAAACTTTGCTTAACTTCCTTAATTTGATATGAACGAAAGAAGAAGAGAGTGTTCAAAGTGAACCAGTTGTAGCTAAACACCCCTGTCATCGCAGCAGATGCGGTTTTGGACCATTGTATTTCTATGGGAATGGCAGATTGGTTGTGGCGAGCCAGGCAAACTAGCCTTACCTGATAGCTCATGTAATAACCAAAGATAGAAACAGACCCAGTTAGAAGTGCACTTAAGAATGAAATCAGAAATCCAAAGTACAGGGATTTCATTATTGTTCGCTTAAGCGATGGTCTAAACAGCTTCCAAAGCATTGCTGTATCTTCAATTTCGTCAACCGTATCTTCACTGTGCTCTGGCGAGAACGCGTGTAAATCTGTCCGTTGATTTACAGTCAAATACTCAGCATTTGAAACTTCTCTGTTACCGTACTCCTCGTAAATAAATTCGCCAACAGGATGGTAATCCCATTCTAAAATAAATTCGCCAACAGGATGGTAATCCGAATTCGTACTTCCAACCAAACCTGAAAGTTAAGGCGAACAGCCAGAATAGCAGAAAAAGCTACGTTTACACTCACTGTTGTCAACTAAGTACCTGCGTATTAGGGAAAGTTCATTTAATATCAGGGGGGGAGGGGATGAAGAATTTCGAAGCTTGAAATTTTAAGTCCTCGTTCAATTTTGTCGACTTGGTAGTCGAAATAATTTCAGAGCCCCCCCCCCCTCCTCCTTCAATTCCTTTGCTCCCCTGAAAAAGAAGACTGTATTAAACACCGTTATTGTCTTCAATGGTTTATAATGACAAACTTGAGAAACAGCGTACAATTTTCCATTTTTGGGATGAACCATTGATTCTGAGACTACATTTGTTATATCTGTAAAACGTGATATAGCTGAGGCATTAAATTGTTGAGTTGAAAACCATCCAGAATGATGTCATGTGTTGGTTTTGAAGTATACAAAAAAGCAACAATTTTTTAGCCCCCCCTTCGGGTGTCTCACTGTTGTCAATATCTTCATCCCCCCCTGTCATATTAAATGAACTTTCCCTTAGCGGAGTCACTAGCTAATTCACGGGCAGCAAATTGCTGATATGGGTTCTGGCTTAAACGAATACAGTTTACGGAGGTTAGTGCTACGTCACACTGCCTGAGCTGATGCGAAACTGATTTATACATAATTCTCTTAGAATGTTTTTGGGTGTGGCCGAGTTATTATTATTAATTACGTGAAAAATGAGGTACTGTAATAACGGAAGAAATGCGCATCAATGGAAGTTTAAGCACTGCTCGATCATCTTTCAGCAACGCATAATTTTCTTTTTGCATATTAATGAAAGTTCGAGAACCGCTTGATCACCTTTCAGCAACGCAAAATTTCACCGGCTAATAGTAATGAATTAATCTAAGAGGGTGAAGGTAAATACTTTTTAAAAAAAATAGTCCTCTGAGGGGACACGAGCTTACTGGCGATGAATATTCTGTACTCCAGTAACCATAAAAAAAGAAGAAAAAAAAGGAATCTATTTAACTGGAGGAAAAAATGTGGCCAATGGCGGATTTCGAACCATGAACCACTACGACATCGAACCGAAACCGTGTGCTTGCAAAATAACAGTGACGTTGTGCTGCCCTAGCACGTACTTTGTCAAAAACGTGAGACAAGTTTAGTTTCACATGTAAGGTTGCTTCGGCGGCTACAGGAAACGTTTTACAGATATGGTCTAGGGACTATTGCAATAAGCAGGAAACCTCTTGCCAAGACTGCCAAGATTAAGCACGCGAACCTCATAACGGAATCCCACTACCATAAGTTGTTTGGAACCTATGTAAAACTTGTGACGTTTGAAATTGAATGTTTACATATGAAAAGTGACAGTTTCGTGTTTTCATTTTCCCACAGCGTGATTTTCAACATTATATACAACCAGCGATTCAAAAAATATTCATAATGACTACATTAAGCAAATACGAATGGATGGAGATGGCAAAGAAAATCCAAATTATCTATCTAAACCAATTGGAGAATTATCGAAAAGTCAAAACAAAGCACGTTTTCCGTAATATTATATGTGAAAGGTCAGATAAATAGCTGACGTTTTTACATGTAAACTAACCGTGTATATACTAGTAATAACCAAAGGTTAGACAGGTTAAGGAGTGCGGGCGACAACGATCGTAGGTCAGAACGCTTTTAGTCCAACGCTCTGCTTTGCGTAAGTTTCACGTGATAGATGATCAAAACACGCGTGATCAGATTACGAGGGGTAAAAGTGATGAAATTGCGATTAGTGCATTCCATTCATTCTTAGTGGAAGTCCAAAAGAATACTGATTACATGCATACGACGCGTGCGTAATAACAACCTAGAGAGTATGATTGCGGGCTCGTCTTGTCGCCCGCAATAATATCCTCTTCAACCTTGTTAAAAAGCCTTAAGAATGTTCAGCACAAGAATTAAGTTCACGTTCATGAATTTAATCTATACTATAGTTTAACGTCTCCCCACCTCTTGTATAGAAAATGTATAGGGGCAGTAAAGGAGAATTTATACGTTGATATTAGGATTTAAGCGTTATTTACCCCATTTTGCTTTATTTCTTTGACTAGAATTATTTTCGAAATGAGTAATTTACTTTTATGATATGAAATTGTTTGGCTTAAGAAAAAGAAGAAGAAGAAGGAAGAAGAATTCTTTTCTATTCACGTAAAAACAACGAGCGCAGGTATCGAACCCTGTCTCTTCGGCTTTGAAGGTCACGCGTTACTTCATGTTCGAGAACAATAGAAAAGACCTTACCATCATTCATTCATTCATTCATTCATTCATTCATTCATTCATTCATTCATTCATTCATTCAGTCAGTCAGTCAGTCAGTCAGTCAGTCAGTCAGTCAGTCAGTCAGTCAGTCATTCATTCATTCATTCATTCATTCATTCAAGCCGTCGATAGCATAAAGCCTTCTGGCCGTAAGCCAGTAAGCTCAAAAAGAAAGGAAAAAGATTGGAAAATAAACACTAGCTAAAGAACCGTCCTTCAAACACACTAAGAAGTATCAAAACAACTCTAATTTTGTAATAGAGTAGTAAAAGATATTTAAAGTTACTACTGAATTAGAATAATTGTAGTTATGTAATAGTAATGAGGTAATGAATAGATATTTAACAATTATTCCTAGTGCTGGAATGGGCTCTGAGTTCTGAGTCAATAGCCCATGAGGCCGAAGGCCGAATGGGCTATTGACTCAGGGGCCATGAGGGCGAGAGGAATAATTGTTTTAGTAAAATCCAACTAGTTGGTCAAAAATATCGAGACAAAACAACTTTAGCTACCAAAACGAGATTCAGCTGCCATTGTTTTGGTTTTTAAAGCCGGTGCTTTTTGCTACTAGTGGGCTATAACATATAGCCTAGTAGTAGCTCAACCAATCAGAACGCAGCCTTGATAAGAGACCCGCTAGTTGGATTTTACTAAATTAGAATAGCCAACGTCTGTAAATTTCGAAAATCGGTTGAGAGTCTCGAATTTTTTAATTTCTTCCTTTTTTGCCCAAATAATCTCTATACAATCTTAGTACACTAATTTCAAAAAACACATTAAAACTTGTAACGGCTTCTTTTTTTTTTTGTAGAAATCTGGAAAAGTCTAAATCGGCGCTCTTTCGAGCATGAAATTAGCGAAAATTGAGGGATGATTTCTCTGAGTGAAATAAGGTCACAAAACACACTTGTACTTTATAATGGCAGTATTCCAAGTGCACCCCGTCAAGAGACTTAAATGGTATTTTAACTCCAGTAAAGCGCATGTAACAAGCAAGTTTCGACGCTTGTGGAGTAGCGCATATGGTTGGAGGACTGAGCAATTAATCGTGAGCATTCAGCTGAGGATTCAAGAGGATTCTGAGGGGAATTTCCTTGTGCCTTCTTTTTGTTAGTTTTTCGAATCTTAAACAACCATAAAGAGCGAAGAACCGCGCGTGCGATTTATTGGTTCTCGATAACTCTTACCCCATCTGATTTCTTCACCAGCAGTCAAATTGCCGAAATTTTGTTCCAAAGTTGCGACAGGAATGAGAAACAAGAAAAATCCAAGTAAAAAATCTCAAAAGTCATTGACGAAAATTGGCTGAAAAATGCAACTAATCATAAGGTTCCTAGGACAGGCCTAAACGGAACTACAACCCAGACAAATTCTCAGAGGATGGCGAAAATACTAGAAATACGTGTATCGCAGATTCTTGGAGGAACGTTGTAAAATCAGCGTGAAGTGCTGAACAGAGCGAAAAAATGCACATTTTCTTGTATTCAGAAAAGCTCGTCCGATTTTCTGTTACATCAATGGATAGGGATGCACTCGTGTTAGAGAAATTCTCTTATCGCAGATTTTGAAAGTAGTGATTTTCAGGTTTTACTATTTTTGGCATTCTCGCAAGGGAGTCTCGTATATAAACATTCAGGTATATAATTATTCGCGTTCCCAGTATTTTCTCCGAAAAAATGGAACTGAATCTCGTATTTTCTCTGTTCAATTTTCTGTTTCTTTCGTTTTTATTTTTTACATATTTCTTTTTTTCCTTTTTCAGACTGGCTGGTTCTTATTCACAGTTAGTGGAATATTTATTAAACAAATGCAGTAAAGTTGATTTGCGTCTCAAATGGCAAGTGAAGGAAATAAATTGGAAAGGTTAGTTAGTGTACGATATATTTCGTTCATACCCCATTTCATTTGAATAATAATAATAATAAATAAGAATAATAAAAATTTATATAGCGCTCTTTCTAGAGGGTTTTCAACAGCACTTTCGATGTATGGTTAAAAAATAGATTCCATATTTGCTTTCGTCTGTCCAGTAATAGATCACAAATGGCTCCAAAGTGTGGTAAAAACAAAGTGGCACACGAGCCGCAGGCGAGTGTGTAGTCTGATGTTTTTACCACATTTTGACGTCTTCTTTGATCCGTGGTCGTCTCTGGACCTCATAATTGCGCACGGGCGATGCGTTTCGGGTCACGTGGTCCGAGCGTTCGTCTCGGATACGTCACTGAAATACATTGACCGAGAAAGGCTTGGGAAGACGCCGTACAGGGACTACGAAGAACAGTCCGATAGTGCAATTCGACACAACATAGACCCAGTCTCACGCTCGACTTAAAATGGCCAACAGGCGGACACCTCTCTAAAATGTAGTCCAAGAGCAGCTTCCCGTTCAGTCTTCCACGTACATCCCTGTCGTTCTTCGCTCTTTTTCTTGAACCCTTTCCTTAATAGCGGAGACCCATCTAAGGCGAATACTTAGTACAGGCCCCAACGGGTCCGTCGCGCAGTGCTTACGGTATTTTTTTTCAATGGCAATGTTGCTCTGTTAGATGAAAGCTGCTGAGAAGTACTTTCCGTGGTGATACCGTTTACAACCGTGTACAGTTAAGGGTGAACGCTTAGAAAAATTGTAGGGCGACCTCGTTCCCAGGCTCCTCTCCTACTCGTTTACCGGGGCGAATGGGTCGAGTCAAAATGACGGAGAGGGTCCTGGAAACCAGGTTGATTGTAGGCACTCCAAAATTCTGGACCTAAGATGGGTGCCCAGCCAACAGAGTTTGTCCAGAAAACTAAGATTTCTCTGTCACCCAAGAGCAAAAGCGCAGCCCAGTCTGTAATCCAGCCATTGTGTCTGTAGATGGAAACCTATATAACCACTGAAATTACATCCGCGTTGATAAGAAGTTCTCCTTTGAAGGAAATCTTGGTCAGATCTCCGGTGATAGACAAGATAGAGCAAGCCCTGGAGAATATGTTGTCTTGAAAAACCAACGTGGTGAAATGTTAACAGCCAAGTACGCTGTCATTACAGTGCCGCTTACGGTACTTAAAGATGGCGACATCAACTTTGTTCCTGCTTTACCAGAAAATAAGAAAAAGGCGATAGACAGGATCCAGATGAAAGGAGCACTGAAAATTGTTTGTCGTTTTAAATCACAGTTCTGGTCAGATAAAGTAAATCTTATTTACTGCGTGCGTGGTTTCGTCAGCCAAATATGGATGTACACACGTGATTCATCTGACAGTGAAGAAAAGTGTCACGTGATCGCCGGTTTTCAAACTGCTGAGCCTGCGGAACAGAAATTGAATCTCAGTGAAAAGGATGTTTTGGACGGATTCCTCCAGCAACTGGATGAAATATTCGGGTGAGTCTATAACAACGAATACGATAATATGTCAACTCCATCTCGTCCCCAGTCGCTCTTGCTCTGCGCTCGTTCCCATCATCCCCCTCTCGCGCTTCTTGCTTGTCCGTGCTCCTCACTAAGCCTTTGGAAAGCCTGTGAAGGAGGCATATATCAACCGCCGAAAGACAAATTTAAATGAAGAAATGATCAGTGCAGTTGTTACAGCAATTTAAGCAATCGCAAAACATTAACCCGACACGATGATGCTCGAGTTCGACGCAAACATGAAAGGAGTGACGGTAGAATTTGGTAGCCCATGGGAACAAAAGAACAGGCGAAAGTGTGTAAATTGTATACGATATGGTAATTTCTGGGATAAAGTAGACGAGTGTCCTCTTAAAACTGTCGTTTTTACTGCCTTGGGTTCAAAGGCCGTTTTTTCTCAGCTGCAGGGACCCCATTAGTCCCGTTTTCCATGTAAACCCCTTCTTTTTTCCAATCCCCATCTCTATTAACCCTTCCTACCATATAGTCTCCCCCGTTTCTATAGAGTCCACCTTAAAAAGTACCCTGGGTACCAGAGACTTTTCGTGCGTGGTTCCGGTTTCGGTCAAGTCTTTATAGTGCCTCGCCGCTCATGGCTTCGGCCCTTGGCCGAAGATCTGTTGGCCTGGGGGTGACATCGAAGCATCCCTCCGAGCACGATAAAAAATACTCTGGTCCTCAGGGTATTTCCTAAGTGGCTTTTGAAGTGAGTTGCTATTTTGCAGCATACAAAATTACCTTGACTGAAATTGAAGGAAACCTAAAAATAATTGTTCGATAAAATAGAATCTTACCAGTGAGGTACTTTTAAGGACAAAGGTTAATTCAGGATGGAAGAATCTAAAATGGATTACAAGCAACTGACCGGAAAAATTAAGCTATTTTTATTTAAAGATGATGACACCATACTGTAGCTCCTTTAACCCTTTAAGCCCTAAGAGTGATCAGTATCAAATTTCGCCTTGTAATATCAGTGCTTTGTAAAACAGAGTGGTCGTGAGAATTACGGACCTGATCACACAAGATGAATTTGCTTGATATTTTATCAACTTCTCCCCATTCCTTCTGTAGGAGATGAATAGCGGCAACAAATGAGAATTCAAATTTTGATCTTACTTTAAATGGTTAAGGTGATCTACCGTTCAGCGTTTTTATCTTTATTTCAGTACTGAATCGCACCCGAATCCTGCAACGGACCTGCTGATGGACTATGTGTATTATCACTGGTCAAAACACCCATTTATCCGTGGAGCTTATAGCTCACCTACTGTGCATGCGCAAGGCATGCGTCACTTGCTTGCCAGCCCTCTGCAAGACCGCTTGTTCTTTGCTGGTGAAGCTACCAATGTCACGGCCTGCGCTTGCGTTCACACGGCCATGGAAACTGGTACTAGAGCTGCTCATGAAGTTTGTAGAGTTGATAAACACGTTCAGACGGAGTTCTAATAGGCGTGGGCCTAAATGAAATGTTTTTGGTTTCATAAATTTGTTTTGAATTAATTAAATTTTTGGATCAAAAAACAAAATTGATATGGGCGAACATTTCCTGGTAGACATCTCAGTACGGATGAATATGAACCAGGAAATTTCCTCGACCATTTCCTAGCCGTAAAATCATTCTGTTAGCCCTTTTCGGTCCTTTTACAGATCAAGATGACACATTTCTCTACCCTTTCATATACCCGAAACCTGAAAAAAGGTACCCCTGTCGGGTGGAGCCTCCAGGTATAGGCCATTATAGGAACTACCCCCCTCCCTCCGCAACAATACAATCCACCACAAAGTCTGTATTCATCCTTCAAATCACGTCTCATTATCGATTATTATTCCAGCCCTGAACTCCATGACATAATAGTTAGTCCCCTGTACTAAGTATGGTGACATAAGGTGAACATGCATCTTCCCTTCGGGGTTCGGCCACCTAGGACGTGCAATCGGGGGAATTTCACAAGTCGAAGTATATTAATGGCTACGGGAATCTGTCATTTCAGTCAGCGAAAGCTGCCTCGTCCGCAGTCGCTCGCGATCACTTTTTGGTGGAAATAGTAATAATAATACATGATTTATATAGCGCCATTTCCGTGAGCTCAGTGGCGCTTTACAATAATCGTAATTCTAAAAAACTAAAAAATAAATAGTTGAGTTGTTAAAGAAAATATACAACAGTTGTAGAAATTAATTTCGAAAAAATAAGATACAACCGACTTGCTAAGATTAACTAAGGAAAATATATACAATAAAAGAAAAAAGGGTAGTCAACTAACTAATAAAAGCCTCTCTAACAAGTAGTGTTTTTATCTTATTCTTAAAAACATCAAGGTTCTGGATTGATCTAGCCTGCGAAAACATCCGTTTCTCCTCGCTCTTCGCCGACGGGGACGTTAAAAGTGAGGAGAAACGGATGTTTTCGCAGGCTAGGATTGATCTTATGTCATCTGTTAGGGAGTTCCAGAGCCTGGGCGCAGCAACTTGAAAAGATCTGTCACCGTAACACTTGAGATCAAACTTTGGTGTTACAAGCAGATTTTTTGAAGAAGATCGTAATTGCCTCGTCGGAGTATAGGGCTGAAGGAGATCTGCTATATATTTTGGCGCCATACCATTCAGTGTTTTGTACGTAAGAAGTAGTATTTTGTACGTAATTCGTTGTCTGACTGGTAGCCAGTGTAGTGTACGAAGAACTGGTGTTATGTGTTCTGAGCTTCGAGTTCTAGTCACCAGTCGAGCTGCGCAGTTTTGTACATACTGTAGCCTATCAATAACCGATTGGGGTAAGCCATATAGAAGAGCATTACAGAAATCCAACTTAGATGAAATAAAACTGTCTCTGAGAGAGACAGTTTCTTATCTTTGCTATATTTCGTAAATGATAGAAGGCCGTTTTGCAGGTGTTCATAGCATGTTTCTCTAAGTTGACATGGGAATCAAAACTTACACCTATATAACCTGAGATCAGGCTCTATTTTCGTTTCGCTTTGAAATTGACATAGCCGTTAGAGAGAATGTATGAGAACCGCTCAAATTGGGCCTGATCTCAGGTTAACACCTATATTTCTAGCATTATTAGAGACTTCAGTGTATGCACCAGCCACATGAATACCCTTAATAGGTGGGTTGACTTTGTGCTTTGGTCCAATCACTAGGAGCTCAGTTTTATCCATGTTCAGCTTTAACATGTTTGCAAGCATCCATGCATCAATATCATTTAAACAAGACTCAACTGCTTGCACTGAAGCCGCTTGATCATGACGCGTGAATGAGCAGTAAGGCTGGGTGTCATCAGCGTAGAAATGACATGATAGGCCATGACGTCTGATAATGTTGCCAAGCGGGGACGTGTACAATACATACAATATAGGCCCCAGCACTGATCCTTGGGGCACGCCACACCGCGCGCCCTTGCTACACGATGTTGCCCCCTTCACGTTGAAGGGAAAGAAAGCGGGGACGAACGTTTGCTAAAGGAGAACACTTGCGTTCCATTCAAATTGACAACAATTTTGCCTTCCCAAAACTTCCTTGCGCTCCTTGTACTATAGTCTAGTTTACCCTTACTTAATATATTGTGTTTCAATGTGGGGATCGACATATCAGTCTAATTTAAATCGGATTATTATTCCGCAAAAGAAGGTAATCAGAATAATATCTAAAGTTCCTTTTGACATACCGGTGTTCTTTTTAAAAGGCAGTATATTTTAAAATTCTCGGACATTTATTTACACCAAGTAGGTAAATTTATGTATCTTTTTAAAAGAGGCTTACTTCCCAATTATTTTCGTGATATGTTTACTCTTGCAAGCCAGATACATTCTCATAATACAAGAAATTCCAGCCTTTTCTATATACCTCATTGTCGAAATAATTTTCGAAAATTCTCAATTCGGTTTCAAGGTCCTAAGTTTTCCAACTCGTGAAGTCGTGAAATTCAAAACAGAGAAAGTACCAGTTTGTTTGGCAAAAGACTTAAAAAATACCTTCTTTCTTAGTCAAATATACTCTTTCGTCGAGCTACACACCTTTTCTTTTTCTCTTTTCTCTTTCCTCGCTGAATGGAAATATCAGTATAAAATATCAGCAAGTCCACTGCGACAAACCAATGAGTGGTGCCGGATCTCCCAGTTGTAGACCTGGATCATTACAATAACAACTTGTAGAAAAATATGAAACGACAAACGGATCCTTACGACAAGGCGATGAAGAAGTAAACCAAGACTTCAAGACTTTATTATAAATTTTCTAAAGAATATTTTTACAAGTGACCTGGCACCGCAAATAGCTGTAGCTAGTCTAGGCGGGCCAGGAATGATACGAAAAGAAAATAACTGCAATTAAATTAAGGTAAAAAAAGTAGAAAGCAAGAGAGATTCATCAGTTTTCAAATAAATAGGGAGCGATTAACTAATTGCAAAAATTATAATCTTACGAAGAAAAACATATCAAAAAGATGCATTTAAAACTCTAAGGAGGAAAGGAAAACAAAACATTAGCTCGCTGTTTTTGTAGACAGGATTACAAAAAAATTGGTTCTGCTTTCTTCATTTTAAGAATAATTTCATCTATTTCATAATAAGTATCGCCAGTCTCCAATATATCAAGCAATGATGCACGAATATTAAATTTGAATTTGTGTTTTGAAGGTGGGCGCAACTTGGTCGGTATCTCATTCCATAATTTGGCACCAAGTCTCGAGAAAGAGTTTTTTTTTATTTCAAGATTCGATTTTTTATATAAAAGTTTTGAGATGTAGACGACCTAGTGCGGTATGAATGTAAACGAGAAAGTGGAAGGAACAATTACTCAGTGTTTGTAGGTACTAAGTGATCACGCGGCTTAGCAAAGTGAATAAAGCGAAGGACGCGTCTCTGAAGGACTAGAAGTTTGTTTAGTTGTGATTTGTTTGCTTGACCCCGTGCAATTAGTCCGTATCGAAGACAGGGTGCTATCAGAGAGTGATAAATGGAAATAAGTGTGCTAAAGGGAACAAAATGTCGCAGTTTCGATAATAGCCTAACAATTCTACGGATTTTTAAAAGAGTTGTGTCAAGGTGGTTTTTCCAAGAAGGTTTGTAGTCTATCAGAACCTCTAAATATTTACCAAACTCTCTATACACTCTAATTGTTTATGTTTATTAGTATTAGGATCGTATGGGCGAAAAATAACAAAGTTAGATTTTTTAAGGTTTAAACTAAGTTTATTTGAGGTAAGCCAATTGTAAACATTTGCCAACTCATCATTTACTACTTTTTCTAGAGTTTTAAGGTTTTTATGTGATTAGAGTAAATTCGTGTCATCTGCAAAAAGATAGAAGCCGAGTCTCGAAAAGCAGGGAACAAATAACATTAATGTTTTATCAATCCATGTTTTATTAATCCATGTTTTATTAATCCGTGTTTTATCAGTCCATGTTTTATTAATCCGTGTTTTATCAATCCATGTTTTATCAATCCATGTGTTGTTAATCCATGTTTTATTAATTCATGTGTTATTAATCCATGTTTTATTAATCCGTGTTTTGTCAATCCATGTTTTATTAATCCATGTTTTATTAATCCATGTTTTATTAATCCATGTTTTATCAATCCATGTTTTATTAATCCGTGTTTTATCAATCCATGTTTTATCAATCCATGTGTTATTAATCCATGTTTTATTAATTAATGTTATTAATCCATGTTTTATTAATCCGTGTTTTGTCAATCAACGTTTTATTAATCCACATTTTATTAATCCATGTTTTATCAATCCATGTTTTATTAATCCGTTTTTTATCAATGCATGTTTCATTAATCCATGTTTTATTAATCCATGTTTTATTAATCCATGTTTTATCAATCCACGTTTTATTAATCCACATTTTATTAATCCATGTTTTATTAATCCCTGTTTTATTAATCCGTGTTTTGTCAATCCATGTTTTACTAGAGATATACAGAAATTAAAGCGCTAAAAGTCAAAATTTAGAATAAAGTTGTACTTAGACAGGTGGTTTTCAGGATCGCGAGAAAGAAAATACACCAAAATTTCCATGCATCGAATAATGATATTACCAGTAAGCAGCATTCTGATGCTACTTAAGATTAATTAGAGTTATTTAGAACTCTTTTGTTAAACAATTTACTACGGCTATTAAAAATATAAGGTTTGAAATATATTTATGTTTTATTTGAATTCAAACATACAGAATTTTTGCTTCTCGCGGAGGTTATTTGCTAAACACCACACTTCATGTTCCTGGTGTCGGATTTTCAGTGGGAGGTCTAGATTGCGCGAAATTCGGATCAAATCAGTATCAAAGTTTTTTTGTTTATTGTTGTCATAGTGATATCGATTTAACCAAGAACTGCATCTGGACAAAATTCAATTCATAGTCAATCACTGGTGAAAATGTTGTGGCGATCAGACAAGGATAAAATCACTTTTAAGGCATTGAAAAACATCGGTATGGTCTCCTAGAAACTGTACCGAAAGACCTTAATATTGTTACTTAAGATTTTGTAATCAGCTCACTGTAATTAATGCCGTAAGTAACATGAATGAAAAAAAAACATTAAAGGAACTGGGAAAAAAGCTTATGCAGTTGAACACAATTAGGTTTTCGGTCATAATCTGATCTTTTTATCCAAAGGCACAGCGAATAATGGAAACCAAGCAAGAAGATTAGCGAGTTTGGAATAACAGAAATTAGCTAGTTAGATAGCCAATACGCTCAGTGAAAAGTGAACTTCCCTTGTTTTTTGTTAACATTAAGTTTTGCTTCAGGTTGCCATAGACCCCTTTCATAATGGCCGCCTATTAATATATTCTTCTATATGTATGATAATTAGCCTTTCTGACCTCGTTAGCATGTGCAAAACACAAAAGAATTCTTCCTTTCAAACAAGGTCAGAAAGGTTAATTATCATATTTAAGGAAGAGCATGTACAGAGGCAAAACACCAGACCTGACGAACAAAGGTATGGCACGAGCTCTCCTGTCGGAAAAGTACATTAACCGTAGAGCTCGTTTTTGCAATATCAGAATTTTGTTTAGACTTGAATTGGTAGCTTGTCCCCATGCCATCAGTCCAAAGGAAATGTACGGTTCGATTAAAGAACGATAAATCTTTAAGAGAGTACTTGGTAGGCACAAAGTGCCTCAGCCTCGCAATGATGCCAACCCATTTGCTTGTTTAGGTGGGAAAACAAACTATTCATTCCAAATATTTTAACGTTTCTGGTTGGCTCCAATCCCCTTATTCTTCATAACCGACTATCGCTTACCTATTTTTGGAAGATGAGAACGATATCCAATCGCTGACGTCAAGCAAGACTGAGTTGGCATTAGCGCAGAACTCGAAAAAATGGCGGAGAAGATCACGACTATGCGAAGACGAAATCTCGCAATTACTGACGAATAATGAAAGGAACGAATGCAAGAATGCGCCAAAAGTAATTAGTTATGGATGTCATTTTTTGCGGGATATCTGCAAGCAAAAATCTTTGAAACTGTTCCGAGAAAGGAAGTCTACGAGGAAATGAGGTTGTTAAGAACTGAGGAATATTTTGAATGAATGAAAAATAGTTATTGAATTTGGCTCTCGTATAATATGAAGAATTATGTAGATCTCGGAGGCTGTTATCCACCAAGGGTGAATTGACATCCTTCGCGATTTGCAGAAATCTTCATATGATATAAAAATATATACCCTAACCCCCCATTATATTCCATAATTGAAAGATCTCTCTACAGAAACCAACTGTCTGTTTTGATAACATTAGGAAAGAGGGTACTGATACTTTAAAACAGCCGGAGGTTAAATTTGCCACTTAGTGAGTTTCTTATCTGCAGGGACTATCTTGAGTTGTTTCCTCTTCATGAAGCTCACCCAGGTGGCGATCAAAGGCTTCCATGGCTTTCACGTTACCATTTTCCTCAATAGCCTTCATCAGCAGATGAACAGTAGCTTTGGATCCCTTTGAAAGCTGCCAACTTCGCAGGACTTGAAAGGCACACTCTTCCTGTGAGTCGTTCTCCGTCTTAATGTTCTCAATGACTGTCTCTTCGACGCCTAGAGACCTACCAAGCCACCTCCATTTGCTACCCATTAGCTTGGCAACTAAAGCCTGACAGCATTGGTTAACTTGTTCTGTTTTAATCGAAAATAAAATATTCGTTTTTAATTCGACAGTTTATCAAAGTGGAATATACTACCTACAAAAATTTCAGAAGAACCCCCATCCTCCTTCTTAGAGTCCTCGTTTACCTCTTCTCAAAAGCGCTGTTTTCCCAAACGAAGTTAAGTTATATCACCCCCCAATTCTCTTGAGGTAATTTATGACTGTTGAAATAGTGCTGCAAGTGTAGCTGTTTGAGAACTCGATTTGGCTGTTGACCCCGGGGCGTGTAAAACAAACCGACTACTAATGCCCGGGTGATATAGCTGTGCGCATACGTGAGGTACTGGCCAGGGTGTGGGTTGTTGAATGTGTGCCCCTTGCTTTAAGGTTGTCTTACTTAAACGCGACTGATGAGCGACGCGAACAACTTCGTAAACGCTAACAGCCATGCAAGAAATAAAAACATCTGTTCGCAGGGTAATGAGTGTTTTTTTTTACCGCGGTTTGCTACAATGGTTTGACGGACAGACTGGCACCCTCCGTTGACGTATAAATTGTGCCTTACTTCAGTCTACTACAAAGACAGGTCGAGGTGTCTTTTTTGTGTGTTTTCTTTTTGCTATTTTTCCAGGTGCAATTTCTATTGTTTTTCTTCTTGTTTTATTTTTTAATTCATTTACAAAAAGTCTCGAAAGAAAATGTATTTAAACTTTTTAAGGGGGTATTTTTTTGTTAAAACATTTTCAATCACAAGAGTTGCAAACAATGGCCAAGAAATGTTCCCAGAGCACATCGATTTCATGACCCGAGATTTTGTTATAAGGAAGTTGATTTGGTCTTTTGCGAAGATTTCGTAAAATTTGATGTTTAAACCAATCAGAACCTTAGTAGAGACAATAGTTAACCTTTTTGCATTCCGACGTGTTCACTGCGTTTTGGTCCTTTCCTTCTTATCTGGACCATTACTTAATTCATTTAGTTTCTCTTTTTCAAATTTAATATAAAATATGAACAACTCGAACTGTTACATGAACCCGGTTTCAAGAGTTTCCCTCACGAGTTGGTCGAGGTCTTATTTCTCAAGCGATATGGTTTTGATATCTCTTTATCAAGTACCGTAACAAAGGTGGGGCGTTAATTTGCAAATACCCAAATTAGAGCCCCGCCGCTTATTAAATCATTACGGACCTTAAGATACTCTGGACGCGGCCGAGGAGGACGTCAACCGGAAGTGAAATGTTCAATTCTTGTAACTAATTAGCATAATGCCACAACGTCAACCTGAAGTCGCGAAGGTGAAAACTAGAAGTTTGGCCGCCTCGTAAAACGGTGAGTTGGTTTTCTTGTTTTCAGTGCAGAAATTGCTTTTCGTACAGGATTTTCGATCCGTTTTACTTAATGAGACACATTTAAGTGTTTTTAGTGAGGTGTTCTCTCAAGATTGCCTCTTATTTTTTTGCTATCAAGCCTTTTGGGTTCAGTGTTTTGGCGGCAACTGAGAATGAAAGTGCTGAGACGTTCGACAGATAACAAATAGGGACATAACACTATAACTGCTTGACAAACATAAAAAATTTCAACAACGGGAAACAACGTTCTCGCTTTAGGATAGTGTTTGAGTTTATAAAGTATATAAAGTCGAATAAAAAAATTGTTGACGAAAAAAAAAAATCTAGGCTTGTAATAAACTTGAACATGTGTGGAGAAAATTGAGATCTTGAACAAGACGCCATGGTTCATTTATTAACGTTTTATAATTTTATTTTGTTCTATAACTTTCAGTTCAGCGATGGAGCGGTATCACATCGTTTTGAAAAAAAACAAGATCTAGAACAACGGAAAGATCGAAAAAGTCTGGCAACAAATATTTTGATAAACTGAACTCCGATCACAACGGAAAGCGAAAAAGTTTCCCTCGAAGAAATTCGGAAATTTTTTTTTTAGAGAAACTGGAGTAATAGCCGGCAGCACAAATTTTTCTTCCAATTAAAGATCGTTAAGGTATCAATCAAGCAAAACTTCACGACTTATGGAATTAAAACACGAAAGCATTACTTTATCCTCTCGTCCGGTCAGCACTCAACCCAACCTGCTCAATCTTAATTCGTCGAAGGGGCGAGCACTCCAACCCACCGCCCGTCCTCAATCTATTTTTAATTTGTTTTCCCCGAAGGTGGCGGCGTTTTCGCCGTTTTCCAGGCTATTTTGCCGCCATTTTTCTCATAAATTTAACCGCCGTCGTTCAGAAGTATCTTTCAGGTCCCAGATAAAATTTTTAACATTGGTCTGAAAGGAAATAATTATAAGGCAGGCGCAGGGTATTGAATGGATAAATTATCGGTAGTCTAATTAGGGGCAATTTTGGTCTCAGGGTTTTGAATAACATTTACGGTAGTCTAATTGGCAATTTACTCACTTGAATAACAGGGAGAAGCTTCGGGGACTTTGCATACAGTATCTTGGGGCTGGAAGGATAAAAAGAAAACGAGTTTAGGCTGTTTAGGTTAGAGTTTAAAGCAGGTTTATATTCGTAGATGAGCTGGCTGCAAATAATGTAAGCCGTTACCAAATCGTTGGTACGCAAGTATAATTCATCAAAGCTAACTACAAGTAGATGTCTAACCTCTCTACAGTCTACACACGCCAAAAAACTACCTTTAATAAAGATACTATAGTCCAGTTAGTTATTTTCCCCTTTTTTGAAAAATTCATCAAACGATAATGATTAATGTACTTCCACCTGTATGTTAAGTCTACACGGACAGGGTTTGTTATTCAAACCCGACAGGCCATACATCAGTCGGTCGACTCGTCTATTTAATTAGGGCTAATGTCTAGCAAGTGGTCATACCGAACTTACAACCCCGCCCCCTAGGTGCATTTTTGGCTATATTAAAGAAAGGGTCATAAGCAATTGTTAAATATTCAATATGTCGTCACCTTTACAAGCCATTCCTTGATTTCTTCAAACTCATGGACTGATGTGCTGTTACACCACAAAGGGCGAGACGACACTGCAGGGTCAATGCAGATTACGTGAGGACGAATTTCCCCTGAGACTAGACTGTCATCTGCCTCATCGCAGGTGGAGTTTCCATCCAATTCAACATCGCTCTCATCAGAGGACCAGTCTGTTTTGACAACCTTGCCATCGAAAGAGGTACCTGGGCAACGTTTGTTGGGACAGAGTGGGCCAAAACCAAACTTAAGGAACCTAAACTGGTGTTGACAAATTTCTGACATTATTGTCATTAGCATGTTGAACAATTCATGTAACTTCTTTCCATTCTTGTACCTAATGAGTGAAAAAGAAAACCGTCGTTATTTTTCTTATTTTCATTTCATTCTATTCATTGTGCAGCGAAAACGTGGTAATGGCCAGAACAGGCAGCAGTAAAGAGTGCAAAAGTTTGGTGGAAGAGTCAGTAATCAAGGCACAAAAGCGACCAAGAGAGATACTATGAAATTACAAGCTATCAGTGCATAGAGCAAGAGGCATATTTCTCGTTCCATTAACAGAAAATTCACTTACAGCCACTAAAGCATTGAAAAATCAACGGACCATATTTCCATTTTTCTTTTAAGCAAAGGCATTAAACAGGAAATGAAATACACTGATTGACGGGGTACACAGAACTTCAGGTGTAAAGTAACTCAACATGCCTTGCACTGATTTTAATCTGGTTGAACTTTGGGCAGGTCTCCGCAAGGAAGAAGAAGCTGTCACCAAACGAGAAGATGGCCATCTCCTTTGCTATGATTGGCCTCATGCCACTGCTGCTCTTACTCTTTGCAGCTGTGCGAACGATGAAGTACTGGAAAAGGGCAGGGGGGAGAAAACCAAGAAAATCAAACATCAGAACTTTATCCGTATTGCAAATGGCCTGCCAGGTTCTGAGACAAAGCCTCTCCCACTTTCTTTTCAGAGTTTTCTCTTTGAGGTGGAAGGGGACGATGAACTCCCTTGTCCCTGTGTTTACGTCCTCGCCCTCAACGTGCTCACGGCGGTCTTCGGGATCTTCTACTCTTGCTGAAGCTGAAACAGGGCACAGCATACCACAGACCTCCAAGATGGCTACTAGGTCGGAGGCCGGGCCATCAAAATTTTTCCAAACATGAAGCAAAAGCTCTATGTCTGCCATGCCCTGGTTTTGCAGCTTTTGCCACTGAGGGCGATGCTCTCGATCGACATCCAAATGATTTGCTATATCATGAAGACAGGTCATTACATCAACCAGGTACTGGGGATTTATCACTACCAGATTGCCTATCTCAATGTTCTGCGTCTCAGGTCCGATTAACTCTCCTGAAAAAAAAATTTCCTTGGGGTAATTTGGTAATGTTCTTCAGATATGTTCTCTTTTTCACTAAGCACTTGCTACTTTATACCTTGGCTATTCCCAAATACTTCAACCACTTCAAATTGCAAATGTAAACTTAAAAAAGTATGGTATGAAAAACAGCAATGGACTAACATCGAATTTTGGGGAAGGTCTCGTTAGTAACGCTTCCATTAGCTTATTTTCTTAGACACCTTAGAAACCAACGATCAGCGAAGGGCTGTCGTGGTAAGGGACTTACTTCAAACGTGTAATTTATTATCACGCTTACTTGTTTTCGTTATCACTGAACTGCTCAGCTATTGTAAGCAAAGATATTTTTTCAGTCAGCCCCTACCTGGCAGGATTATCACGCCACTGTCGTGATAAAAGCGCAGCATACTTTCAAATGTTTCATCCGAGACTTCAAAGTTGCTTTCTACTAGCATTTTCTTGAGGAAAGCCTTAGTTACACAGGCTGGGCAGTCTGACTTCTCCCTACACTTGAGAATTTCTTCTTCAAAGTGCAGCCACAAGACAGGCAATTCCTCTTCCATCAGCTTAAGGCGGGAGGCTTCTTCTTCGATTGTATTCTTTAATAGCAAAGCTCCCTCGTCTTCTCTACCAAGAGTGTTTTCTACTGAGAATAAAAAATTCTTCTCTTGGTTTTTGACCAATTGTTGGGCAAAGGTCGCAGCAAATTCATCATATAGAAGTTGCTCCGCGTTAGTTATGTCTTGCTCGCTGACATCATTGCGATGCGTTCCCACCAGGAACACTGGTGTGGTCTGAGGAGTGTGGACACGGACAGAGTTGAGCCAGAAATGAAGCTGTTTTAAAGCTTGGTCTTTACTCTTAGGATCACACAGTTGAGTAAGATTCGTCACGACAAGGTAGAAGGAGCGTCTGTTCAAAAACACGTGATGCATGGCTTGGTACAAGGGATGGCCTGCAAAATCCCAAATACTTAATTTGATGTATTTTCTTTCTTTGAGTTCCAGCGAAGCTTCTCTCAGTTTCCTTGTAATTAGGTCTACCGGTATTTCTCTCGTTGGTGTCTGCGCACTTCTAGATCTCGTGAAGGGGACCAGGCTTGTTTGGTCATCAGCATCATCAGAGCTGGTATCACCCTCTTGGTGTGCAGGACCACATTCGATGCTTGGAAGTCGCCTTCTGGAAGGTGGATGGCGTCTCTTCTGACTTGGCAACGAGGGTCCTGGATCTGAAAAACTCGATTGATACACAGCTGAACCCCCTTTTGCCTCATTGGAATTTTTGAACCCTTCACAAATTCTATCTGTTAAAATTTCATCTACAAAAGAATTGTTCAGGTCTGTTACATGCCAAGAATCATCAAGTTCTGTCACCTCAACCATTGACGTATCGATTCCACGGGTCTCGATTCTTTCTTCCACAAAATCCTCTCCTCTGAGATTTCGAACAAGGCTTGTCTTTCCCACCCCAACATCTCCAATAACTGTGAGCTGGAGTCGAGCCACCTTCGCTTTGCCTTTATGAAGGGCTTGGTTGAAGATTTCTAATGTTTCTTTTCCCCTGGCAAGAACTTCATATGGTTTACTGCACAGTTCTGATTCGAGACAAAAAAAAAACAACTTGGTAAGAGCAGAATTTGTTTTTCCTTTTACGTTGAATCAGAGAGCTTTATCCTCTCTTAGCTGGATAAATGGATCGGTAATATTATCTACGTAGGTTCCGAACGATGATCACTCATGTGTCTGGATGTGGCTAACTTGAGTCCAGCGTTTACCTACCGAAATGACTGAGACATAAAGAAAATATCAAGTACCATGCTTAAGACGAGGGTTCATGAAGCTTGAGGATTTCCGACAGCACTTCAAGTGGCTTTTCGTTACCATATTCAACAAAAGTGAGGCTTAGGAAGCTCTACTCTGACTTATATTCACCACGGTCGTTGCACCCCTAATCATATACTTGCGAGAAGTATCACGTTCTGTTCACTTTTTGAAACAATAAAATCACCTCTAATATCACTGACTGAATACAGGCCAACCGTAAAAACAATTAATTACACATAATAAATATCTGATTACGGAAGTGGACTGGAACTGTAGTTATACACCACACCACAACATCATAGACGTGTACACAATTTCACTTAATACCTTCAATTTTGCTGTTTAATTGAAACGGTTGCACTTGATTTCCAGTATGGCTTCTTTCACTGCCCTCGCAGTCTGCAATGACCTCCTCTACACGAAGTATATTGAACTGCTGCTGAAAACTATTTTGGTGATGAAGTCTGTTCAATACATGTTCAATTGCTTGGAAATATTTCTGTCGTGAATGAAAATCAGCTGTTGCCCGGCGCATAGTTCGTTGACCTACGAATGACAACAATTTTAGGTTTTGAGATAGATATATTAAGGTGATCACTTTGAGATCCCAGGTTTATTTGAAAAAATATTTTAAAGTCATGATACTGAAAATAAATGATGTATCAGATAACGAATTTAGAGAGTGAAGTTAACGAAAAATAAGCATATAATTAAGTGCTCGGATGTGCACCACTCACCGGCAAGGTGGAATAATATTATGGACAAACAGCCCTGATGATCGGATGCCAAGGATAACGGAGTATCTCCATTTTGGTCAACTCGATGCAAGTCGCCTCCATTCATGAGTAGCAACTTGAGGCAATTGGCATGTCCCTTCCAAGCAGCAAGATGGACAGGTGTTCTACCATCCTTAGGATCAGGAACATTTGGCTCCCCATCTGACCAACTGAGCATAATCTTCAGGCATTCGTAGTGACCACCGAAGGCGGCACAGTGCATCGGCGTGAATCCCACCTGGGATTTCGAACAAGGTCGATGGGAATCTCCCGGTTCGTTGGCGTACTCATTTCTCATGAGGCTATCAACGACTTGAAATTTACCAGTACACGCGGCGTGATGCAGATCTCTTAGATGATGTCGGTTAGTGTTTAGATGCTGGATTAAAGCTTCTGTACATGAGAAGGATCTTCCACAGTGAATGCAACTTTCGGGTACATCGGGAACAAAGTGTTTTGAGTTGTGTTTTAAATGTCGTATCAAACTTTCCTTATCAGTGAATGCTCGATGCCACCTTGAGCAGTGGTCTTTCGCCCTTACACACGCTAAATCTTTGTTGTAAAAAGGCATTTCTTACTTAAAGACATAGTTTTAAATGAAAAAGGTTGATTCGAAGAGCACAGCTCAAAAATTTGCGGTCAGCTCCCGGCGTAATTTCCCGGAAGCAGACATCGTTTCCATTCTTCCCCAGTCATTTCAGTTCGGGTCGTCGTCTGGGCTCTATAATGGTTAAAATCACAGCTGATCGAGAAAATAACAACGCATGAACCAAGAATGTACCAAGTAAACTGATAAGTTGAAGCGTTTTCTGTTAAGAATTCCAGTGAGTCTTTTGAATTTATTACCTGATTGCCATAAACAATCCTTTATGTTCACAGCCATTTTTTTTGTTTATAGCCTCCCCCACAGACATTCATTTACTCGTCACGCAATCCTCCCCATTCGTGGAGCAGTCGGGCAGAAACGCGTGACGATCCCCTAAGAACGTCTGCGTTAGCCTGAGCACATTTGACGACGCTACCACTGGTTTCCCCGCCAAATGACATCTGAGAAACGAGTGTAGCTAAATGACCTGGATCGTGGGTATGGGTGTGGGTCGTGGGTATGGGTGTGGGTCGTGGGTGTGGGTAAATGTCGTGGATAAAAAAAAAAAAGTTTCCAAAACAAAAAATTAAAAAATTAACTAAAAACGCATTTAGGCGAAAAATAAAAGAAACTCTGTACACTGTGTTAACCTGAGGCAGGCTAAAAAAATGGAGACTGAACTGCTTTTCCTCAAAGATGTCAACATTCGTGACTGAAACGTCCTTTCAGGTTAAGGAATGATATTCAGAATCGTTAGTACTGCAAAGATTTAGCATTGTACACAAGACAAAACATGCATGCAAAACAGAATCGAGAAAAGTTTATTTCCGTACGGCAATAAAATTTTCGTACAGTCTCGCCTTAACTTGAAAGGTTGATCATGAAAGTGATTCCTCCTAAGCTAAGAGACCTAAAACTTCTTTAAAAATATGAAATAGCTCAAAATTGTCCTTTTTTCCCGCACTCTTCCCCCCCCCCCCTACGCTTTCCCATGGCGATCACATTCCATCGTGTTAAAAAATCCCCGCTGATCAACTGGTTTACTTCTTCACCGCCTTACCATAAGGATCAGTTTACCGTTTCATATTTTTCTAACAGTTGTTATTGGACTGATCCAGGTCTACAACTGGCAGATCCGGTACCACTCATTGGTTTGTCGCTGTGGACTTGCTGATAGTTTATATATTACCATTCAGCAAGTCAGAGCTGTCAAATTGCACGTTTCGACATATTTTACATCTGTTTCGTTTATTTCGAGGCGATCGCTAGTTATGGATAAATCTTCATCGGCAACATGTCTTTTACACAGTGATGTTGTGAAAGGGGACCCAAGTCAAGTCCCATGCACGTGGCTTAGGAAGAGGACGAAGAAGAAGCCGTGAAAAGGGCAATCAAGGAGTCGGAGATTTTCGTTTCATAAATATTTTACAAAATTTAGCTACACTCATCTTTGTTGATAGCGCTGTCAAATCACAGACACTGCGATTCACTCTCTGAGCGCCGTTTGCCGTGAAATGATCGGCCGTCGCCTTTAGTTTGGATTGCTCAAAATTTCGTTACTGCTGGCTGTGATTCCAACAAAGCCAGACGTTGTCAAAACTGAAAACATTTTTCAGCTTGAATTATATGCAAACGTCACGATCCCTTATTTTTTATATCCTTTAGAAAAATGATTTGCAAAGTATTTTAAACTGGCTCTGAGTACAATTATGTGCAATTTCATTGTTTAGATCTCGACTTGTGATTGGCTGATTTCAAAATTTGTCTCAAAATTTTGTCTGGGTGGCCTCGGTTCGTGTATTCGCACTGTAAAAAATTGATCCAACTTTTCATTCAGTACCCTAACTTGCATGGTTTACCCAATAGTTCAAGGAATCCTGTTTAATAATTATTCCTCGAGCCCGAATGGGCTCTGAGTCAATAGCCCATGCCGAAGGCTGAATGTGCTACTGAACTCAGAGACCGTGAGGGCGAGAGGAATAATGGTTTTTGTAAAATCCAACTAGTTGATCAAAAATATCGAGACAAACAAGTTTAGCCTGCAAAACGCGATTTACCCTCCATTGTTTTGGTTTTCAAAGCCTGCGCTTTTCGCTACTAGTTGTCCTAGTAGCTGATAACATATAGCCTAGTAATAGCTCAACCAATCAGAACGCAGCAATGATAAATGTTATTTCTAACGAATGAGGCCGAGAAGAAGCCAGAAATAGATATTTTGACGGCACGAGGTACTTCAGGGCCTGGGTACTAGGTCGGGTGCACCATGGGTAGCCATATCGGGGGTATATAAGGCTGCGTATATCACGTGTACGTCATCTACGCTTCTGAACCAACCTCTCTTTGGTTTTTTCTTTATTTTTTGTTTTTGTTTTGTCTTTTTTAGGAGCAGTCTATTCTCGATTACATTGTCAAGTCCCGTAGAAAGGGATTTGAGCTTGAGCCTTGGTTCCTACCCAGATTTCCGGCCCGCATTTTTTCCCTTCGGGGTTTTTTTGGGCAGGTCTTTACTGGCCTCCGTCTGACCGCATTTACTTCAGTTTTAAGCGGCAGCTCAGCTCTGCTAGTTTTCAGCTTTTTTCCCGTTTCTTATTTTATGTACTTGTCCAGTTATCTCAGTTTTGCACCTGCTCATTTACTTGATAGATTTAGTTTCTATGTATGCTTAGGTCAGCTGTCGTGGAACCGCTCTTTACGAGGCGACATTAGTCTCGTTTGACGCAGATAGATTGCAGGCAATGTTACAGACCTCTAGCCAGGGTCGTTATCCATTTGTTTACCCTCACTGTCCTGCCCTAGCCTTTTCTGGCAGCCTTACTGGTTATTGGGCTACATTCCTTGTTGAGCTTTGTTGGTTACATTAGTGAAGATAATTCCCAGTTTTTCTGGCACACAGCCTCTGTGCTCCTGAAGTGTTCCTGGTCCCAGTTATCCGTTGATCAGAGTTATTAATTTTTATTAACTTCCCCCAGCCTAACTGACGGCCTAACGCCTGCTTATTTGGGGGATTCAGGTCGAGATCGACCAGCTGTAGCAGTTCTTTCTTTTTGCTTAGCCTCTGTGCTCTTACCGTGTTCCCTGTACCAGTTATCCGTTGTCAGAGTTTTATTAATGAGTTTCCCCAGCCTAACTGGCACTAAGCCTGCGTGCTTTATTGGGGGATTCAGGAGCGACCATTTTTAGCTCGAGTTTTTTCTTTTTGTAAAAGCTAGTTTACGAGTGTTGTACGTTAGGTATTCACCAGTAATCATAGCCTCCCACGCAGACGTTCTTACGGGTTCGTCACGCAATCATTCCTCTCCCACGAACGTGGGGTAGGAACGCGGGACGAACCCCTAAGAACGTTTGCGTGGGAGGCTACAGTAATCACCTATTTATATATTATTGTATTTACATAAGTACTTTGTAGTGTTGGTTCTCGCCAAGCCGTCCCAAAATAAACTTATTTGCCTTTACGTTTTGTCAGTTGATGTTGTGTAGTAGAGTCAAAATTAGACCACTATTTGGATTTTACTAAAGTTTATAAGCCCCGACTTTCTTATAGGCCATAACCACTTTAAACATTTGATCTTGTAAATAATTTATTTAGAAAAGTGTATATTATCTGTAATGTATTATGAATTCTCTATACTGTTCTTGTATTTGTGGTTAATGGCAAAAATGAATGAGTCATGAATGAATGATGGAAAGGGGAGAAAAAGCAGTCCCCGCTTGTGCTCTACGCTCATTCCCATCATCCCCCTCTCGCGCTTCTCGCTTGTCTTCAGCCAGGGGCGTAGCTAGGTGGGGTGGGGGGGGGAGGGTCCTGGGGTGCCCGTGACCCCCCCTTGGTAGGCCTTCGTTTGAGCAAACAACCTACAATATTCAGGTGGCGAAAACGCCATGACATGGGACAATATCTTGGCCGTAAAAGCCATTGTTGAAAAGCCCACTTTTTTAAAATTTGTTTTTTTGTAAAGTATTTTCGTCAACGGCTCTTGTCTTTAGTTAATATGGGCCTTCATGCCGCAATAATACGATTGAGCCCGCTGACACACGAGGGAGAGCAGCGGTATAAACCATATATAGTCGGCGATCCCCGGATGGTGACCCTCCCCCCTTTGAAAAATCCTGGCTACGCCCCTGCCAATTCTTGCGTATTCCCCACGGAGCCTTGGGAAAGCCTATGGAGCAGGCAACTGTGAAAGAACCTAAAGGGGCTATCCCCTAACAGAAGCATTTTATGGCTGTGAAAAAGTCAAGAATATTCATATCATATTAAAACGACCGTGTATTTACAGCAGTTGAAGGGATGCAAAGTTCTAAACTAGGTGTACGCATGGGCTCCTGGTGTACGTGAAAGGGGTACCATTTGTCAACAGAAGGTATGCGAGAGGGATGGCTTCTTTTGTTTTGTTTTGTTTCTGTTTTTTTGATAACTATGCGACTGTACTGGTAGTTCCACGGGGATGCCGCGCGCAACAAAGGAAATAGGAGTCTTCTACATCTTTGGTTTCCACCGTCTCTCGATCGGGTTCGGCCTTCGATCCTTCTCGAACATTTTCGAACAGCGGCTGGTAATCAAGCCTCAGCAGTTTCCAGGAAGCGTAAATAAAACGTGATCGCAGGTTGACAACTAAGCGAAACGATGTCAATCCTTGTTTTATTTAGTCATGTTTTATCAATCCACGTCAAGAGCCATAATAGTCCTATTATGGCTCTTGTCCGCGTTTGATCAATCCAGTCCATGATTTGCTAGTCCAGCGCCAGTCCAGTCCAGTCCAGTCCGGTCCAGAGTAATTTTAGTGAGTTTACGCAACGGTTCGCAACGGTGGAAACATGACGGTAGGAAGAAGAGGAGTGTAACAAACATTACGGGGCCATTTACTTAAGTGTTTTGTCGCGATCTTCACTCAACATTCATGTTTTCTGATCTTTTACAAAAAGATCTGTTTAAAGGAAAGTGAAGTTTTGCGAAAAGTTCTTCCCTGTCCGGTCCCGTCCTGTTGCGTAATTTCACTTCTAACATAGACACGTGTGCACACCGAAATGTTGTTCTGTATTTCTCAAGGCCGGTCTTCGACTTGATGGCGATGAACGACTTGAGAATTTTGGAATTTATGGCAGAATCACTCCACGAATGGATCATTCTTCAATCTTCAAATAACTCAAGAATCTTTGATCGTCTTATATCAGTTCAACCACGTGTGTTTCTTCGCAACGGTGAACCAAAGAAAAGTTTCCAAAGATACCTTGCACTATTTCGGGACGAATTAGACTCTAAAGTGAAGTGTAAAGAGAGCATTTTAGAGGTACTGTTTGTGCAGTATTTACCAGAATCTAACTGTGGATTTGTCGAGTTTTTATGTCTGCATTATGGTGAAAACCAGGATGAAATTCACAGCTTAAATTGTGGCTGGGGGAAAAAATTGATGAAAGAAGCAGAAGGCGTTTTAAACAAGGTGAGAATAGCAATCAAACTATAGAGTGATTTTACTTAGCCCGTGAAATAGGCAGTAGAATTCTACGCACTATTATGCACTATTTCTATTGTTTTCTTTTGTTTATTTGCAGATATTTTGCACTAGTTGTTATTTTATTTTAATAAAAGTATAATATGGAATTTGAAATGTTAGCTATTTGGAATATGGCTATTTGATACAATCAAAACTCGAAATTACTGACCTATGATCACGAGACACGTTTGGGCCTGAAAATCTGTCTATTATATGATTGGTAATAATATTGTTTGCACCCCCAGGGAGGGAGGTGGGGGGAGGGAAATTAAACAATACAAACGGCGATTGCACAAGCAAAGTTTGTGGGGGGGAATAGGAGGGCGGGAGCCTGAGAGAACAGGTGCAGGACAGGTACGGGAGACGGGAGAAGAAAGGGCGGGAAGCGGGATCTCTACGATGATGGGAAGGCCAGAGACAAATTCAAAAAGGCAAGTTTTTGTTATTTTAGCTTACGTGTAGCTGCACCCTCCCTCTCTCCACTTTTCCTTTGTCAGGGGGAGGGTGTGGCTACACGTAGGCTATCATTATTTGTCACTGCTTATCATCCAGTCAAAGAAATACCCTGCAAGCAAAGGTTTCTCTCTTGCATGGCTTTTAACATTTACGAAGTCATTCATGTGGCTTGTCTGTTGCGTAGTTGTTAACCAACTACGCAACAGAAAAGCCACGCGAATGACTTCGTAAACACTAAAAGGCAGCAGGTTACAGGAAGCAGGAGGTTGTGACCACCCTGTCCCCCCTCCGCCCGACAAGTTTAGCTGAACTGCATGGGATGCGAACATGATGCCCTATAGATTGTACATAGTTAATCAACTGTCAACAATATTAATCTCTATGTCTGGCTGCAAGAAAATGTGGCCATATGTCTCGCTGATGGGAAGGCTCTTAAAACAACTGAATGCCCAGCAGTCGGAAAATTATTTTGAATTTCTGCAAAATCCTTTTTCCTAACCATTAGAAGTATACTATCTTTATTTAGACCAACCAAGCAATCAGGAAAACAAAACTGGCTTCACAGCTGAGCAGTTGTGGTTTCTTGGGCATAGAGTAGAGTCCACGCTGTTTCCTGAGTTACAGCGCATGACTCGTGGGCACGATTTCACACAGGCTAAATACCGGGTAAGCTGGAGAGTTAAAATTCCTTCTCTTCAGCTCCAGAGTACATGCATACTAGCCTCAATTAGTTTCCCAAAACATAACATTTATTATTTGTATTGTGCCTTTTCTATAAACTATTCAAAAGTGCATCACAACAGTAACTAATAACTAAAATTTTACAAATCTTTCTATAAAAATCATAAAAAATATTTACATTAAATGAGTAAAAGATAATTACAAATAAAGATATAGATATACTAAGATAACTGAAATGATTCCTTAAATAAAAATGTCTTAATTAAAGTCTTAAAAGATTCTAAGTTCATTGCTTTGGGCAAGGACCTTGGCAGCTTATTCCATAGGAAAGGAGCAGCTACCTGGAAAGCTCTGTCGCCCAATGTTTTCTTGGTTTTCACACTTGGTCTTTCCAACAAACCAGGGGCGTAGCTACCTGTACGCAAATACGCAATTGCGTACCTGAAAATAATAATAAAAAATAATAAATAAATATATAAAATAAAAAAATAAATAAAAAATATATTTCAAATATATTTATATTTATATATATTTTTTATTTTTTTGTCATTTAGCCTTTTCTTTTACTTATTTTTGTACCTGAACTATAAAATTGTTTTTCCCATCCAAATGTCGGTTTCTTCAGAGAATCGATGTGAAATGACTCTGATCGTGAAACTTGGAGTTTCCGGCCATCATTCGTGACTTTGATCTTTTTTTGGGGGGGGGCGGGGGTGAAGAGGTGAGATGGAAAACTGTGCGTACCTACGGAAAAATCCTGGCTACGCCCCTGCAAACGAGCATTGTCGTTGCGCCTCAAATGGTAGGACGAAGGCTGTTGAATACTAATTAAATCAGAGAGAAAGTGCTTTGATTTTGAAACTTTGTTTTGCAACCTCGAGCCACTTTGAGCTAGATTCTCGACACAGCTTGATATACTGGTGGTGCTTCTGAATCTTAATAATACTGCCAAATTACTTTTCCATTTTGGTATCGTTCCTCAGTCTCCACTAGCGTTACTTTATCTTGTACCTTAAACCGCCATTTATAAGCCCCCCTATAACTGTTATAAGCTCATCTATCTGTAAACAAAAAATATATCCGATTTTTAGCCCCCCTGAAAAAAGTCCCCCTCCAAATATTGAAATGACCAGAACTCGAAGGAATTCCTGGTGGGGTTGTAACATCCGGTTCTCCAAATACTTTCCCAAATTCAGACCAAAAAAGTCATTTTTCACACCTATTTCCAGACCTGGCTTTTTAAATGTATACCCATTTTCAGACCAAACAAACAACAGTCACAAACGTAACAGACGTGTAAAGCAGTCATCATTTCTTACATTAGGGTGCCCGCAAAAAATATCTTAAAATTCTTTTGAAATTTGCCTGTAATTCTTTCTCTCTCATTCATTTGAAATTGAAATGACAAATACATTTATGCACTCCCATAGTACCCTCAAAACCATACCCGATTCCAGACCAAAGTGGGCGGGATACCTGTTTTCAGGTCTCAAATCATTGCTTTTGCATACTTGGATTACAAACAAATTTCATTCAAGAAATCGGTTCAATTGTGCAGATAATTACACTGTTTATGATTAGGACAGACTCTTACAAAGTTATATATTGCCGTCTTTAGGACAGACTCCTGTAAAATTATATACCCTGCTTAGGACCGAGAGGACAATAACCACACCATACATGTCCCCATATAGGGCAAAATATACCAGATTTTCTATCTTACAAGATTGAGAGCATTCAGAAAAGGGCTGTACGCATCATTTTTCCTTAATGAATTACAACGAGGCATTAAATGCCCTTAATTTAACAACTCTAAGTGACAGACGTGCCCATCTATGCCAGGTTTATATAGATAGACTCCGGAATGAGAATCACGCCCGCCGGCCTTAGCTTGCATTTTATGCTCCCCAAACAGGAGGAGGTTGTGCATAATTATAATCTTAGATCTGGCATTAGCCGCTCCAGGCGTCCTTCCTGTAGGACCAAGCGCACACAAGAGTTTGTCACGCATAAGTATACCTAGTGGCTTGTACAATTATATTTTCTAGTATTTATTGGATTTATTGTATTATATTTTAGTATTATATGTTTTGTAAATAGCTCTGTAATTCAGCCATTCTTTATATTGCTGCAATGAGTCTTTATAAACAGTCATTATTATTATATAAAAGAGTACCCCCTCTCCACATGGCCTGACCACAGGGCCCTCGCAATATCTGGTCCTCCGGTTGCAATATCTAGTCCCCCGGGCCTCTCTCTCCCTATCTTAATCAAAGCTGAGGGAGAAAAAACTGGGCAACAAAACTGGACAAGAAAATATTATTAGGCACATATTTATGGTAGCTGAGGAGTGTGGGATTTTTTAACAAACAACTTTGCCCATATTATTGTGGCTAAGGAGGGAGTGTCCTATCTCTGAGATCCAGACTAGATCCATAAAAATATTTCTCTGTAAATATTAACTTAGCTAACCATATTAATTTATAGGATAGTAATAGCCAGATGAGGGGAAGGGTCTCTATGTCAGTGTGTAATAAATATTATTAGCTATTGCTGCTATAAATGGATAATTTTTATGACAAGCTGGCCTAATTATTTTTCAAAAACCTTGATAATTAGAGTCAATTAAATTAACCACAATTTTAACAGGGAAGTTTGCTCAACTTTCTCTCCTTTCTCTGTACAAAGCCTTGACACCTCACAAAAGTGGCTTCTCGTGTATTAATTTCTCTTTCTTTCCTTCTTTCTTTACTTATTTTGATACTCAGACAATCATAATTTTACTCAACAAGAAACTCTACTACTAATTAAGGAGATGAATTAGATTATATGCACCTTATTTATGCATGCATCAGCAAAAACATGAAAATAACAGATATACATAAATCTTTTGTCAACAGGAAGCTGAAAGGTATGGATTTGAGACAGTTCATGAAATATTTTATCTTGCTGCTGCAGTTTTGAATCCAACAACTCGCTGTTTCATTAGATGTCTGTACAACGTAGGATTTAGGTTGGTGAAAACAGAAAATGTCAACTGGAGACAATTATCACGAAATAACTTCAGCCATCTTTTTGTATACAAATCTCCTTTGGCTTCATATTTGCAAGGTGGCAAGAGACCTCTTCCTGGTCAAATTAAACTGGGCACCGTTGTGAAATTTTTGAAGGAACTTTCAGCCTCAAATCAAAATATCAAGAATGACATGGATGCAAATAATGTTGAAGAAGTGCTTGTGTTGATAGAAAGTCTTGACACTGCAATGAAGGAAGTGTTTAAGTCATCGTTCCCTTGGCATGGTATGTGACTATTTTAGAATCTGTTGATTTTATTATTATTATTATTAAAATGGAGACGTGTGTGGCCGAGCTTACGGGAATGTAAAGGTACAGAGTTTGTATGGATGTTGAGAAAAAGAGGAATTTGTGAAGGTGTTAGGAGAGCTTTCATTGTACTTTATACGAAGTCATGTTCACGCAAGATGAATCTGCATGGTTGGACTTCAACAACCCCTTCCCTATGAGGGTCACAGTGTTCTCCTTATCAGGCGGTAACCGGAAAAATTTACCGCCCGAAGCAACACTTCTTACCGCCTGCAACCGCTTGAAGATTTACTTAAGTGAAATATTGAATTAGTTTTTAAAAATACTCAAGTTGTGATCCGATCCGATCAAGGAAATGTATGAATGTTTTGTGGAAAAGTATTAAAGTATACACAGCTTTCCTTCTTATGTGCCACACATTTTGAAAAGAAAACATTGAAGACAGAGTAAAATTATTGGGATCAAACGGTTTAAATTGTTGTCTAAAGATAACAACGGCCGATTTGCGTAAAATAGGTCTTAAAATGAATTACGTTTCAAACAAGCAACTTAGCTCCTCCTAGGGCGGGGCCATGCCCCTCACTCCCCCCCCCCGCCTCCCCCTCTGGAAAGTGTACCTCTGCCGGCATATTTTTTGCCTTACCGGCCGGGAATGGTACCTTACCTGCTGAGCTAAAATTTAGTGGGAACAATTCTACTACCTCTATATATAGGAAACATATAGGGCTCACAACAAATAATAATTTAAATTTTGATATTAGGAAGGGTTAATTATAAGATGTCCAGTCAAAACCTCAGTTTGTAATAATAATAATTTCAAAAGCGCTGCTGCTACCAAAAGCAATATAAAAAATTAAGCCATGATAGTCTACACGCCAAAACTAGTGCATTTGCATTGTTTTTCGAACAAATTTTATTTGTGGACCAAAATCATCACTTACGAAATTTTTGCATTGAACCGTTCAATTGGATAACCGATATGAACACAATGTCTCACTGGAAAGGATAGCATTTCTTGTATGTTGTAGAGAATTGCGCAATTGCATCCATGGCTCTCAAGCTGGAGAATGCTACACGTAAGACTCAAAGGTATATGGGTGCTTTGATGTGGCCATTTTATGTCCTGGGGGTATTTTCCCTAAGATGTTACCGCGGTTGTAACTATTAGCCAAAAGATACTAATTTCTAAAGAATTTTACGTTAAGGGTTCCGAGTAATTTAGAATCAGCTGGTTTAAGCTTTAGTGATTTGCTGTCTCTGTAAGTCAGTGGAAGGTGATTCGGTATGATGTAAAGCGGGCTTTTGCAACATCAGGTTTGTGCAAGTTGCGTGATTACCAGCTTCTGATTGGACAAAATTACGTGTTAGTTACGCCATACACGAGAGTTACGTCACTTGTTGCAAAACACAATTGCCTTGGTCTGTTAACACGCGAAACGTGTACAGATCTTGTGGCAAAAAGTAGAAGAACTCTCTTCTTTGTACAACAACTTTTCGGAAACTGCATCAACCTTTCATCAACCTGATCTGTGTATGGCGGCCTTCCGCGTAATTTTAACCAATAAGAGGTCAGTATTCACGCAACTCGCAACAAACTATTTTGTTGCACGACAGGTTTGAACGTGGGTGGTAAAACTAAAAACATTGCTTTCCAACTCGTTTTAATTTTGCAGCAATGTTGCAAAACAAACGATTTTGTTGCCCGTTGAACGGTAGCTTAACGTTTTTATTTGTAGGGAGCACTGCATCTTGTCTTGATAATCAAGTAGCTGTTGTTGGTGGAGGAGTAGCAGGTCTTTCTGCAGCATCGTCGCTCTCTGAAGCTGGGTTTGACGTTGTGCTTCTGGAGGCCGCTGACTATTTTGGCGGCAGAGTAAAACAAGCACAACCTTTCAAGGGTTTTGCACCAGTTGATCTTGGTGGAGAAGTTATTCATGGATCAGACACCATTATAAACAGAATTGCTGGAGAAAATGATTGGCCTCTTGAGCCGGTAAGAAGACTTGGTTTTCATTTGTACCTTCTGTGCGGGAAGTTCCGAGAGCGATTCCCCGATGTGATCTGAAATCCTTCTGTTGACTTTCCTTTGCTTTCCGAGTAGATTCACTTAGCGTTAAATACCCATAAATCGGAGCACTAATGGAGAGAGAGAAGGAGGTGGCCGGGGGGGGAGGAACACACTGTCGGCCTCGGGTTTTTCAGTTGAAGTACATTGAATTAAAAGACGAGATGGAATGAAGTTTGAGACGGCGCGAATTCACTTTTTAAGTGAAGTTTTCATTGCCCTCGCCTTAGTGGTTACTTAAGCTCACTAATCAGTTTTTGCGTTTTTATTTGACTTGCATTGTCGCTCCTTAAACTGCCAAATACTAATAGAATAATAATGATGATACACATTGATATCTCCAGAACTGTAATAAGAAATTTTCGCTTTTAATTGCTTTTGGTAAGGATTCAATATATTCAAAGGTTTGGTTGCTACTTTCAAGGCATGCTTTAAGGTCTTAGGCTTGCCAGTTGTCTATCGTTCAATGCTGCCAGTTCAGGATCGAGCTCTGTTGTCCTGACTGTTGTCAGTTTGAAATATGGAGGTATTTTTTTAGCTGCTGGGATGAAAAACGGCATCAAATATAACCAAGATCAGTCGAGTATAATGCTACTTCTTGATCATAGTCTTAGGCATAATGCTGTTGTTTTGAAGGTGACGCTCAAAAGGATAATGCTCAAATTTTCGAGCATAATGTATCTAACAGTACCGAAAGAGGCAAAAACCGGAGTCGGTAGACGGCGGAAATCGAGAACCTAGCCCTTGAGGTTGGGAAAGGGTGATTACTTACTTACTTTATTTGTTCTACAGTGCACTGGATGTGATGAAATGGAAACTGAAGAAATGATTTACTACAAAGGAAGGTTAATTCCCCTGCGTAGTGATCACCCAGATATAAGCAAGGCATACAAAGCTCGCGAGGAAATCGATTTATGGCAGAATGAAACCGAGGATGATATTCCGCAAAACCCTGTAACACTAGAACAAAAGAGTAATACGCTTCTGATTAATGCTAGAGTGGTGGAGGAGAGTGAAGCTGACTCTAATCCTGCCAAAGATTTGGCGAATGAAGCAGTTGCTGATTTAGGCGGAGCTCAAGGTGCTGAGAAAAGAGATATGAGTGCTCTTGAGTGGTTAAAGGGAAGAGAATGCGATGAAGATGCGATTGATGTGTTTGACACAATTCACTGTCAAGACTACGCTTGCGCGCCCAGTCAAATGGGAATGAGGGAATCATGCAGGGAAGAGAACGTATGGGATTATGGTTCTGGCGACTATAGGTGAGTTGAGAATGATTTAGAAAGTGATACTACATCAAAATAGAAGAAATGATCTCAAGTAAAAAGAAAAACATCTTCCTTGTCAATTTACTATCAAATTTCGTCTTTTCATCTGTAAGGTGATGTTACACAAGACGATTCGTAACGACGATTTTTAGCGCAACACAGCGTTGCAATGTTGAAACAATGTTGTAACTATTGGAAACAATGTTGCAACAATGTTGCAACGCTGTGTTGCGCTAAAAGTCGTCGTTGCGAATCGTTCGTCTCATGTAACATCACCTTTAAAGGTGTCTCGTCTTTTTCTTTCGTTTGACTTTTGATTTTCCCTTCTTTTTTCCAGACTGACTGGTTCTTATTCGCAGTTAGTGGATTATTTATTAAACAAATGCAACAGAGTTGATATGCGCCTTAACTGGCAAGTGAAAGAAGTAAAGTGGAAAGGTTAGTTTTATTGTAGGTAGATCGTCTCTACCTTGCTTGCCTAAAGGCGATGTTACACAGGACAATTCGCAACGACGATTTTTAGCGCAACACAGCGTTGCAATGTTGGAACAACGTTGCAACCATTTGAAACAATGTCGCAACAATGTTGCAACGCTGTGTTGCGCTAAAAATCGTCGTTGCGAATAGTCTCATGTAACATCACCTTAACGCGGCTGCCTTCTCCTCTTGCAGAAAACGTTGGTCAGATCCCGGATGGAAAAAACGTGAGAACAGTTCAAGCGATACCTGGTGAAACAATTGTTCTGAAAAACCAACATGGGGAAATGTTAACAGCTAGGTACGTTGTCATAACGGTGCCTCTTACGATCCTCAAAGATGGTGATATCGACTTTGTTCCTGCTTTACCAGAAAACAAGAAAAAAGGGATAGACAGTATCCACATGGGAGGAGCGCTGAAAATTGTTTGTCGTTTTAAATCACAGTTCTGGTCAGATAAAGTAAATCTTATTTACTGTGTGCGAGGTTTCGTCGGCCAAATATGGATGTACACACGTGACTCACTTGACAGTGATGAAAAATGTCATGTGATCGTTGGCTTTCAAACTGCTGAGCCTGCGGAACAGAAAATGAATCTCAGTGAAAAGGATGTTTTGGACGGATTCCTCCAGCAGTTGGACGAAATATTCGGGTGAGTTCATAACAAATAGGACGATCAGAGGATTCATAGGAGAATTTGACAGTTCATCTCGTTAATAGTGATCATGTATTAGAGAGTTTTAGATTTCAGGAGGAGGACGACTGCGAGGACAACATTCAATTTTAAGTTTTCTCGTCTATTCTCTAAAATCAGACACTCTGGAAATCTTCATTGTACGTTTTTTCTCCACACAAGTTAGTACGCTTATTTCCGTTGAAGGAGGTAAAGACCTCTCTCTATTGCTCAATTATAAAATTTCTAACATACCACATCTGATATCTCTTTTTTCGCCACTACGACATTCTCGCTCGTAGTAGACCAGGGGTAGACTGACGACGGCTACCACATCTTCCCGCCAAAATGACGTTGGTTCGCGCGCGCGCGCCCGCGGACTACTTAGTATTGGGAAAATCTCGTTCTCGTATTCGCGTAGTCGTCCTTGTCGTAGAATCTAAAGCTCTCTATTAACAGAAACAGTAGCGGAAACTTTTCCTATCATTACATTATGGTAGTTAAGTTAGCCTGAGAAAACAGCCGACATTTCTCGACGCCACCAGCGGTTCCCCCGCAAAATGGCGTCTGAGGAACGAACGCAGAAATTCCCTGATACTGATGACGTGTCACTTCCCATATTTGGGTAGTGAGTGATTCTGATAGGGTTCGTCCAATCAGAAGCACGTCGTGACACGAGTAGTGATACGTCATGATCAGTATGGAATTTTTTTAAATATTTCTCAGAGTTCATTTCGCAGGGAAACCAGTGGTGGAGTCGCGATATATTGGCTGTTTGCTCAGGCTATAGTTAAGGAAAGATAGAAGAGAGTGAAATCGTTCACTGTATGCCAGTGCTTTTTAAAACTATCGTTTTCCCTAGTTTGGGTTCGGTAGCTTTTTCTTTGTTAAATTATAAGTTGCAAAGTTTAAGCCCCTTAATTTGCACTAGACTTTTCTACCTATAGTGTTCCCTCCTTCATTTTGTTCCTCCTTCCAAACGAAAGGATCGTCCAAGAAAGCGCTCATGAAGTTTCGAGTCGCTTTTTTTCAACATTGAAAAATCACCTCGACAGAAATCAAAGGAAACCCCAAAGTATTTGTTAAAAAAAGAGTATATTGAACTATAGAGGATGGCGTATTATCTTGGACGGACGAGATTAACTTGTATTACAAACGAGATACTTAAAAATTGTATGCAATTATGACACCACAAGGTAGCTCCTGTGAGGTGATTTACTGTCCAATATCTTTGTCTTTCTTTCTAGCACTGAATCGCAACCTAATCTTGCTACGGACCAACTGATGGACTACGTGTATTATCACTGGTCAAAACACCCTTTTATACGTGGGGCCTACAGCTCACCTACTGTGCATGCGCAAGGCATGCGTCACGTGCTTGCCAGCCCTGTGCAAGACCTTTTGTTCTTTGCTGGTGAAGCTACCAATGTCACGGCCTGTGCTTGCGTTCATACGGCCATGGAAACGGGAATTAGGGCTGCTAATGAAATTTGTGGAGTTGCCAAACGCGTTCAGCTGGAATCCAAACAAAAGTGATGATGTTAACAACTGAATAATAATAATAATAATAATAATAATAATAATAATAATAATAATGCTTTTTATAAACACCGTCGGTTGCATCTAAGTGTGTCCACGTGAGGAAAAAACATGTTGTAATTGGGGGCAAACATGACATGTTTTGCCGCCAAACTTTCGAAGTTTGGAGTAGGCGGCTGTTGTCGACTTGATTTGTTTTCGCTCAAAAAATATTTTTTGCAAGAATTTTTAGACGTTAAGAATAATTTCTGGAGGCAAGTGTGCTGTTTCTAAGCGAGAAATATGCTTGAAGGTTGGGAAGAATGAAATATGAGCTGAACGCGCTGATCCAAAACATATAAACAACTTACCTTTGGCGCCACAGTTTGCTTAAACGGCTGTCAAACTTCAAATGTTCGGCGGCAACACGTCATGTCTGGCGCCCTATTAGAATATGTTTCTTGTCTCGTGTCCACGCTTAGATGCAACCGACGATAATAACCTTTTATCGATATTTAAGCTAATTATTCATGACTATTAAAACATATTTGCAATAAATTTCGTTTAGAAAACTATTTTCAAGTACTATTTACAAGTCATTTCGATTAAAAACTTCGTTTGGATTAAAAAATCACTTTATGAAAAAATTTGTATCAATTTAAAGCACTTCATTTTAATTAAAAACTTATTTTTAAGCGCAACGTATTCTACTAAAAAGGAAATCGAATAGCGTTTCTCAATAATAATAATGATAATAATAATAATAATAATAATAATAATAATAATAATGATAACAATAATAATAATAATAATAATAATATAGCGCAAACTTATGGCGATTTCGATAGTAACACCAAAAAACACAAAACACCAAAATTGTAAAAATTAGAAAAGTACAATTTCTTAAGCGATGATAAAGAAAGAGATAAGAATGAAAATGTTTCTTAAAGCGACAACTTATTCGTCCAAGAACATTTTGATTTGGAACTATGGAGGCCTGTAGACAACAACAGTTGTTTTGCTTCCACCCGTACGTTTAACAAGACATTCATACGGTATGCTCAAAAGAAGTAACAAGAACCTGTTATACTTAGCTTCTCAACTGCAACACGTTAAAAACACCAACCATCTCATATTCTCTAAATTTCTTAGACTTCGACGACTCTGAATGGACGTCATAGTTTCAAAAAAAGTGGTTTATCCGAGTCTGTTGTTAGCAGCGTTGACACCGTGCTTAATAGATAGATGGCGATCAACGTTACAATGTTAAACGTCTCAGAAGGAAAAGAACGAGAGAATTCAATGATTTTCCCTCTCTTTTCACCCACAAAATTTTTCACGCAGTGAAAGATTTTACGACGGAATCCATCAGGAAACTGAGTAAATTTCATGTTCAGGGGACAAAAACCTTGTACCAGAATAATTTAAACAATATCGCATTCTTTTTTACATTTTTCAAGGGCTATAGATGTGATTAGTTCTCTGTAATAACACCAAAGAAAATTTCTTCTGAGAGCCCGAGAAAGTAAATGTCAAATTTTACAGCATGAAATCTTCAGAATTTACCTATGTTTTAACAATTCTTGTGAAATTTGACATTTATTTTCTCGGCTCTCGTGCGAAATATTGGTGTTATTGAAGATAACTAATTACATCTATAGCCCTTGAAAAATGTAAAAAAGAATCCGAAATTGTTTAAATCATATTAATCTGGTACAAGGTTTTTGTCCGCTGAAAATTGAAATTACGGTAGTCACTTTCCTGATGGATTCCGTCTCAAATTGCTTAAAAACGATCCGGGAACTAGCAGAATATTTTCACAAACCTCATTCCCTGCAGGTTCTCTCTCGCTTCGTAGGGACGGATAGCAGAGAACCCTAGCCTAACCACCAGCAATTTCATTTAAATGCTACTAAAACATCGCCAATGTCCTAGTTAGAAGCGCCCATCCTACGATCTGGTGTTCCAGAAGAAAGGGGGAAGGACAGAACAGAGATGTGGAGAAGGTATTATTGCAGGTTAAGAGTCAGCCTAGAATCTGATGACCAACCTCGAATTTCAAATGCGCGCTCGCACGATGCAAACCCTGTCCTTTTATCCACAACGTGGACAAAATTTTGGGGTCAAAGAGGCCTCTTACGATCACTGACCGTTTCAAATGCACATACGCTTGTATCATGATATATTGCAGCACCTGTACGCTAAGTAAAACGTTATACATGTGCGAGTAGGCCGGAAGTTAGGTGACTCCGCGGACATCCTTGAGATGTTGAAAGAAATCGACAAAGACGCATCGAAATCAGTAGCGTGTCATTATAATCTAGCTAATTACTATACAAACCAAAACAGAGCAATCTACTGTCTCTCTCTTTACGTCTGTACACAGGCTATCTTTATCGAGCCAACAAGGAATTTGATGAATTAATAATAAGCTTTTTCATGCATACCGTGGGCACGAAATTTTTTCGGGAGGTTATTTTGCGGATATGCGATTTTTTGTGTTTTGCGGGAACTAATCATTTGCTATTAGCACAGATTTGTTTTTTTGCTGGGAATTTATTTTTGCGATTTTCAGAAAGTACCCGTACCCAGCGTTGACAATATTTTCGTTTTTATTGAGTACGTGCAATAGAAATGCATATTTTCAAACAATACTGGGCCAATACTACGGTCTGCGTCAGTATTTCATTGTATACCGCTTTGTTTCTGAACGAAAGAGACAAGTTGTAATTGAACAGACACGATTTCTTAGTACTGTATTTTTGTGTAGTAAATTTAAGTCGGAGAATATTTACTCCGGAGTAAATTTTTGCGGGAAAATGTTTTGTGGTGATTTTTATTTGCGGGAACTTATTTTTGTGGATCGCTTAAAAAAACGCAAAAATAGCAAAAAACTAGAACCCACAAAATTTCGTGCCCCACGGTATCTTCTATGCAACTGAATAATCGTGACAACAGCCTCGTTTGCTAGGCAACTGCACTGATTTGTAAACAACATGTAACTCCTTTCCCCCGTCCCCGTTTATAACCCTTCCTAAACCCCGTACTCTATATCTTGAGCATTACAGGGGTCTCGAGTAAACAATGTATCATTATTATAAGTAAGTGATTCCTTCCTTTTTCTTTTCTTTGCTTCGAAAGTCCGACTGTCGTAAAGACCCGTATATAGTAAGCGAAAATCATCGGTCGAGTGTTAGCAGTCAATTTAACACATTTTATTCAACCTATCGTTGGATAATTAATGACCAGCCTAAGTGAGTTGAAACCTGTTCGTGACAACTTGGCTTGTGCTTGCATGATGACATGTGATGTTCAAGCACGGCCAAGTGTGCCATGAAGTTAATATATATTTATGATATTCAAATTACCGTGTACCCTATATAAAACATTCCGCTTCTTTTTCTCATTTCCATCACATTGAGATTTTAAGATTAGAATGGCTATTTGGTCTGTTATCCCAGTGACTTATTTAATTATAGGCGAAAGCGGGGGGCTTTCAGTGCTCCAGCTTTTTTTGTAGGGGGTGCCCCCCTCTTCACTTTTGCACAATAATAAGTAACTTTCTTTTACTTTACCACAGTCAACTCATTAGGACTTTCAAGTCCCCCCCAAAAATAGCGTCTTTACAAAACTTTAATGGATTCGGTTTCTAATGAATCTGTTGGGCTTCCTGCATTTAATTTTGTTGTATGCGTGACCAAATCCCATTTTTTAAAAAAAAAAAAAAACATGACTCCACATCGGAGTGAAGTTTTTCCGCTTTGAGACGGAATTTCCAATTTTATAAATTCCTTATAATCAAGAGACAAGCAAAAAAGCCTTTGCGGATAATCCCCGAACTTAGAACATATAACAGTAATGTTACTTTGTGGCATAGTCTGTCTGAGAACTCGCTGAACTCACCATTCATATCATTTTTATCGTTGCTCGTACGTTTTTAAAATACTGGGCAAATATCAGTGGTGGCTGATGCTCTCTTTCGACCGAGTCAGACAGCGGAAGCCTGAGAGTACCATAAGGCGGCTTGTTGCAGACAGAGAATCAAAGGCTCCTGGGAGCGAGCTCATGGATGAATTGAATTAGTGTAGAAAAGACAGTTCAATAATCAAAGAAAAACATACAGATCTTTTTGAACGGTTCATTGAGTACGGACTTGCCAAAATACAGCGTGACTCGAAGTATTCGATTGCATGTGTACCTGAATATTCTAGAAACTTGTTATCAGCGCAGCATTTCTACTTACAAAGCAAAGATCACTTTTAAAAGCAATTATTAACGCTTTTTAGTTGTAAAATAATTTGCTTTCTCATGTGACTGTCAAACACTTTCCGAACGACAGTGCACTTTCTTGTAAAATAGACAAGTTTTATATAAGCACGAGTTTTCTTTAAACCGTCGTTTTAAACAATTATTTTAATAATGGACCTCGAAGGTTTCCTAAAAAGTGCGATGCTTTAAATAGTTTCCATATGATGAGTACGTAACGGTCAGTATATGTAGTGCAAGCTATATTAAATACAGAATACAGGCGTTTATGGCTAAATTGAACTGCTTTAGAACGCGCTTTTCATAAACACGAGGTAAAAATTATTTTAATAAAAAAGAATAAAGCTCAAAGCAGTACGTGCTCTGACCTAGCCAAGTAATTTAAACGCAATCGAAGTATCCGATGGCCTTTCTCCACCTGAATGTTCTAGAGATTTGTTTATACCAGCGCAGCATTTCTTGTAGACATTACATTAATAGCACTGCTAAATGGAATCACCCGACAAACAAGAGCCTACTTTAAGGCAAAGATCACCTAAGAATTCAAGCAAAATAGCGTAACGCTTGTTGGTTCACAGGAAGCCCAAGCGCACTATTTGTGGGTTCGGGCTTCAGAGGTCATTTGGTCGGAATATACTAGAATTATAAGTGTACTATCTGATGCCAAATAAATGCAAAAAGTCTTAAAGATATGAAGTCTTCTTGTTTGTCTATCTGAAGTTAAGATAACCAAAATCGATATTTCTTGCATT